CTCTCTATGCGATCTATACTAATACTATAAAGAGGTAAAGATTGTGAGTTTGTAACATTGTAGGGTGGGGGGGTAATCTCTAGATTGTTTGAGACCCCGGGACGGAAAGGACATAGAATACTTTTTATCCCGGAAATCATCCCTTAAGAGGGTGAAAATAGGGATAAAAGTTTGTATTGGGAAGCAAGCTAGAGACGAACCCGAATTAAGCGAGGGTAACAGTACAGTGTACAGGAAAGACATTCAATAATTCATCAATAATAGTTAATAACAATATAATCCACTAACTACTAACTATATAATATAACTATACAAAATAATAAATTCAATAATGCCACGATTATTGTCTACCACATCTAAAACACAGTAAGAACAAAATGAAAATTAGAGTAAATTATACATTTTATACTAAAAATATCATAAATATACATCTGGGATTAAACAAATATGGATAAATAAAATTGAAGTGTGTGAATTACATTTTGTAATATAAAGATAACTTTTAGTAAATTCATATGAAATAATGTATGGAACTTATATTTTAAAAAACTGTCTATGTGTTTGTTCTGGCTAATCTCCGAAATGGCTGGATTGATTTTGACAGGACCTTCACTGGCAGATAGCTGATGTTATAATAAGAAGTAACTTAGGCTACTTTCATTTTAGAAAAAGAATTAGAATTCCACTCAAAAAAATGTACCCGAGCGAAGTGAGGGTCAGTCGCTAGTCAACTATATATTTTTAATACTGTGATTAACTCAAAATATACTTGATCCAATAATTAACAGTACAAAGAAAACTAATTGTTATAAATAAAATTTTAAAGTTTATCTAGGTTAATGTCTAAAAATCAAGTAGATCAGTGAAGACATGCAATTGAAAATAAGATAAATAATAGCCATAGAAAATTAACTTGCTGATACTATTTTTTTTTTTCTAAAAAATCCTCAATCCAGTTGTTTAAGATATATACAAGCATCATATTTAAATTAATATAGTATATTTTAATGGTTAAATAAAGGTCTATTACCAATTTTTTTTAAAGTAAAAAATCGTGCTAGAGATTTTACAGTAAATCATATTATGAATATATTATTAGCCATATAAAATTTAAATAAACTGTATGTATGAAGTTTCAATATACTTTTCTATTCAAAATATATTTCTTATGACATAGTTATACTTTATTATACCCTTTTAATTATAGTTATACATCTAATGAAAAGAAAACATTCATTTACAAATGTAGTATGTCTTAGAGTAATATGAAATTCAAGATAACGTAAAGAGGTAATTGTCTGATAAGCATACAAAGAAGGCCCTTCGGGTCAATCTTCATGTATAGCACATAATTATCACAAACAAGCACGTAAATACAACTGATTGGGAGACTCACCAAAAATGGCTACAAACATCCAATTCCTAGAGACTTTACACTCAGCACTTGGCGGTCTATATCAAATAGAACGTGAGATTAGTTTTTACGGCAGCAGTTTCCCGTATGAATGCACTTTCCAACAGCTTTTACTATCACACGGCCCCTACTATACGCAAGTAGTACAAGCATGAAAAATACTTGATGACTGACGTACGTACTCTACGCACAGGGAGCGGTCGGAATGAAATCACCGGTGTACACAAACCGCAATTAAGCATCCAATGCACTTATACAGCTCATAATATTGTCACTCAATTCAATCCATTTATGACGATTTTACAGTAAACCACTTAAAAATTTATTACGCGACAACGAAGCGAAATCTATCGTTGCCCCTCCTCCCTTCACCGTGAAAGTATCATAGACTATAAATTTTTTTTTATAAATTGACCACATAAGTGACACTATTATAGAGGGTTATTAAGGTAGGTATTTATTTTTATTTAGTTTTTTCTATATACTATAATATTATGAAACCAAAATATTTGAAGTTATAAAAAAGATTTGAACATCTTTCCTACTACCATTAAATATGGAAAAGAAATAAAGTAAAATCAGAAATTACATTTTTTTAATAATAAAATATTTTTTTATAAATACAAATTTAGTACTTTCAAGCGAAAAATTGTACGCAAAACTATTAGTTTGAGAGTTAAGACTCGGCAGTCAGCAGGTCACCGTCCACCAATAGCTTGATATTAAAAAACTAAAATAATAGTCTATGGTTAGCTGATTGACAAATAAACGTCATTTTATTGTTTCTATTTTAGTCAAATATAAGTTTATTATTACATTTTTAGTACTCATATATAATTTTGATATCTATTGGAACTGAATTCATAACACTTAATTTGTGAATAAGTTCAGTTTATCTTTCCAAGTGTTTCAAAGTATTATTGAAGTCGCCATGTTGAATTTTTAATTACATCTAAGAAATTAGAAAAAGCATAGAGAATAGTGTATTTTGTTAATAAATTTTCGTTTTTTCTTGTTATTAAAATAAAAAAATTGTGTATATTTATATTTAAAACACTAAATAAATACTGATATTGACTAATAAACAGATATATAGAAATAAATAGATGAATAATAATTAAAATAAATCCGTTCGGATACTTTGCAGACATATAAGCTAGTTAGTACTACTACTATAACTTTACTCGTCAATTTGTTGTACTCGTAAAATTTCTTAAAAATATATAATGTATTTATCAATACGAAATGTAAGTTAAAAAAGTATGTAGATTTTTCTAATTATATAATTATCATATTTAATATATTTTTTTATTTTCTATTAGTAAAATTATAAATTATATAGTATTTAAAAAACCTTAATGGTAAGATCACAAATATGTTTAAGAGAAATAAATTAGTAAATATAAATAAAGCTTTTTTATCACTTAAAAAAACATTTAATAAATAAAAAAGTTACTACTAATATTAAGTTGCAAAGAAACCAAGATATTGATTTCTTAAGAAAAAATATTACCTCATGTCGGTGCGTGTTATCGAACGAATATCTCACTGTTCTCGCACTTTTGTTGTTTTTGTGTAGAAAAGGAAATTTGTGAGTGAGAAGTATCCATCCCATGTGTATTGGTGTATATATACTATGTATGTTGTGTTGTGTGTGCGTGGTGATTTGTGTTATACGCTGATAGAAAGAAATTAATTAAATGAGTGTAATTTAACGATGAAGTTTACATAAATGTGAAGAATCACCGTGTTTTGTGTTATCGAGTGCTAGAAAATCCGTCAGGAGGCGGTAATCATGTACGTTTATTCGCTATTTGTGGATTCTGGATCTCGTCTCGTCGATGTACCATAAACAAAAATGTCAGCGATCCCGATTTTTTGTTTCTTGCTGCATACCCCTCGTTATACCTTAATTAGATCACACGAATGATATAAATTAATGTTAGACGCTTTCTCTGGAGGTGTCGTCTCATACGTACGGGGTGCCTTAGTATTAAATCGGCCATAATAAACGTGCGTTTAGTGTGCTTCGCGCCTGTCTACACCCGATCTATCTCATTGTTTATGTATGGAGAGTAAACCTGGAATTTTTATTGCGTTTCGTGGTGAAGTAAAGCTTTAATTAAATATCTGGATACGATCTGTGTTTGTGACGGCCGGTTAGCTGAGAGGCCGCGGGCGCCGCTAGCGTCTTCGCGACCGCCAAGGTTCTTTAAGATCTCTATTTATATTAATATCTCGATCGCTTGCTGCAGCATAATGACATTCTTGTAATGAAGTGCCGTTCCGTGGATTTGTGGGACATGTGCCAATTATTGCGTCTGTGACGAATAACCCGCTGTGTATTTTGTATTTGTATGTATACAAAATTTTAACAGTGCTGTTTACTTGTGAATATGAATGGTGACCACTTATTACACATACATTTTTAACGTTTCCAAGTAAGTCATAGAAAAGTTATAATTATGTTTATTATTCAGTCTAAAGCGCATTTCTTGCCACCTATATAATCGAAAATTTAATTATATATTTAAACAGGATCTAGAATGTAGGCTTCCTATAAAAACACATGATAACCTTCTGTTTATGCTCAATAATAAACAAAGTATTTTAGTTTAATATATTTCAGTTGTTAGCTTTTCTTAAATATCTATCTAGTGTGTGAATTATTATAATATAATATAAATAAGAGGAGTAGTATATGAGTAGATCAGATTATTTTAAAAATGAAACATTCAATTTTGAACTTTTCTATCTCCAATATAAACAATATTTAAAATAATAAACACTTTAGATTATATCACTAAAGATTACAATAAGGTGGTTACCATTATGAAAAAAATATATAAACATGACATTTTAACATTGTAATATAAACTATATAGTTGCCTAAAGCTAATTAATATCAGCTGCTCCAGGCATTTAATTATATTATAATTGTAGGTATCCCATGAAAATAGCTCACTTTCATATAAAAGTTTTATTTTATAAGGATGCAAAGTAATTATGGTTATTACATGTATCAATGGCAGACATTTATTGATGAATAGTTGAGACTTTTTTATAAGAACAACAAATAAGCATACTTCTTTCTCAATTATTTTCAGCAATATTAATAATATATCTAATTTAATATGTAATTATCTTAGAATATGTAGAAAATAAAAGTCTTTTCCAATATATTTGGGAAAATACATAAGACTAGTCTATGTATTATTTCTTTCTTAATTTATATTCATCATTATATTATGTTTGATATACAAAGTTACTAGTGCACCATTATATTTACACTATAGAAATATTAATTTCATTTAAATATGACTGAAAATATATGAACTAAAAAATATATAATCTTAATTCTTTGAATTATGTTAAGTACTAATAAAGAAACTATGTAGGCTAAAATATAATAAAAGTGATCTGATTGGTATTGGTATGATAATAGAAAAAACATTTGTAGCAGAGATCCCAGAACTCCATTTAAATGTTCATTTAGTTGTTTTATTTTTTAATATTATTTTTATTAGTCTATTTAAAAAAAAAAAATTTGCCATGCACAGTCAAGTTGGCGAAGGCACGTAGGGGAATGATCAAGGAGAAGGAGAAGGGCGGGGGTGCCCGTCTCAAAGATGAGCCTAATGATCCTGCTGAACCAGGTAAACATTCTGTAATTTATTGTAAAATAATAAATGATTTTGTTACTCAAGAGTATTGTAATTATTTTTAACTAAAAGGGTGTGCTTTAAAATCACTTTTGAGGATTTTTTTTCTTAAATAGACCACTTTTGAAGTTATATTACATACAACCATATATTCCATGAAATATTAAAGAAATAATTAACAAAATTATTATTATATAATTAAAGTTCTTGCTGTTTTTATATTTTATAATAGATATTATATTAATTCTTACTGATATACAATGTTTTTACTTGAAATTCTCTTTTAATTTTTAAATATTACTAGTTGACATGACAAATGTTGTCCTTTCCAAATTTCAATAGTCTTTGATCTTTTAATTTCATACAAATTCTCTATATGAAAGCATTTTAGATAGTCCCTAATTACCCAATTTTTTAGAAAACTATTTCAATTTTTCTCCTTTAAAAACCATATTCAGACTTACAAACATTTAAAAAATACAAGCCACATAAATGGGTCCAACTGTTCTCAACCTTTCATTTGCATTTATATAGATTATTTTATTGTTTATTATTTATCAAACATCTTTGGCCATTCATACAACATAGTTAAGGTATTTAGTGAAAGTATTTAATTTAAAATTCAGTGATGCGTAACCCAGAATTATTTTCATAGAATAAATTTTGCAATATTGTTAAAGTTACTATTTATACACAAAAAAATAAAATATAGTCTTTTATAGAATTGACATTGCTAACCATCTAACCATTCAATTCAACATGAAATAAAAAAAAAAAGTTCTTTAATTTTTTTACCACATATGCTGTAGTCATCTATACAGAAAGAGGATGTACAATTTTAACCCTAGTGAGTGTTATAAATTATATTCGCGGCTTTCCGTGGCTGTACCGTCATTCTGTACCGTCATTTTTAATATACAGTTTTATTTTTTACTAGCGACTCACCCTCGCTTTGCTCGGTTTCGTCCCTATACTGTTGTTGTTGTTGTACTTCCCAATACAAACTTTCTTCCCCATTTTCACCCCCCTTAAGGGATGATTTCCGGGATAAAAAGTATCCTATGTCCTTCCCAGGGTCTCAAACTATCTTCTTACCAAATATCATCTAAATCGGTTCAGTAGATCCAGAGATTACCCCCTACAACGTCACAAACTCGCAAACTCACAATTCACAAACTTTACCTCTTTATTATATTAGTATAGATAGCTGAGACTTTAAAGTGAAATAAAAGATTTATTTGGTATGATCACAATGAGTACTGTTTGAAGCTATAAAACACTTGTGGACTTATTACATATTTAAAAAATATATTATACACTAGCGAAATACCCTCGCTTTGCTCGAGAGCGTCCCTAGGCTTAAATGGTTTAGGAACGCAAAACAAAAACAAAAATCCAAAGATTTTTTTTATTTTTGGACCAGGAACTATCGCGGGCGTATACAGAATAAGCCAACCACCAGAGTTTTATCAATGGTTTAGGAACGCATAGAGTACAAACAATTCAATTTTTGAATACATTCAATTTTATATGTATTATAAATTTTCGGACCCAACAGACGTTATCCTGTCCACAATAAAGTATGTGATGTTTTAGTTAATACAAAAAAAAAACTTATAAAAAAAGCGTTCAGTTTTTCTCAAATTTCGAAATTTATCGGACTACTTTCTAATTTTTCCCCTAAAAATCTTTTCGAATAATTACGAACATTTTTCAGTTTAGCCGTTTCTAAGTTATGCGCTTACGTATCTACACATTAAAAAAACAAATAAACTTATCAACCTCCTTACTGTAGGGTACAAATTGTTGTTTGTAAAGATAAAAACTAATATAATACACCAGGACACGGTTCCCGTCCGCCATCAGCATCACTGCCGACTCCAGCGGCACTAAAGAAGGAACCAGACGAACCCGCGCACAGAGTTAAGATGGAGCCTCACAGTCAAGGCGGTGAGGACTCTAACGCCGACCTTGGTGTCGACGGCATTAAGACTGAAATTGACGGCCTCATGGATAGTGACGGTGAGTGTGACATTTGAATTGTTACATATCATTGCTGCTTGTTAGTAGTACGATAGGTAGACGGAATGTAGTGAAATATATATTTTTGTTATTTTTTTTAATTTTTATAATAATTAGTACGTATTGGTTTCTAATATTGTTTTATTTAATAATCTGATAAGACATTAAGTACTATGGTTAGTAATTTAAAAAATAAAGTGATAAAAGCACTTAAGTAATAAAATTACTTTTTTTAACTTTATATACGACCATCCTTGTGAAACCTACTTATTAAAAAACAACAAAAATTTATTAACATTTATTGAAGACGAAATAAAACATATAACCATATAGAGTACATCCTTTTTTTTCAAAGTCGGTTAGAAAAAGCCAAATCACCCTCTGTAGGGATCAAATTCGCGATCTCCGTCAACTGCAATAGGCAATGGTATTTAGAACGTCGCGATTGCGGCATACGGCCGCCTATAGGTACAGAAGTAAGTATAATTAATGATTATATAAAAAAAATTAAAATTACTAGCTATGACGCTTATAAATATTCCGGTTTTATCATAAGTCCTTTAACACTGCGACCTGCGAATAGTAATAATAATAAACGTTCACCCACCACGTTCAATAAACCCGAAGTGGAAGAAATGGCATTATCTTTCCAAGAGTATGCTAAACTAAAAAGTTTATCTTTTTTAAACCAATTTAGCTATATATATATATATATATATATATATATATATATATTTTATATACATATATGTATATATTTAGTGCCAGGTTAGGTCAATAGTACCAACTAAACATTTTAATCTAAGATCCCTATTTATGTGGTGGCCCCTCATTCTTTTTCCAGATGAAATATATTTTTTAAACCATAAAACATTAATAAACACGAGCCAGGGAGTTGTCACCAAAAATTTGCTCCAGGCTATTTTTTGATTAAAAAACCTCTAGCCTGGAGATGTTTTGGTATGAAAACACTATATCATTAAATTTGTTGTTATAAAATTATCTACATTTTGATACTTGGTTCGTTCCGGAAAACGATACCTACGAGAAATTAACTACTTCAATTTACCTGTTTATACCTGGATGTCAGGTAATGTCTTCGAAAAAGGCCGCGAAACATAAGATGGCATTTTTCTACAAGTATTTACTTTTGATGAATACTAATTTATCACAGGAAAAGAGTTCTTTTTTTGAATCAAAAATAGCCTAGAGCAAATTTTTGGTCACAACCTCCCTGGGCCGTGTTTGTTAATATGTTTTATGGTTTAAAAAAAAATTCGTTTGAAAAAGAGTGAGGGGTCCTTCACATAGAACGGGATCTCCTACTACTACGGGAACATTATCAATAACTATTGTATATGTTACTGTTTAAATGAAAGTTTTTTATTTTAAACTAGCTGCTCCGCCCGCGTTCAGATAACCAAAAACTAAATTTTCAGGTTTTACATATTGGTATACTCTTACAATGCAGTTTTTGTATTTTTTTCTCAGAAATGAGATATTTTCCCGCGATAAAAAGTATCCTATATGTTGACCCGGATAACCAGCTACCATCATACCAAATTTCATAAAAATCCCTCCAGTGGTTTTTCCGTGATGCGGTAACAGACAGACAGACAGACAGACAGACAAAAATTCTAAAAACTATAGATTCGGCCTCTGTATCGATAATAATGTCTATTTCAATAAGATTTTCCAAAAAATATTTAATGTACAGATTCGACTTAGAATTTCATTATATGTATAGACTAGCGGCTTAGTTTTCTTTCTGCTTTCGCTGGGGTTCGTCGTTAGGTACGTTTTAAATAGATATAAATAGTTATTAGCCAGCGTTACCCATATAAATTTCATTTTATTTTATCGTTAATATTTCTGATGTTTTAATACGTATTATCCTATTCCGGACTAAGATAAATCCAAAAAATCTAATATCATAAAAATTGGTCCAGCCGTTCCTGAGTTATAAATGGTGTAATTAACATGACTTTGTTTATATACACTGGCGTGCATATAAACAAATCGGGCCACCTAGAGAAAATGGACAAACTTAAGATATGATTTTTTTTTATTAATTTTGTTATTATATATGGGTAGCTGTATACCCTAGTCAATAATCCTAAATCAATAATCGTTGAATAATTTAAATAAAAATTATTGCTCGAAAATAGAGGAAATTTCAAATTTAATGATTTTTCGCGAGTTTGGTATAAAAATGTAAGCCGCAAATTAATGGGAAAATTAAAAGATTTCGATCGGTTTTATGATTTTTAATAATGCGTATTACCGCCTCTATTTTTAATTACAGCTTTTAATCGGTTTTTCAGAGATTTGACACACTTTTTTAGATAATCTTGTGTAATAGACTCCCATTCTTCCAATAAGGCGCTTTTTAATTCTTGAATGTTGCTCGGGACTACTACGCGACTTCTAACTTTTCTTTTGAGATGGTCCCATACATGCTTCATCGGATTGAGGTCAGGGCTTCGCGCTGGCCAGGTAATAGTAGACACTCCGACCTCTTGAAGATACTGCCTTACTGATGTAGCAGTGTGTGGGCGAGCATTAACTTGTAGAAGCAGAAAATCTTCTCCAATAAACCCAGTAAAAGGCATCACATGATCTTTTAAAACCTCCGTTATATACCTAGCGGCTGTAAGGGATCCATTTTCTATGAATATAAGCTCGGTTTTTGCTTCGTAACAGAATCCTGCCCAAAACATAACCGAGCCCCCTCCATATGACACTGTTTCCCGCATAGTGCATGGTGCATATCTTTGACCTGGTCGCCGGTAAACAAAATTACGGCCGTCGGCACCATGCAAACACATTATGCTTTCGTCAGTAATAAGAACCTTCTTCCACTGCTCCAAATTCCAATTCACGTGATCTCGGGCAAAAAGTAATCTTGCAATTCGATGTGCAGGGGTGAGTTTGGGGCCAGATGCGGACTTGCGTGGTGTCAGGGAAGCGGCTCTAAGTCGGCGCCTTACTGTCCACTCGCTAACATTAACACTTCTCTCAGGAGATTTCGAACGTCAACCCCTGTGCGATGACGATTTCTTAGAACTGATGACACAATAAATCGATCATCACGCTCTGATGTGGCTCTTCGTCGGCCGGAACCATGTCGTCGTACAAAGCCACCGGTCTCTATGTATCGTTTGTACATTCTCTGGACCGTAGAACGGCTCACAGAAAAAGCTTGAGCCACTTGACGTTGACTTTGTCTAGTTTCAAGCAAAGTCACAATTCGAGATGATTCAGCCTCGATCAGATCCATCTTGCAGTATTTCTAATAATCGCAGATCAAAATAGAACTGTCTTGTTCAATAATTGGAACTCAACTAATCTTCTAAAATAACAAAAAACAGTATTTGTGGCTTCAATCCATATTATGCAAATATTCACTAATTACTGCTAATTGACTATAATTAAGCGCACACGTGCATTTCCAGGAATTTTATGACTTTTTGAAGGAAACAAAGGCGTCTAATCTCCTTAATTACCTTTGCGGTATTTTTTTTCACCATACAATTGTCAACAAAAAATTATGCTTCAAATTAAGGGTGGCCCGATTTTTTTACACGCCAGTGTATATATATATATACCTTATTTTATATTTTTTCTCTTTATTAAAACTTTCCGTGTACCTTAAGGAACATATAAAAAAAAATTCTGAATTGATCGAGCCGTTCTCGAGTTTTGCGCTTAGCAACATTCATTTTTATTTATATTGATAAAAAGTCGATCACGCTTGTAATTTATTGCATTTTGAAAACATTGTCAAGTACGTAAAAATAAAAACGAGAGAAATTTCATTATTTCCCGAGACCCAATTAACTTGATAGTAAACGTCACACAGCGATTTCTGATATATATTTGATAATCGTGATAGTGGTAAAACCCCTACTCATGATAATCGCTAATAGTGATAGATAAAAATGCACTAAAACACCACAATGCATTCTACCTTTATTACTTTATCCTTAAGTATATTTACTATATAGGTACATAGAATATTAAAATAGTGACGTATGACCAAAAAGGGAATGATGACATTTATGATAGTTTAACGATTCCTTAATATATTTAAAACACACTACAATATTGAAGTCGACATATTTCAGTACGTAATTAATGGCTAACTGGAGCAATTATTAAATGGGCAGGACTCGGAATAAATAAGTGATATAGGTACTAAATACTAATGAGCAGGACTTCGGTACAAGTGACCTATAAGCAGAAGTACGTTGCGCACTGTCCTTGTAATTTATTGCATTTTGAAAACAATACCTTCGATGCTATATATTATTGAAATAAATTATGATGTTTCGGACTATATTTATTTGTATTTTGACGTGTTTCATATATTTTATAAGAAATCGAATAAGATAAGGATTGTCATATTATGGAACTTGTCATCTAATACAGAGAAGGTGTGGATTATAATCAATCGTTATTTATGTCTACGTCGAAAGTCATCAAGGGATCACGGTTACGAGTATAAGGAAAGAGTTATAACTTACAGTAAAACTCAGAACGACAAGCATGAAATTTTCTCTACGAGTATATTTGATAAAATGCTTTAAATTTATCGCAATTTAGTAAATAAGTAAATAATAATATTCGAACGTGTATTACGTTTATTTATTCTATTTTAGGCGACCCCACAAAGTCTCCACAGTGCGAACTGGGCGGTCCAGGCTCTCTGAAATCGGAACGGCTTTCATCTGACTCAAATGATATTATTGACCCACAAACTGGACTCAGAGGTTCTACTGGTAATTTACAGGTAAGTGATTAAAAGTTCTTGGTTATTTATTATGGTTTTCGATTTTGATTAAATATCTACTTAATTGTTTTTTTACTATATAAAGCCACACAAAAGTACCTACAATCACAAAAACATCAGCATGTTTTTTTTACGAATAGCTGTTAAATTGAATTGAAGTTTACTTTTCCAATTTAAAAAAAAATAATAATGTACATTAGGAAATAAAAAGTTACATATTACATGAAGCTCAATTCCAAAAGTACTTTTTTATACGTTTGCGAAAAGTATAACGACATTTGCGTGTAGAATCCCTGGAAATGCCGAGTTAATACTTAATATAATATAATCTGCGAAGGTACGATTTCTGTGCATTAAATATTAAAAAGAAATCGATTCATGAGAAGTTATATAATATGTACTCGTACGAGTCATAGATGCCGATAAAGACAGGCACACTTCAAACGTAGTGGCCTTTCAGTTTATTACTTTTAAATCACATTTCTATTATAAATGCGAAAGTTTGTATGTTTTTTAGTCCTTCGTGATGATACAGCTGAACGGGTTTCGATAAAATTTATTACACATATAGATTATGACCTGGAGTAACATATAGGCTATTAGGCATCTAAAAACGGCCCCGAGCAAAGCGAGGGCAAATTGTTAGTTTCATATAAATATGAACATACAATAGATATGGGAATATATAGCGTTGCGATTCGATAATGGAAATTTAACCGTACGTAGGTGATTTTTTTTTAAACCTTAGAGCCATTTTTTTGAGATTTTGTTAATTTTGGATTGTATTTATTTAAACGAGAAGTTTCACAGAATGAATTAGGATCATCGCAAGTAAAAGTATTATTAGACACTCTCTAGCTATAAGACGCATTTACGTCAAAAAAGACCTTATTTCTTACTATTTATAGGATGGCAATCAGAACTGTCGAAACCCAAATGGACCAGAAAATATGGGATCGTGTCGCATGGGCAACTCCGGACCAATGGGTCCAGGGGTGTCCATGGGTCCAATGTCCAGCGAAGCGCAGTCTCTACCGTCTAACGTCATCAGCAAGCAGTCCGGCAGTATGGAGGTAAAATTCACGTTATTTATAATATTTAATAAAGAGGTTGAGTTTAGCAGAAATATAGAGTGAAAGTGTTTTTTTTTAGAAACATAAAATATTCAAAATTTTTAGCGGTCCGCAAATAATACTTTCTTAGATTAACGCGAATATTTGACATTTTAAATAAAACTATCTTTTCGGATTTTGTCGCGGATCCCGCGACAAAATCCGAAAAGATAGTTTTATTTAAAACGGTCCGCAAATGTTTGAATGTGTCTTTCATTTTAGCTTATGCTCAAAGACATTAATTTTATTCCTATCAGTTAAGTGTTCAAAGGTTTTGAAAAGGTCCAAAATGAAACGGGGGTCATGTTTAGTGCTCGGAAACTAAATAAAAATACAGGCGTCACAATCGTAGACACAGTGTCAGCTTAAAGTTTTTATTATCCAATGCTAAATCGGCATTCACTTTTCTTGTGAGAACATCGAACTTGTACCTTTTAGGACAACATATACCTTTAGGCAGTCGGTAACCTTATATTTCTTTTTTCGTAAAACTAATTCCTTGCATTAAAAAATATATATAAAAAAATAATATATTAGAAAATACGGCGCCTTGTTACTTTTTGTATGAAAAAAAGTGAAACCTTTTTAAATTCAATTAGATATGCAAACGATAGCGCCGTCATAGCAAGTTAATAATATAGCTAAAGGTGCCCAGTTGCGAGTGGACAGTGACTTTTCGATCGATTATCATTTCATCAATACAATTGTAACGTTCCGCTATACTATAAATATTTCACATACGACTAACACATTATTTATTTGCTGATAACTATAGCAAATTATTTGACTATACCTGTTTTTTTTTCTTTTTTGTAAAGTTGTAATTAACTTTGATTAAAAAATATATAAGTAAGTTTTAAACGCCTTCGATAATGATTCGGGTGGAGGTGGTTTTTTGAAGTTATACTTTTTTTTTAACACGAGTTCGGAAAAAAATATAAGAGTAAATTTTTTAAGATGCGCGCTTACACCAACAGCCAAAAAGCGACATGATGAAGTTAGCTGCATTCCTTTTATAAACAAAGAGTTGTGACATATGGGATGAAATATTTAGCTATTTTTATTCTGTTACGCCAAAGAAATATAACTTCTTACGTGCGTACATAAATACACACACACGTTTTTTTTCTTATTAAACTTGCCATTTAATATTTTTTTTTAAACTAGCGACTTACCCTCGCTTCGCTCGGTTGTGTTCCTGAGCTTAAATAAATGGTTTAGAAACGTATAGAATGTCAAAGTCTAATGAAATATTCTTTTTTTATTGCGCCGGGCTCCTTCGCAGGCGTAAACTGAATGACTCACCAGGGTTTCATTTATATAGATAGATATTCTCATGCATGCAGACAGTAGTAACATCTTAATATAAATGTTTAAAAAATAATATATAAAAGATATTTTAAAGTTTGACGTTTGTATATGACTCCATGAAACGTAAAGATAAAAGATAAGATTACATACAGTAATAGTTTCATTTTTATCCTTTTACATAACTTTATCTAAATAACAAAATCTTTTTTGCGTAATATTGTTTATTATTTTTCATCTCGACTTTTTGGTCTTTATTCAATTATTTCATCTCGAAATGGTCTGATGCGGTCCACAATGGGCTCATTAGTGACAATTTGCTTGTAATTTTGACAAGTTACCACCCTCGGATCAGGCATACGTCGAACAAACGAAATGAAGTAATAAACACACATTTACAATTGTTTTGTTTTGTAAAAGCGGTGACACACGCGCGTAGGCAATGCATAGGTCTTTCGATTTCTCGAAAGCTTTGTTGAATTCTTGTACTAAGTGATCTAAGAACACTTGAGTGTGATGGACCGTGTGAATAAGATAAAAAAGGTACTGGAAAATAGGCTTTAAGATTTTGTTTTAAAATAATAATATTTAAGAAAAAAAAATTAATAGTATTATGGGAAATTTCAAATTTTACGATAAGGGGTATAGTCTTAGTACTTAAGGTTGCAGTTTAATTTTGCCAAAAAACTATACTTTTTTATTACGATATTTTTCATATAAATATTTTGAGATATTGTTTTTTTTTTCATTGTTTCTTGCTTATAACTTTATTTTTACTTAGATGTATATTTTAGTAGTATTAACAGTGATTAATTATGAATCACATTAAGATTGATTGTGACAGCTATCTGTTATGTCAGTTTTAATTTAAAAGTATCGGTAGATATTGCATAAAGATTAGTGTTTTATTTACGTTATTTTGTGTTCAATTTAAATAAGTAATGATAATTAAGTACAAATACAACTGGGATTTTCAAATTAGATATGTATGCATGGTAATATATTTATTATCAAAAAAGTATAAGATGTGAATGTGGATTAATATATTAGTAGAATTAAATGGAAGAAGGTAATATTACGGAGCCTATATTGTGGTCCTATAGTGTGGGATAATAACAAAAATAATAATAATACAGGGTATTATTTATTACGACATGTCACATATATATAAGCAACTTGTACAGCAATAAATTGGCAATTCACAGTCCCCTGGGGGCGTACAACATTTAGGCATTGCAAAGCTAATATTATAAAATCCTTCGATTTGTATTTAAAAATAAATAAAAATTCATTATTTTAGCATTCAGATCATAAATATACATATATTACGTTTGAATTAACATTACCTAGTAAAGTATCTATTATATTTTGACTGAAGATTTATTAGCTTTAATTTTTCGATAAAATCCTTTCTAGACGTCCGCTGAGAAATTCCCTCACCATGGTTTTATCAGAATACAGTGAAAAAAAACGTAATTTTATTTTTATGTATGAATTCTGTGAATGTCTAAAAATATTTTATACAGTAGATATTTTTTATAGTTAAATATTTAAGTAAATAAAAGTTAAATATTTAATTCAATCGAGTATCATTTTTAATTTTCCTGTATTTTAATCTAATTTTTATGTGATGATTAAAATTCACCGAATCCCTAAATATATGTGACGTTTTTTTTTATTGACCGAGCGTTTGAAGCGTCTCTGCTTCAAGTCTGGTAAAATATGCTTTTCTCTGTTAGTTTGTTGGTACTCTTCTACAGATCGTATTTTACAACTGATCTGGACGAAATTTGGTATACAGGTTTTACGACTTTATAGATTTTTTTGTCGTCGGGAATTTTTCATTGGAGGGGTGCTTCCTCCAAAAAGTGGGCTAATCGATATCTCCACCTTATGAGATTCTATTTCGATAATTCTTTTCTTATATAAAAGGTAGTAAACTTTTTAGTTGGTCTCATAAAAAAATGGTGAAGATCTGGTAAGGATCTTTTGCGTGATGAACAAAATGCAGTTTGTGCTCGCGAGGTCTACCGTTTGCTGAACTATTAGTTTATAAAGAGTTTGCAAATAATACCTGTCATGTCCAGCAGCAGAGTCAAATCTTCGTGTTCTCAACGCTTTTGGCCAACAAGGGCGCGGAGGCGGTCATCTCCGGGCAGCATCACTCCATCATAGCGTATCACTGTGCTCAACCAGGCACTAAGAAGTATTTAGAGGTAAGATTGTTGCTTAAGAATTTTTATTGAGTTTTTTTTATATATGAGTGAGTTTTCATTAGACCACTTTAATGGTGACAAATTATTGTAATGTCTTTCGTATTTTACAATTAAATTTTGGAATATGTATGACAATTAGAAAATATTTTAACCTATTTTAATAGACCACCAAGATCGAATTACATATTTAATCATTACACATTTTTAATTTTTAAGTGCTTGTACATAAAGAAATATCTTCACAAATATGCTTTCCCTTTCTTTATTACAGAAGCACCCACTGAAGATGGGTCAATTCAACAAACAAAATCCTGCTCAATGGCTTAACAACCTTGCTATGGCTAAAAGTCGCGGAGGAATGCGAGGTGGTCCAAATATGATGGGTGGACCTAACCAAATGGGCCATATGATGGGAGGGCCGATGGGACCCAACATGGGACCTATGGGACACGGAGGCATGGGTCATATGGGACCGAACATGATGGGCCCCAATCGGATGGGTGGGCCGGGCAATCAGATGATGATGATGAAAGGAGGACCGGGCCAGATGGGGCAGATGGGTCCGGGTATGGGGCCCATGGATGGGTTTCCAGGGGGCACCCCGTCCTGTGGTGTCATGGACGGCCTCGGTGCTGATGGTGAAATGCCCTGGGACACCGTGAGTATTTCTTTCTTTGAATAATATATATTTTATTTTGAAATTATTACATCTATATAAAGTTACTATTTTTTTATTAAGGTTTCATTAATAAAATGAAAACATTAAAATATTTAATTTTAGAAAAACCCCTCCGTAATGTCGAACGGCATGGCAAACGGTCCTTCACAAATGCCACCCTGTTCCGAAGCGGGCGGTGACAACAATTCAGGCGATAACAACATGTCCTGCCAACCCGGACCAAAAGGTGACTGACTAACTATATGGCACTGAAATATTAAATTATCAAAGTATACTTTATTCAAATAGACTTTTACAAAAACTTTTAAATCGTCAATTTTTAAATTAAATTAGTATGTCTTGAGGAATCTACTACCGCTTGAAAGAGAAACTAAACAGTAGCTCTATTTAAATATAATATTAATTTACATTACTGCAATACAATAGCTACGCACTTATTCTACATGAGTAGTTTTATATGTAACTAGCTGACCCGGCAAACGTTGTTGTGCCATATGAAGTATTTTTTAATGCCACACCATAAAAATATAACTAAAAAAAAATTTGTCCAAAAAATGAAAAAAATTGTTTTGGGGTGAGCCACCCTTAACTCTTAGGGGTATAAAAAATAGTTATAAATCTATTTTCAGACCTAGTGAATATACATATAAAATTTCATCAAAATCAGTCAAGCCGTTTCGGAGGAGTATAAACACTAAAACTTACAACAACTTACGTGTGACACAAGTTTTTTATATATTAGATGTATTCATACTCAGAAAATACTGCCAATTTAGAATTGTCTAATGACGACTGGACACTGTTTCCGACACACCTCGAGAAGTGTCGGACGAGAATGTAGTCGTCTCGTTTTAGATAAATATTTACAATAACGAAGGTAATCTAATTTTTACATAATTACATATAACACTAAAGAAAACTGATGACTACACATAATAGAGGAGTCCACAACCGTAAATAAATAAACGACAGTATATCCATACGATCGCATCCATATTAATTAGGCGTCTCACATAAAAGGTTTTGGCAGGAGTGTACAGCTGCCATTATAATGTATACATAGATGTAGTTATATATTATTATACATATCTATATGATTCTTTAATATACGACATGATAAAATAGTGCCCATATAAATATACCCTGTATTCAACAGGGTCGTTTGCCGTCAATGTTGGTGTTAAAGAATGTTTTTCCATGTTCAGCTTCAGTTTCTTCCGCAGGTGTGAAAATACCTGATGAGAATCTCACGCCGCAACAGCGTGCACACCGCGAGGAACAGCTGGCGACTATACGGAAAATGCAACAGATTCTATTCCCTGAGAGCGGATCCAATCCCAACCAGGCCAATGATGGTTCTCAAACACCCTCAGACATTAACCCTCCCAACTCAACAGCCAATATGAACATGTCTTTCCCACCCATGTCGGCCCATGGACCCATGTCCGGACCTAACGGACCTATGGTATCCATGCCTAGCAGCATGAATAGTGGACCCAGCTGTACTATGTCCGGACCAATGGGCCCCAACGGACCAATGGGGCCAGGTCCAATGGGTCCAGGTGGCCCGATGGGTCCGAACGGTCCAATGGGTGGCCCAATGGGTAATATGGGTGGGCCGGGTATGGGTATGGGTGGGCATGGATCAATGGGGCCTAATGGAATGATGGGGCCTAACGGGCCGATGATGCAAGGAATGGGGCCTAATGGACCGATGGGGCCGATGGGCCCGTGTGGAATGAAAGGAATTAGAGGAGCATGTGGTGGTCCAGATATGAAGTCAGGAATGTGTTCAGACATGCATATGGGAAGGGGATGTGGTGGACCGATGGGAGTGAGTATGATTATTAAAATTATTTTATTTTTATTTATTTTTATAGATCCACCAGTAATAATTTTCATGAATACAATATTTTCAAATAAAAAAAAACAATGTCACCTAATTCTAAATGAATTACCTTTTTAGGTGGACGCAATAATACGGGTGTTATTATAGTAATAATAGTTCACAATTAGTTGTCAATATTATTAAAATTCATAAAGCATTTTAAGCATTAAAAAGTTTTTAATTCGTTACGGAAACATTACATTACATTAAATTATTAAAACATTATTTTTGAACGATATTGTGGAATATATTAATCTGTTTTAATTATTTCAGCGCATGCCTAATCCTATGGGTGGTATGGGCGGGCCTAAACCTTGTATGATGGGTGGACCACACATGGGGCCCAGAATGATGCCAGCACCAAATCTTAATGCTATGAATGGTAATATTTGTTGGAATAATTATCTACATATTAATAAATTAGCGCGATTGTATGTGTATGTATGTTTGTTACTTCGTCACGCTGAAAGAACGACTGGACGGATTTTGAGAAAAAACTATATTCAAATAGGGTATGATTTGGAGTTACCCATAGGCTACTCTTACGCACTCAAAACGATGCGAGAGTATAAATTGTTAATCTATACTTTATATTATAAAGTGGTTAAGTTTGTGAATGGTGAGTTTGGGACGTTGTAGGGGGTAATCTCTGGATCTACTGAACCAACTTAGATGAATTTTGGTAAGAAGATAGTTTGAGACACGAGGAAGGACATAGGATCCTTTTTATCCCAGAAATCATTCCTTAAAGGGGTGAAAATGGGGATGATCATTTGTATTGGGAAGCAAGCTATGGACGAACCCGAGCGAAGCGAGGGTGAGTCGCTAGTAATAAAATAAATATGACATGTTGGGAAATGGATAATTTATTATTTTATTTCCAAAGGTGGTATAATGATGGAGGGTGGCATGATGGGTGGCATGGTGCACGGCGACTGCGGGCCCGACCACCACATGCCCGTCAACGGGCCCATGTGCGACGAGTATGGCCGTGGCAGGAATGTGAGTACTAGGATATGTGTATGTATGGATGGATGTACTGTCATATGTATGATGTGTGGGTCTGTTTGTTAGTTATGTCTCTATGCTGTAATGACTCTACGGATTTCAGTATAATTTAGAATTAAAATAAGTAAAATTATGGTTTAACAGACAGTTTATGGATGTGCCTAATACGTGGAACTGCAGGCTTTGTATATCAAATAGGAACGAAATTGATCAAATCAAATAAATAGGCTCAATAGCAGGAAAAGATGGGAATATAATGATATCTTGAGCAAAACACTGCATGTGATCTTTAACTGTATTGAATTGTTCCCGACGTATTTCACTAAAGTTACTCGTGGTTTCTTGCATCTGTAAATTGTAGAGATGTGCCGACTAGTCGCCGACTAGTCCGCAAAGCCGACTAGTTGGCCACTTTTGTAGTCGTCGACTAGTCGGCGAATAGTCGGCAAAAAGGGCCGACTAGTCGGCTTCTTACTTTGTACGTATTTTTTAATCAATCCATCAAAATATACTTTATTCAAATAGACTTTTACAAGCTTTTTTAAATCGTTATTTTTAGATTATGAAAATAAATACTTTACATTAAATATCTGTGTAAAAGTCCTACCTGAAATATACCTGAAATTTATTATTTAGCAATGGGTGTTAGCTAAGCCCGACCGCGGAATTTATATTAATGACTAGCGGCTCACCCTCGCTTCGCTCGGGTTCGTCGCTAGGTACATTTTAAATAGATATAAATAGTTATTAGCCGGCGTTAGCCATATACATTTTTTTTTGTTAATAATATTGACATTAATATTTATACGGTACTCAATTGTTTTGCCTTCCTGGAACCTCTCAACTAACACTTAAGCTTTATGGTATGGTATTAAAGTTCAAATTGACTTTTAAGTATTATTACGAATCTTTTGTATGGGAGTATAGAAAAGTGTCGTTTTTAGATGTTTTCAGGCAATTTTTAAAATTTTTCTCACCGTAAGAACCATCCTCGTACTTTAAGGAATATTCTAAAAAAAGAATTAGCGAAATCGGTTCAGCTACTTTTGAGATTTGCGCTTACCAACACATTCAGCGATTCATTTTTAAATTAATGATTTGCCATTTTTTGTACAGGACAAACATGAGATAGTATTGTTCGCTGATGACACGTAATTCGCTAATGTACGACGATGTAAATGATGCTCTCTCAATTTCAAATTTCAAATTCAAATAATTTATTATTAAATAATAAAAAGACAAAATTAATAAATTTCTCAACACCTAATGTCAAACTTGTTGATAATTGTGTAACATTAAATGGCAAAGTGTTAAAACCTGTAGAGTCCACTAAATTCCTAGGAGTAACTAACTAAGTACCTAGGTATTATCACAGATTCGAAATTGCAGTGGGGCCCCCATATTGAGGGGCTACCGAGTAGACTCAGCTCTGCAGCGTTCGCGGTAAAAAAATAAGACTTCTTACTGATGTAGATACAGCTCGCATAGTATATTTTAGTTATTTTCATAGTATTATGTCTTATAGTATCTTACTATGGGGAAATGCAGCTGCAATTAATACAATTTTTGTCCTGCAGAAAACAGCTATTCGTGAAATTTATGGTTTAGGTCCTAGAGTGTCATTAAGAGATAAGTTTAAAGAAATAAAAATATTGACTGTTGCTTCTCAGTATGTGTACGAAAATTTGTCCTTGTCTTGTAGTATGTCCGTAAAAATATACACGAATTTTCCAAGAAGTGTGACATGCATAACATTAATACTAGGAGCAAACACAAACTTGTAACGCCTGTGACTCGTCTACACAGAGTCAGTAATTCTTTTTATGGAGAATGTATACGCTTGTACAACAGGATCCCAGAAAATGTTCAAAAGGCTTCTGTCGCCAAATTCAAAAAAAATGGTAAACAAAATTTGTGTGCTAAAGGCTATTTATTGTACAATAAATGATTTGATGATGAAAGATGGCACACCTTGGGAATGAAATGACCGCCTCCAGGCTACTTCAACTTGATAGAAATATTGTAAATTATAATTTTACTTTAAAAAAAGATAACAAGTTAATATTAGTCCCGCTGAGTTTCTTTCGCCAGTTCTTCTCAGGTCTGAGGCTTCTTCTTTCCGAACTGGTAGTAGACTCATGACGTTCAGTAAAAAATTGTAATAATTTAATGCTGAATAAAATATTTTGAATTTTGAACTGAAGTTGACGGAATAGGTACTGTTGAAGGTAGTTCTGCTTGGATTTGCGACTGCGAGAAATCCTCTGTGGTCAAACATTTTATCGAAGAACTTAACTGAGGTATCAGGCTTGGATGTCAGTATTTAATATGGTTGTTCATACTTGTAGTATTAGTTGTATTCCCATGCCCACCACGAGAAATTATCATTTGGCATTGGTTACACTTTGACTTTGCGGGAATCATTGTCCAATTTTTAAAAAAAAATTCTATATGATGTTCTCCTAGCCGATTCCGGCCACGGCACAAATTTTAATTAAACTTTTACACTTTAATGAACAATAACACTATTAACTTTACAAAAAAAAAAAAATTTACACAAAAGCACCGCTCTGACCCGCACAACAGCAAAATTCAAGAAACAATGCGAAGAAACAAAACAGATTCTGACACGATCGCGGGCGGCGGCTGCGACTTGAGCGCAAATGAGCGGTAAACGAAGCATCAGGGAAATCCCCCGAAGCAATGATCGGCTTGGCCGACTAGTCGGCCTCTTTGCAGCCGACTAGTCGGATAGTCGGCCTAAGTCGTAGTCGGCACATCTCTAGTAAATTGCTAGTCTCATTGAATATTTGTCACAGTGATCTAAATCATTGAGGAGGTTTTTTCGCAAAATTTGATTTTTTCTTCCCGAAGTTCCAAATCAAAATAAATTCGCGAAAAAATCCGTAAAGATAGTTTTATTTTAAATGTCAAAAATTTGCGTAAATCTAAGAGAGTATCATTGAGGAGGTGTTTATTTATGTGTGTGTATGTGCAGATGGGCCCCGGCGACCCCGGCGGGCTGGGCCCCGGGCTGGGGCCGGGGCTCGCGCACAAGGCGGCGCGCAGCCCCAAGTCGCCGCCCGCCGACATCGACTGGCAGAAGTTACACCACCAGTTCTTTGACGACTCCAAGAATATGGACACCGACCTTAGTGAGTTGCGTTTGTTATATGTGTTTTCTAGTCTTCGAACAACAATACTACTATATAATGTGTCACATAGCTCATTCATCAAAGCTAAATTCTGTCCGCGCGAATATGTACTTATACAGCTATGTACATTTGTATACTAGCGAACCAAGACAAAGTTTTATAATAGTTTTATTTTCAACCTAATCAACACCATAACACCTTGTAATAAATTCGCAAATCATAAAATTCTAGTCATACACTTACGATCATTTCGTAAGTTTTATAATCTTGTAAAATCAACTTTACATGAAAAAACATAAAGCACTTTTTCCCGTTGTTACTTTGTGAGCTAAATCATTGTTTATTTCTGTTTGTTTCTTTGAATTTGCGCGTGTATTGGCCGACCTGAACCAACGGTCTTAGCGGATTTAAAATTATGCAAAATTTCATTTTTACATTATTTAGTAAGTTAAATCTTAAAATATTGACTTAATCTACATGTATTTGCCAGAAATAAGACACTCCGTCTGAAAAATTTCTTCTTCGCGCATTATTTTTGCAACTTTTAAATTCATATTGCGGCATTGTGAACGTGCTTACGCTTGCAGTGTTTCAATAGAACTAATCGAAATATACGCTCACTTTGCAAGTGAGCTTATATTTACCTAGGCGGATTTTTTACGCCGACCCGATATTTAGTAGTATTGTTCATCGAACTAAGGTTCTGGCGGTTAGCGAGTGAGATTGTGAGACGTTTTGGGTTTGAGTGCTGAATCGGGATAAGTTTGGTTGTTGGATTTTGCTGTGAATAAATTCTCATATCATTCATCCTGGAGTAACAATGTTAACATCCCAAACGTTAGTGCTGTTTTTCTAGTTATACCCAGGGTTTAGACTCGCTTCACTTGTTTTTCAAATCATGTAATATAGCCATTTAATTTATGTGTATAGCTATATTAAATACCTTCCTGCTAAGTCACCAGTGAGGTAGCTAAAGGCAATAAATAGAGCTAAGCCTCTAAGGCTAAGTGTCTAATATTTTTTTATGAACAGCTAAAGAATTTTAATGGTTACTTACTTCAAGTACGTACAAATGACAGCCTAAGTTAAGAAAAATTATGAAATTAAAATCGGGACAGTTTTTTAGAAGAAAAATATTATTAAACTTTTTGATTTGAAGACTTATAATTTCAGTTATAAAATTTAATAAAGAATTATATATTTTATAATAATGAATTGAACGCAGGTACACAAGTAAAGTCCCCGTGCTCGGAGCGCGGCGGGTGCCTGCCGCCGCCGCCCTACGGCGCTTCGCCCCTGCACCGCTCCGCCTCTGTGCCTATAGGTACCTATATGTTATTTACGAATTAATATACATAATATGTATATTATTAAAAGAGATTTTATTAATGTATGTATTCAACCGTTTTAACGTCCCACTGCTGGGCACGGGCCTCCCTACAATACGATGGGGACCAGGCCATAGTCCACCACGCTAAAGAAGAGACTACCTTACTAGTGACTGCAAAAGACTAACAGAGACAAATAGAAATGAGATGAATTTTGTCTTAATTTACCAATAAACACCATATCGATAAGTAGGCGTAAAAACGTAACAGAGTTATATTAGCACGTATAATAAATACTACTTTGAATTAATTGAAATAATAGAAAGGAGTGATGTTATCTTTTGTGTGGACGGCTGCAAGTCATATTTTTTAATGAAATATTCAGTAACAGCCCAAATTAAGAAATCGTTAAAAATCTTTTATTTTGGCATATTATTACTATAATCTTACGATGTATACAATATTTAAAAGTATAAATTAATTTGTCTCCACTTTATATACTTTTATAGTCAGAATTCACTGACCCCGAATGGATATAGCGGCCAATTCGCCTGATTTTATATGTGTAATAATTATCATATTTTTAATGAGAATAGTACAATATAAATAAGAAAGAATAAGGTACTTTTAAAGTAGCTTTTTTATTTATTTATTTTAATGTGTTTTGTTTGCCTTTATTTATTAAATTACTTGTACTTGCCAGCCACACAGTCGCCGTCCCAGTCGGCGGGTATGCCGATGTCGGCGGAGGCGTCGCGCGCGGGCTCCGCACTCAGCAGCCCCGCGCACTGCAAGCAGAAGGGCGACGCGCCTGGTGTGTACATATTGCTATATTATGTGTCCACTGCCTTAACTATCTTGCCTTTAGGGTCCGTTCACACAGACCGGCTCGGAGAGCATTGGCCGACTATCTTTTTTTCACACAGACCTGTGCAGAGCATGCAAACGGAGCCATTCAGAGAGTACGTCATCAGAGGCAGCCGGTCGGCTCCTCTTATTATTTCACACTAAGCGCGTTAGGTTTGCTCTCGAGTATTCTCAATAATAAAAGAAATGACATGTAATAATAAATTTTATTAAAATGATTCAAAACTCTGTTTTAAACGTAAAAAATGTACTCTGCTCTCCGAGCCGGTCTGTGTGAACGAACCCTTATACTAGACTAGCAGTACTGGCGGCTTCGTCCGCGTTCAAACTTCCGATATAAGCATCAGTGTTACAATAATGTACGGAAATCTGCCCGATTTGTTGACATTATGATTACTGCTCCGCTCCCTTGAGTAATGGCATGATGATATATAGCCTATAATCTTCCTCAATAAACGAATTATTTAATTCTAAAATATTATTTTTAAATCGGATTAGTAATTCCTTAGATTAGCGCGTTCAATCAATCAATCAAACAAACAAACAAACTCTGTCTCTTTATAATATTAGTATAGATTTGTCTACACGGTACTTAGGTTGCCTGGAAATGGGTTCATTATGATATAAGCTAGCTCACGATTCACATCTTTTAATGTCATGATGTCAATTCGTAACATAAGCTAGTGACGTTTATTTAGTTTTGCCGAATTTGTTACTAAAAGTTAATTTAATCGGCTTTTTGCACAAGTATAGAGTTTTGTAATATTTGAGTTGTATCTCGCCTAGCCGTATTACGTTACCATAGTAACGCATAAATATCAGATCATGAAAACGCGGCAGTATGTAGACGTTTCAAGGCGTTTTGTTTGTATTTAACCTTGCACAGACATTCACACGCACATACATACACGCATGTACATTGTACAAGTCAATGCAAACTAGATTGAGACGTTATTAGGAAAATAGACGTCATACACTTGACCTTAAAAAATTCACACTATAATATGTGAACGGCCATCAAAACAAAATCAACAGTTTAGTAATGAATTATTTAAAAAATGAGTTTTGCATAGGCACTTTAGTACAAAAACGAGATTTTTTCCAACTAGATTTTTTTAATCTCCTTGCCAATGCCAACAGCCATATAATAATTATCGTACTGTTAAAATTCGAAATAATTTAATGTAAACAAATATTTTTTCATGCCAAAGTGTTGTTAATTATTATTGTAGTTGAAATATAATACTTACACAATTTTGAAATCGATCCCGTAATAAGCTAAATATACTACTAAGATTGTAAGTTGTAACTTACAAGATTCTACACATGAAAAACTTTTTTTTCACAGTAAAGTAGAAGCCATAGACGTAGAAATGCATGATATTTTATCTGTGTTAGACATTTTCCCAACCAAAGTATTTTTTTTAATAATATTTGATTTAAGTTTGGTTTGAAGTGCACTATGATTATGATTTTTTTTCTGTAGTTGTAATGCGTATTTTTTGTTTTCCCCCTCCCCCGCAAAACGCTTGACCGCTTGAAATCCCGTGTGATGAAATAACGACATTAAAACCGATACTCAATTGGATAATATACAACAATATACAAACGGGATCCAAATTGGCCCAACGTATTGGACGAAACGTTGGCCATAAAGAGATACTAGAGAAATTGGACGATGGCGTGTTTGTACGTACACTGCAATGTTTGGCGGCGCAACAGCAGAAAAACCAACAGGGCGGCTCTCACCAGAAGGAACCGAGTTTGATGCCCGTGCCTTCACCGCAACAAATATCCTATCTCAACCAGTTCGAAGGTAATTCTATTGCCGTTGGACGAAATAATTGCATATATATAATAAAATATTTCAGTTCACGGCAATTTGTGCTATGTGTAAACGCTTTTTGTGTTACTTTTAATGGAAATATGGTCAATTTTTAAGTAAAAATATTAGATGTTTTAGTATAATTTTTGTCTAAAGCTATATCATAGTAAATTTCTTAATAAATATGCAAAATTGTATATTCTTAATTGGCCATGTTTTATTAGCAAATATCGATTTTTTTATTCCATAAAATCGATATTTTTCTAGTTATTATTTATTCAGTATTTGCAATGTGTATAACTTATTTTCATTTTGGTGATGGTTGGTGAAAATGTGCTAACATACTCTCATACTCTATGGCTAATTCGTACTATCTCTGTTGTTATTGTTCATTTCAATTTTGACTTTTATGTCAAATATATAAAATTTATATTTGAATGTATACAGCAATTGTTATAGATGAAATCATTTTTGATTAGGTCAAGAGTTAACGATACAGAAACAGCCGAACACGTCGTTGAAAGACAATGGACCGCCATCGAACAGTGGCGGCCAAACACCACAGTCGAATGCCAATCAGAAATCACCCGCTGGGTAAGTCAATTATATATCTTACTAGCGACTCACCGTCGCTTTGCTCAGGCTCGTCCCTAGGTACGTTTTAACGGTTAGTATGAAATACAAATCGTTGAATTTCTCGGCTTTTCTTTACTATCATATGCACATATTATACATATAAACCTTCCTCTTGAATCACTCTATCTATTAAAAAATACCGCATCAAAATCCGTCGCGTAGTTATAAAGATCTAAACATACATATGGACAGACAGACAGCGGGAAACGACTTTGTTTAATACTATGCAGTGATTCATCTATACAGATAAATAAAATTGAAGTGTCTGTTTATAATGTCAAAATAACAGCATTTTACTAAATATATATGAAATTATATACGGTATTTGTAAGAAAAACACAAGTTTTACATTTTTTGTCTGTTTGTTTCGGCGAATCTCCGAAACGGCTGGACCGATTTTAACGGGCACTGGCAGATAGTTGATGTTATAAGGAGTAAGTGGCTACTTTTATTTTTGAAAAAGAATTTTAATATTGAATTTGATATAGCATCTTGCATTACTCCAAAACTCATTTTACATTTTATTCTATTCATCAATGACTTACTCATACATTCATATTTTTAATGCATTAAAATAAAACATGATGTATATCATCAAACCCGTCACAAACATTACAATTAGGTGAACCAGCTATGAGATAAATGAAATTATTATAAGAACTATGACCGGGTTGTAGTTTACATAATATTTTAGTATACAATCTATTCATTTCAATATTTTTGAATCATGGTAATTCACATACGATCGTTTTATAACATCTGCCTTTGTCTCTTGACCATCGAACCATGCCATAAATACGAATTATCTAGTTCCATGGTAAGTTACGAGGCGTGTGTTATGGATACCAAATAGTTGATACACTACAAAAATGTAAGTTTTTGAATACATACTAATATTATAAATGTGAAATTATGTTTCTTGATTGTTTGCTTTTTACTTCTTTCACGTCGAAACGGAGAAACGGATTGGCGTGATTTTTTTTGTGGAAATATTTGGAGGGCTGGAGAGTGACATAGGCTACTTTTTACCGCGGGAGATTATCTAATTCCCACGGGAAAATACGTTATAATATAATCCAAAAAATATTTATGATCAGAATTCCTTGAAATTTGTTATTAATGCTCTTCAATGAAATTAAATAAATATGTACGTGTTTGTAGCATTTTTCGAAATTCATTTTATAAGGGGGTAAAATAGGGGATGAAAGTTTGCATAAAACTACCTTTTTAGATATTTTCTGTAGTCTTAGCGCGAGCGAAGCCGCGGGTTCTGCTAGTATTATATATAATAATAATATAAATTAACTCATTCCAGCATGATGCCGGGCACGCCTGAGCCGCACTCGTCACTTTCGGAGCAGCGCGCCGGCCGCTTCTCCCTCGAGCAGAGTCCCGGGTTCAATAACCCGCAGACACCAACGTCCGCTGCAAATACTAAATGTGCGCAGGGTATGTTGAGTGTTATTATTTGTTATATATGTATGTTTGTTGTGTATAAATTGTAGTGTTTTATTTAGTAAAATGGCAGATAGATCATAGTGGTTTAGATATAGTCGATATGAAAAATGGATTATATAGGAAGAGAATGGACTATAGATGAACAGGTATTGTGTTAACTTGCTGAAGTACTGGTAATGGCTCCAATATTTGATACGTAAATTGCTCTTCTAAAAAAAATGGCCTTCGGGTTATAGATAAAGGAGACCTAGTGAGGAGTTACTCCATATTCCATTCTTTTCGTGTGGGCCTTATTTGACATAACCTGTGTTTTATTTGACGTAGACCAAGTTATACATATATCAATATTCTACCCTCGCTTCGCTCGCGTTCGTCCCTCTAGGTTGCTTCCGCATACAAACTTTCACCCCTTAAGGGATGATTTCCGGGATAAAAACTATCCTATGTCCTTCTTAGGATCTCAAACTATCTTCTTACCAAATTTCATTTAAATAGGTTCAGTAGTTTCGGCGCCTGTTCGATACAAACAAACAAACAAAAATCAAATTTTCCTCTTCATAATACCAGAATAGATAGTACAATAATGAACATTTCTGTTTTTTACGTCCATATAGGTGTAGTGTTTTATAAATTATGTGAAACAATCAAACACCTTTATTGTTATAATCCTTATATTGACAGATATTAATTAATAAAAAATGATAATTAATAAAAATACAACAGAAACTAATACGTCCTGACCCAACGGCAATCAAATATATTCGTCGTCATACTTTTCCTGCCTGCCTGGCACTTGCGTAGACAAACACCACAGAGGTCGTACGAAGGCGCTTGATGTCTTCGAATAAACTAGCGGCGCGTGACAATTAATTGTTCTTTTGTTATATACATTTTATGTTTGTTTAAAATGTGAGGTTTTTAATAAAACATGTGAGGCGCTGAATTTATTGAAACGTGCTGTGGGTGATTATTGATTGTAAACAATTTTCATTTATTGCTACGTAAAGTCAAGCTAACTTTATTTTAGTAATAAAAATAATTTATATAATAATATAGATGTAAGCAATAGATGTATTTTATTCACTTATCTTTTATCAATGAATTTCATTATACTGATTTTTATCTTTAATGATTTCAGTATGTAATTCGTAATGGAGTGCTATAAAAAATCGTGCCAACATTGATTATATTTTCGACAACGATATGAGCTAATTGTTCTAACCAGGGATAGAAAGGGACAGAGAGTTTTTAGAATTCCATACAGCAGCGTTATTGGAAGAACGCCCTTATGCTTCAGGTCTTCGTTCAACGTTTTACAAGAATTTCGACTTTACCAGTATGATGGGTTATTTTGAATATTTTGTGTACTAATAATAAAAGTTGAAAAAAAAAATAGGTTTGTATTGTGATATGTTGATAGGATTGGAATGACATTTTACTGATGATGGAAAACGTTTTTAAAAAATATTTTTTAATAAATGCTACTTACTACATATTGTTTTGTGTATGGAATATTATATGAATATAAAATGAAATTATGTGTAATTATGTATGTTGTAGATGTGTGTGAGCAAAAACTCGTGACTTTCTCAAACAAAACGCTTTAACCTAATAAATGAGAATAATCATAAGCAATGCCCGTTTAAAATATTGCACAATTTTGATTGCAGATGAGAAGTCAAGGCCGAGTCCTTCATCGAACAGGTCGAGTCAAGACAACGCGTCAAAGACCCCGCAAAGGGAGGGCCGTGAGGGGCGAGAGGGGCCCTCCCTCAGCCAGGGGCCCTACGCGCCCTCCTCCACAGCGAAGAGTAGCTGCAGTGTTACCACAATCTCCCATTCGGATGATACTATGGCATCTAATACAGAGGTGATAATCGTATTATTAGATTACTATTATAAATATCAAAGTTTGTATGTATGTATATTTGATTGTTATTCCTTTGACACTGAAATTTAATAGAGTATGACCTGAAGTAACATATACACTTTACTATTAAGTACTTTGGGACGCACCGCTCGATTGCGTAGTAAGCAAGAGTAAATCGCTAGTAATGTGTAATAGGTATAACTTAATGATTTTATGGTATAGGTTTTTGTTTTCTTTGCGGCTTCCTTTGTTTATAATTTTCTATTTATGTTTGTATATATTTTGTTAGGGAACACTAAAATTGGTTCTTTTTCAGTGCTAAAAATTAAGGTCAAGTTGTTGTCATCTTACCGATTGTAATAGCAAAAAATGTTATTTGATTAATTATATTAAAACTTAAATTCAAAGTCTTATAAATAAAAATATTAAATAAACCAATTATACCTTTATTAAAATTTTATTATATATTATAGATTTTACATGTTTTAATGAAATGTTATTCTATACTCAAATAGTTTGTTAATAAAAATGTTTGTGTTTGACAGACGACGTTGTCAGGCGGACCGAATAGCACGAGCCTGCCCGGCCCCTTCCCCGGCCCGTGCAGTATGAACAGGCCGGACAATATCCCTATCAACCCCAATCAGGGCCCGAACGGTCCCATGGGCCCCGCCACCTCGTCCTTCGACCCCATTTCCTCGTTAGCGCAGATGTCGCAGCAACTCACTAACACGGTGGGCGGCGCGCCCCCCATGGGGCCCGGCGGCAACGGCATGGGGCCCTTCGGCTCCGCGCCCCACCACATGCAGCACCACCACCCCTCCATGCACCCGCATGGACACCATATGATGATGAATGATTTAGGTACTTGCTTTGTTTTATCTATCTCAGTATCAATATACGCTAAAGCTGCTATGTAGTAGCTTTAAGATTAATTAAAATTAAATTTTATTATTTTTAACAGGTTGTCATATGGACAATATGGGAGGGCCCGGCATGGGCGGTCCCATGGAAGGTATGATGAGCGGCGGTGACTTCCCGCCGGATATGAATCTGAGTCCTAAAATGAGCGGCGGCCCCATGGGCGGGCCGATGGGCCCCATGGGACCTGACGCCTCCATGATGGGCCCGCGTATGGGCGGCGCTGGAAAGATGCCTCCCTTCAACGGTGCTAACGTCCAAGTGAAAGCCAGCGCGCCCAACACGATACAGTACCTGCCCACGCGGCCGCAGATGCCGTGCAACACCGGGCCGCGGGGGCCGCCCAGCCTGGACTTTCTGCAGCGGGTCACAAACCCCATGCAGATGGACGGCGGCAAGGGCGGCGTGCAGTACTTCCCCGGCGCGCGCGGCATGGACATGGAGGGCGGCATGCGCGGCGTGATGCGCGCGCCCGGCATGTTGCGCATGCCGCACTACCCCGCCGGCTTCAACTCTCCGCCCAAGATGGCGGGCGACCCGTTCGCGCCCGGCCCCAACCCCATGTGCGGGCCCGGCTTCCGCGGCGTCAAGGGCGGCATGGGCCCCGGCAACGTGCGCATGGGCGCCGCCCAGCCCTTGCCGCCCTCTATGGGTGGCCCCGGCCCCGGTTTCAAGGGGCAGGGCTTCGCGGTGCCCTCCACGGCGGACCCCAACTACGCGGCGCAGTTCCACAACTTCCAGCAGCAGCTCTACGCGACGGGCAGCCGCGGCGCGCAGCCGCACCAGGGCTACCCGCCCTACCAGCCGCCCAAGTGATGACGCGCCGCCCTCGCCGCCCGCCCCCGCCCACGCTCCGCCACGGCGCCCAGAACGTACTTAATGACCAGTGAAGTAACAGATCAAATATTTTGTTAGTGTCCTCTAGTTAGTCCGTGTATTATTGTGAGATTTCTTTTTTTGAGAGGTTCGTTAGTTTTTTACCGACCTAGATCTCTCGACTGAGTACGAGTTTTTGTTTTAGCGGAAGTGCGAGTTTGTACAAATTGTACAAATTTAGATGTGTTAACGTGTAGTTTACATAATTTAAAGTACAGGCTAGGTATTTTTGCCGATGGCAATGATATAGTTTTTATCTTATTTTTTTTTACACAGACGCGCCAGAATTTCAGTGTATCGGTTCCTTTACTTAGCTATTTTTATATATGATTCCTATGCACACAGATATCTAGTCAATTTTGAAATTAATGCCCGGCCCTGTGTCCCCGGCGCCCGGGTAGGGCTCGGCCCCGATACCCTCCAACTTCACCCCCCGCTCTCCCCCGCCCTCGACGGAACTACATATTCGTTATGTAACAGTATATTTTTTGTCCATTTTAGTTTTAGGTAATTTTTTTAGGAAAATTGGTTTAATATAATTATTTGGCTCGTCGGCCAGTATAGCTCCTGGAATTTATGTACTAGTTTATTATAATGAGTATTTTATTAATTTTGATCTGATAGCAATGTTTTTCTGTCTTCCATACCTTTAAACTCAAACGTAACATAAGATACAGGTCGTTTGTTTCAAAACTGAAATAGAAAAACGCAATAACTTCGAATTAATTCTTTTAATAAATGTACTTAAAAATCTAATGCCATATTATTTGCCACGTGATTTTAGTTCGGTGATGTTTCGAACTGTATATTTATTTATATTAATATCCTTGATGATGCCAATATATTTTCGAATGCTACATCTTTTATAGTACATACATATATAGGGCATGTAATAACGCTAGACTAGTTAGCACATTGTGAATGTCACAGTGGCCTTTTTAATGCCTTTTTTTACGAAGCGATGAACCCCGAGCACTCGTATATAGTTTGCTCATGAAATCTGAGATCCTTAAGAGATTACGTGTAGATCTGCTCTGGACTCGCGACGACACGCACGCAGCCTCCTTCTACAGAGGGCAATCTGGTTATGTGTGAATATATTTTACATGTAGACGAGTAGATATTATAGCACAAATTTATTTGTATCGCGACGCGTGACTTCACGAGCCCTGGCCGACTCTACGTATAGGGAAAGGGCGTGGCACAAGATTGTGAGTAAAGAACACAACAGTCCAGTAAGAAACACCCGCTAGAAATTAGATAGTCTTAATTTAAATGTAATTATAATGTAAGGTAAAGAATGGTTCTTGTTTTAGTATTAAGTGAAGAGCAATGATATAAAATAGTTTGTGTAATATTAAATTAAAATAAGAGATGAAATTAAGATGCAAACTATTGGTTGTGATTCTGACACAATTTGTTAAGTTGTTCGTAGATATGTCACAGAATATTGTGGGAACTTAACTTACTTGATGATAAGGCCCTTTTTTATTTTTTATTTTTTTTTTGTTTTTGGACATTTTTACTTGTCGTTCTCGTTTGTACATCACTAACAATAATTGTACAGAGTACTTTTGGACTTAATTTAAGGCAATAAATGTATTTATTTTATAACTCGTGATGTAAGAATTTATTCTTAATTATTATAAAAAAATATATAATATGCTTGTACACTCATGTTTTATTTGTATATATTATAACCATCTATTTCATATTATTAAAATAGTAATATAATTTACTTGTGGAGTTGATTTTCCAGATTTTTTTGAGTTATCGAAAGTTAAGATAATAAATAAGGTAATGGTTATCAATTACATTTTATTCAATTAATCTTAATAGATAATAATACGATATAGAGATGTCGCCAAGCTTCGACTTCCGTTATAACGAATTCAAAATCTCTGTCCCTGGTGCCCTTTTTAAATGGGAAATACATAAATGATAAAGAACTTATTATTAAATTTTATTTAAAATTTAATTTAACTTCTATGATGACACGGGAGAAGATAACAAATATATAATAACGTTACAGACGTTTCGCTTTACCGACCGATCTCTAAAAGAGAGGTACTCGGTTGTATCTTCGCCGAAGTATGTAAGATTTTTTGTTATATTTATTATTTAAAAATAGGTATGAAAATCATCTTCATCTACACTTATATTATGCGGAGGTAAATATTGTAAGTTTTTATGGGGTGGGATGGGGGTAATCTTTAAAACTACTGATCCGATTCAGCTAAAGCTAGGTACATTACTTCCTATATTTTCTTTCCCATATAAATAAATAAATAAATAAATTCTTTATTGACATAATTTTACATACACAGGTGATTAAGAATTCCCTAGCCCCTGCGCTCGTTAAAAACTGTATTGCAGGAGCCAGTGTCATCCCCATATGATTAATGACAGGTTTATGCCAACACAGTGATATATGTAGGTACAGACAACAAATGTACTTTTTGTTAGAAAAAGTTAAAGTTTAATTGATATCACAAAATAACTGGCCGTTGAGTTGCTTTATAAGCGTGCATACTAACGGTTTTAAAATACAGCAGTAAAGTGTAAGGCAAAGAGCTGCCTTGGGGCGTGGCATTGTAAACATTGGCGGTTAAAAACTTTTTTAAGTAATTGAAAGTTTTGTTAAATTCAGGATGGATTTTACAATGCTTATCATATTTTTGTTTTTTAATAATCGATAGTTTCCTAGTTATCAATATCTATTATGTCTTCAAGCAAACAAAAATAGCCTGAATTAGCGCTGTCAAATTTCTTTGTCATGAAGAATTCTTCGTGGTCCCAGGGGCGGGGCCCTTGTGTAATTTGATACAACTGACGTTCCTTTTTGGTTTTTTAACAAATTAAAATTTATTTAGTCACGTCTAAGTACAAATCAAAGCACACCGACTTCGAAAATATCTGATTAGGTATCTATTGTAAATGAAAACTACCAATCAGTTATTTTTTACTTTTTAGTTTACTTTTTTGAAGTCGGTTTTTAAAAAAAAATTTAAAGTTTTTATTTGTAATTCAACCCAGTCTAAGTACAGGATTTAACAATTTTTATGACTATAAGATTTTATATTATTTGTTTGTTTAAATAACTTTTACCAAATTATTTATTTACTACTTTATTTTTAATATCATGCAGCATAACATGAATATTTGAATTACATCGCCTAAAATAATTCTATCTGAAGATAAATAAAAATCGTATTTTTACAAAATATCCTTTTATTGAACCTTCTATGAGATATTTTACTTATTCATAACAAAGAAAGAAAAAACTTGAAAGGAATAACAAAACTAAACATTATAAAGAAAAACAACTAAAGTAAATAAAGGAACTATTAGAAAGGAATAACAAAACTTCGTCAAAATAATCAACTTATTTATTTCTTTTCTTGTTTTTGAAGAAACTGCGTTCTTTCATTTTCATATCATTCTTTACTTGGGAGAGTGATATGGAGCCCTGGAAAATTAAAGACATATTTACTGACATTCTGAAGATTATATTTGTAAATATTTACATATTTATAAATGTAAATAGTAAGCAGGTTCATGTTCTGGTCGTGAAAATAAAAATTTTTAATTTTTCAATTTAATTCTTTGAAGAAGTTATTAGTGATAGTCCTAAGTATAACTACGAATATCCTATTCGTAGTTACTATTACCACGTATTGTACCTATGTATGTATGTATTCAGCCCTTTTTAACGTATTGTATCTGAAATTTCATTTTGCGCCAGTTTTTCATCTAAGTAATAACGTTATTTTTGATAACTTCTGGAATGTCATCCCACAGAACTGTTAAAAGTGAGACAATAGAATGTAGAAGTAGCTAATTGTTACTCTTTAGAGACTTAGTATTATATTTTTTTTCGTAGATATCTAAATTTAAACCAGGATTTTAATAATAGAATTTCATTTCTTTAATTTTTTGTATAAATATATATTTTTTTAATAAGCAGATGCAACTGCGCCCTTTTGCACCCTTCTGCGGGCACCTATGTATGATGTAGAGTATGTATCAATCAGGCGAATCAAAACTTGATTTTGATATTAATAACGGTCTATCGCGTCCATGAATGAATCCCGTGTCTTACATCGCACTCCTGCTGCGGTCGCGGCGCGCGCGCGGGCGCCGCCACGCCGGCGCGGCGCTTGAGCGCGGCCAGCGGCGCCGGCGACACGCGCTCGCCGCGCGCCAGCGCCGCGAACCGACGGTTCACTTCTGATACCTGAAATATACACAAGTATTAGAAATAAATAAATATGTTGGGACATTAACACACAGCACCAACTAGTTCCATGGTAAGCTACGAGGTTTGTGTTATGGATACCAGATAGTTGATACACTACACGTATGTATGTATGTAGGATTTGCGAGATGAGTAGGTATGCGTAAATTTATATTTTAAGAATACAAGAGGAGGTATGATATAATAAAATAAAAATATGAATAAAAGAAAAGAAGGATGTTTTGTCATAATGATGACACGACGAGACGCGCGAACATTGTATTTTTATGATTTACAAAGAATAAATATTAATTAGTGTACTATAAACGCTTTTATTAGTATCCCCGGATCCTACATGTATATAACTTTAAATAAATATTATAAACTAGCAGTGCCCGCTGCTTTGCCCGCGTTTAAACTTCCGATTTAAGCATCAGTTTTAATATATAGAAGTCTACCCAATTTGTTGACATTTATGATCACTACCACGCTCCCTTGGTAGTAGAGCATGATGGTATAATATAGCCCTATAGCCTTCCTCAACAAACGTGCTATCTAATGCAAAAAGAATTTTTTTAATCGGATTATTAGTTTCGGAGATTAGCGCGTTCAAACAAACTCGCCTTCTAAGATTTACGCGAATGTTTGACATTATTAAATAAAACTATCTTTTCGGATTATTTCGCGGATTTATTTAGATTTTTGGTTCCCGACGTTTCGAATGCTTTACAGCATCCATGGTCACGGGAGAGACTGAGGTGTTACATGTCTTGAATGTATAGTTGTTACAGAGAGCCTATCCACAATTAACAAAATGAAAATTACATCACAATATAATACTTAAAAAATTAAATAAATAATTTTCCATATTCAATTATAATTAAAATTATAAAAAACTTTTTAACAAAAAAATAAAAACCGACTTCAAACAAAAGCACTAAAAAGTAAAAAATAACTGATTGGTAGTTTTCATTTACTATACATACCTAATCAAATATTTTCGAAGTCGGTGTGCTCTGCTTTGTATGGGCTGGCACCGATTTCGAACTACCAATCAGTTATTTTTTACTTTTTAGTGCTTTTGTTTGAAGTCGGTTTTTATTTTTTTGTTAAAAAGTTTTTATTTTTCCCTTTTTAGTGTAGACAGTAGTAGAAAAGTAAGGATTCTAACGTGTTAGGCTTGTCAAATCAAACAAAATAAGCCCAAACTCAAAGTATCTACTATTAGCCGTTGAAGAGTTCCACCTATCCACCTTCTGGCCTTGCCATCAGATCAGGTCAACAACACCGAACCACTGTACTATCAACGGAAATAGAAATACTTGCAAAGTTTCAAGTCAATATGACAATTAGAAGTAGGTTAAATTCATCATTAGTAGTTTTTCCACCCTTAGGGGTGGTATTTTTTTTTGAAATTTAAATGGGACCAATCTGGAAGTATACCCTTTCAAACGACACAAAAATTGTCCAAATCGGTTTAGAAACGGACCAGTTTTGACGGAGTTCTGAGGTAACAAACATAAAAAAAAACAAAAAAAAAAACATACAGTCGAATTGAGAACCTCCTCCTTTTTGAAGTCGGTTGAAAATGTTTAAAGTTAAAAAATATTGTAATGTAATTGGTACAATTTTCATTTTGTTAATTGTGGGTAGGCTGTCTGTAACAACTATACCTTCAAGACATGTAACACCTCAGTCTCTCCCTTTTTTTTTTTTTTTTTTTTAACGTTGGGAAATGCGTGACCATGGATGCTGTAAAGCATTCGAAACGTCGGGAACCAAAAATTAAAATAAATCCGCGAAATAATCCGAAAAGATAGTTTTATTTAATAAAATCTGCCTCTTTATAATATTAGTATTCCGTCAAAAACATACATGTGAAAGGGGGAGCCAAGGTCAATATTAAGGTTATGCGTGGTTTGACAAAACAATTGAGATCTAAACGGTTGCCAAGTTCTGAAGATAATCCTGAATTTATTTCATATGAACATACAACAATCTAAAATAAATTTAAAACACAATTTCTTGTTTTTTGACAAAAATCTAACAACTATAGATTCGGCCCCTGTATCGATAATAATGTTTATTTCAATAAGATTTTCCAAAGAATATTTAATGTACAGATTCGGCTTAGTTACAATTTTATTATATGTCTAATAAAACGGTCCCGCGTTGAGATTCAAAAAGAACTGTATTAATCTAATAGACACGGCACATGTATAGATAACTTTTAATAATTTTTACTTACGTCAAGCGTATCCCCCTCCATACTGCTGTCGCTGAATATATTGTACAACATTGAATCCAACTTCGGTTCCTTGCGTGGAACTGCGAATTCCACTGGTTTTTGAATACTGGGCGATGCTGGTTCAAAGTTCTGTGTAAAATTGGAAAAAAATATACAATTATAAATTACTAGCAGTACCCACGGCTTCGCTCGCGCTAAAACTACAAAAAAAAATCTAAAAAGGTAGTTAGAAGTTTCATACAAACTTTAATCTATTTAACTCCCTTATAGAATGAATTTCGAAAAATGCTAAAACACGTATTTATTTAATTTTATTGAAGAACATTAATACCAATTTTAAGTAATTCTGATCAATATTTCTTTGGATTATATTATAACGTGATGATAATATTATAACGTGTTTTCCCGTGGGAATTAGATAATCTCCCGCGGTAAAAAGTAGCCTATGTCACTCTCCAGCCATCCAACTACCTCCAAACAAAAAAAAATCACGCTAATCCGTCTCTCCGTTTCGACGTGAAAGAAAGACAAACAAACACACTTTCACATTTATAATATTATAAAGTATGGATAATATATAGATATGATAAAAATCTAATCGCTCGCTTATATAGCTACGAACGCAAGTATATTAATTGCATTATTAACCGACGAAGAAAAAGCAGGAGGTTCTCAATTCGACACGTAGGTATATTTTTTTTATGATTGACCACGCATAACTTTTTACAGTGTAGTCCGATTTTGATGATTCTTGTTTATTGGATAGAGTTTACCTCAAAGTTAGCCCCATTTTAATTAAAAAAACCTACCCCTAAGTGTAGAAAATAGGGGATAATTGATTTTTCAACTACTGAATTGTTAAAATACTTTTTTCTTACTTTGCTATTACTACATAATTCTACACTGAAAAAATACAAACTCGAAAAAAAAATGTTAAAAATAAAAATCTACTTCAAAAAAGACACTAAGATGTAAAAAAACGTGTGTGTATGTGCTTATGTACGCACGTAAGAAGTTATGCCTATTTCTTTTGCGTAACAGAACAAAAATACCTATGACACGACTCTGTTTCTAAAAGGAATGCAGCTAACTTAATCATGTCGCTTTTTAGCTGTCGGTGTGCGCGCGCATTTTAGAAATTTTACTCTCTAAAATTTTGTCATAAGTCCCCAAAGAAGTATAACTTCAAAAATAACTAAATGAAATCTACCAATCAGCTAAGCAATCATGGCCACGGGAGAGACTAAAGTTTTAGACGTCACAAAGGCAACCAAAGATCAAAATAAATCCGTGAAATAATCCGAAAAAAAGTTTTATTTAGAATGCAAGACTGTTTAGTTAGTGTGAATACCGCACTGAATTAACTTATTTTCTCACTTCTGAAGGGTCTCTTAAAGCGATTAGTTATCCTTTGTCGACATTCTGTTACTTTAATTTGTTTAACATATATTTTATGGTACATAAATAGATGAATAAAAAAAATACCTTGCGTGCGGGAGTGAGTACGGCGTTGTCGTCGTGGTCGGCGGGCGGCGGCGGCGCGCGGCGCCCCGTCAGCTCCTTCTGGATGTTGTCGATGGTGTTCTGCATACCCTGGATCTTCTCTTGCAGACGATCCTGTGCATTTTTAGGGATTTTATTAACACGAGTTAAAATATTGTATATTTAATCTAAACATATAATAAAACTGTAGAGGTCCAATGTCTGTACGTAGAAAAAAAATTAGCTAAAAACGAGTCAGGGGGGTGTAAGAAGAGAAATAGAACAAATCCAGATTTGTTTCAAATTTTTAATTTCTGTCGTTTGTACGGGTATATCTCCGAAACTATTAAGCCGATTTAAATTTGGCATGGTGGTATCTTATATCCTCGGTTAACATTTTAGATACTTTTCATCCCGGAAAAATAAACGGTTCCCGTGGGATAGATCTGTTGGAGCTTTTCTAGAGGTGAACAGAACAAAGCGAGCGTGACTAGCTAGTATATAATATAAATTTTGTGTATTTATAAAGCCAGTGGCAGCGAAGTGGTAACGCGCTCGCTCGAGAAACCAAGTGAAGCGAGTTCAAACCCCGGGTCTCACAGTTCTGATATTTTCATGTGCGAATCATTTCCAACATTACCACTTGTCTTACGGTGAAGGAAAACATCGTGAGGAAACCTGCATATAGCTATTGAATCCTTCCGTTAAAAAAATCTGAATAGCAGTTAGGAGTTGGGAAGTCGGCGGTAATTTACATTATTTTTATGTAAATATGTATTACAATATGTTTATACCTTTTCGTTTCTCATCTCCAAAATTATTGACATCTGCTTCGACAGTTCATCCTCTTTGTCCTAAAAGTAAAGTTGAGCATTTTACAATTTTAAAGTTAATTCTTAAAATTATTAATAATTAATTATTAACTGATATACTATAAGTTATATTTATTTATAAATTATCTTACTAAAAACACTTAAATCTATCTACTTAGTTGACTTAAAATAATATATTTTAGTCTAAATAACAGAAACTGACTTTAGTTACAGTTACATACTGACTTAATAAAAAAAAACTTGAAAATCAAAAGTTTATTTTAAATACTAGTAGGTACACGTATTACGAGTATCGATTATGTATCATAAAGCTTACTTTAACATCAGTCTCTAATTTGTTGATCCTCTCGTTCATCTTCCTTTCCCTCTCCTTCACATTGTCCCTTTCTATATCTATCTCTTTCTTAGCCTTCTGCAATGTAGTCTCCAATTTAGACCTAGAACATAACGTCATATGTTTAATGCTGCGGTCACACTTAAAAAATATTGTTAAACGTTAAAAACGGTGATCATAACACCGTATTTTCTCGATCTGGATTTGATAAAACTGGCCAAGTGCGATTCAGACTCGTGAACGAAGGGTTCCGTACCATTATCTTATAATTTAATTATTTATTTTTAAAGTGAATATATAACTAAATATTCTGTGAATATTTCAAGCGTCTACCTGTTGCCGTTATCGAGCAAAAACGAGCAAAAAAAACACGTTTGTCGTATGGAGCCCCCTTAAATATTTATTTTATTCTATTTTTTAGTATATGTTGTTATAGCGGCAACAGAAATACATCATCTGTGAAAGTTTTAACTGTCTAACTATCACGGCTCATGAGATATAGTCTGGTGAGACACGGACAGACAGACGAACGGACAGCGTTTTACCGTTTGGGTACGGAGCCCTAAAAATGAAAACAGATTACGGTTAAATTATTTTTAATCACTGTTTTTTTACTTTTTATTTATTTGCAAAAGCACATTTGCAACATAAGTACATACGAGTACATATGAAGCATTTACAAATTAATTACTAGTAATATAATAATATATCTAATATGCCTGTCAATTATAAGTAGGTATACATAGCACTTTCTGATTCATAAATTAAAAGTAACAAAAATCATAAATAAATTTTAAAAATAAATGTGACAATTATATTATAAATTAATATTTTTGTTACAATAGAAATCATTAAAAATAAAAACAACTTGACACCCGAAACACATTATTTCCTATACAAGCTTTACTAAAGGCTTCCATTGGTTTTAGAAATATTTAGCGTTCCTTTGTCGATCAGTCAGTATAGTGTAGACCAGAGGCTAAGTTTTGACGATGACGAATCAGTTCAGATAAAACTTTATATTATATATAAGGACTTATGTACATTATAAATAACCAGCAAGTATCAGCATCTATACTAATATTATAAAGATTAAAAGATTAAGGATTTGTTTGTTTGAACGTGCTAATCTCAGGAACTGCTAATCCGGTTTGAAAAATTCTTTTTGCATTAGATAGCCCGTTTATTGGGGAAGGCTATATGTCATCATGCTACTACCCAAGAGAGCGGAGTAGTGATCATAAATGTCAAAAAATCGGATAGACTTCCATATATTATTATTTATTACTCTATAGCATTTAGCCAGACTTTTTTTGTAGTTTTAGCGCGAGCGAAGCCGCGGGTTCAGCAAGACTATACTAATATTAAAAATGTGAAAGTTTGTTAGTATGTATGGATGTTTGTCACTCTTTCACGACAGAACGGCTGAACGGATCTGGATGAAATATGGCACAGAGATAGATTATAGTTTGGAATAACACATAGGCTACTTTTTATCACAGAAAAATGTACGTTTCGCGTGGGATAGTTTTGTTTTTGTTTTCCTAGTAAGTAATAAATATATCGCTAAACATGCAAAACCTCTAAAGAAGAATAGGCAGTGGTCACCTGATGTCGGTGCTGAGCTTCAGCTCGGACATGAGCTGCGTGATGGCGGTGGCCTTGGCGTCCAGCTCCCTGTCGAGGGCCTCCACGCGAGCGCGCAGCTCCTTCAGTTGCTCTTCTGATAACTCACTATATACATATAAAATTGTAACCGAGTCGAATCTGTACATTAAATATTTTTTAGATAATCTTATTGACATTATTAGATATCGATACAGAGGCCGAATCTATAGTTTTTAGAATTTTTGTCTTTTTAATTCATTAAAAATTTGTGTAAATTGGCTGAAATGTGACGATGATTGTTGAAGATGTTGGCATAAAATCATGCCGACTGGGAGCTTTATTGAGCCGCGTAAACTAATAAATATAAATAAAAACAATGTACTAATTGATAATGATAAAGTATTAGCAGCCCACTGAGGTACTTTTAATGAAGTTAATAAGGCCAAGAGAGATTTTTTTTTAATTTTTAGATATTTTTCCACCGAATTAATAGTACACCAAATTTCAAATCACTCTGATCTGTGAAAGTTACTAAGATCCTTTTATAAAGTAGAAAATGAGCTGATAATCATCAAACACCTGAAGTTCATAAATTATAGCTAAGAACCATCTCGATCATGTCAGTTTTCAAACAAAAAAACCGCATTATAATCGGTCCATTCGTTTAGGAACTACGATGTCACAGACAGTCTTACAGAGACCCAAACACAAATACACACAGACACAAACAGACTTTTTTTTGCGTCTAGAATCTAGAGTTAAAAATACTCGTAACTTACCAATGTTCTTTGTACGTATTTTCATTTTCGGCGATCTTTTGATTCAAATGTTGTATGGTAGCAGTAAGTTCTTCTATATTCCTATGTTTTTCATTTAATTCTTCCACTACTTTGTTAAGATTGGATGTAATTTCATTTTTTTCTTCATCCATACCAGAGATCTGTTCATTTAGTTTCTCCACGTCTTCTTTATAAGAACGCAAAAGCTAAAAACATAATATTCAGCCTCAAATTCTGCCACTTGCTTGCAATTCTGCCGTTTATATATTGATGTTACATATTTTAAGAATAGAAACACTCATCTAGTAATAATTTTACAATATTATTCAAATATTGGATAAAGCATTAAATAAATATGTGAAAATAATTTTCACAATACCTTTTTTTTTTATTAGAATTTTACCTGCTCTTTATCGTTTGTATCTGTTAACAAGCGTTCTCTGTCTTCCCTCAATGACCTGACATCATTATTAAGGCCCTCGTTTATATTTATGGCGTCCTACAATTATATATAATTTTATATCTAATTCTGCTGTTGGCTGAAGCTCATAATTTTACATAACATGCATCGATCAAAAAAGTACTAAATTCACAATCCCATGCACAAGTTCTCATAAAATTGTCACCAATTGTGTTTGGGTAATTATTCTAGTTGAAATAAATATACAACAATGTAAATTGAACCTTAAATGCAATGCTTAAAGTCGTTTTCACAGCAAGTGGGCGCTCATTCAGTGAGGACATTTTTTATCGCTGATTATGTATCTAGAACTTTTTTGATCGATGATAAGATGACATGGCAATCTAAACTTTGTAAAACTACAAAATTCAATTTTACGCAACTTTAAGCCACTGAAGAAAAAAAAAACAATTTTTGTCCAAAATCACAAAATGTACGGAAATAGCATATTATGATTATTTCACGTAATGCTTAAAATATATCGTTTCCATATCATTTTTAAGGTTCCGTAGTTAAGAGGCAAAAATGGATCTCTCTTAATATCGCCCTTCGAAAATTACGAGGCTGAGTTCTGAAGAGAAATTGTTCTGTGTATCAAGAATCTTCATATATTCTATACGCTACAATCAAAGCCATGGGTAGAAGCTAACAATCTATAAAGTCAAATCACGAAGTTTTAATTATTACCTGTAACTTATTTTCAAGATCATGTATAATGGCAGTGGAGCTGCTCTTCTCATCCTCGAGGGCCGCCACCTTCTCTTGCAGGATATTGTTTTGTTCGCACACACTTTTTGTGAATTGCTCCTGATTGTTCAGAGCTGCCTTCAACGAGGAGTTCGCTTCTAAGGCCTCTTTCAAACTAGGTAAGACAATGTTTTATTTTAAGTACACTATTCAAGAAGTTATTATCACTACTTTTGGGACTTTCGTAAGGCTAAAAAGGTTGTGATAAAATTTTATTCAACGGTCAGTAAGGAATAGTATAATCTAATACCTTTAAGCGAGCAATTCTTGTATATTTATTGTATATAATGTATGTACATATAACATATTTTCAAATCGGATTATTAGTTCCTGAGATTAGCGCGTTCAAACAAACAAACTGTCTCTTTATAATATTAAATATTAATATAGATATAAAAAATACCTGTTACTTGTTAGTGATAATTGACAATGAACACACAACAACAAACCGAGCAATGAAAATAAGCTTTGATGTATAAGCATTTGAATTGAGCAAATATTTTGTATGCCTTTTTCATCGACTTGAAGTCAAAAACTGAGTTATAGGTGATTTTTTTTCATCATTCATCAGAATAAAAAAATAAACCACGTGTACTAACTCTTTCTCTTGTTTCATCAAAGTGTTCTTTGCGTCGGAACTCTGTGAGTTGAAATCTTGCAATAACTGCTTCATATCTCTCTGGAGGTTCGAGATAGTTTGCTCCTTCTACATTTCAAAATAATACAAAAAATATGAATATCTTTCATATTGATATTTTAGGAAAAAGTAGAATAATATAAAAAATAAAATATTAAAAAATATTTTGGTCAGCTGCCCTAGACGCGCGGCCTTATACAGAGGACTTGTATTTGGTGGAGGCACTCAACAGAGTGCAAGGTATCCCCTCTTATGTAAATCTGCCGCGCTTGAGTAAATACCAAAATCCCCTCTTGGGCTCTCTACTATAAGAGTCTTAACCGTGTTCTATGAACCAATAGAAATTTAAATTTCATATTCCACTTGATAAACTTACCTCATTGTAAAAAAGGAAACTATAGCATTACCAGCGGTTCACTCGCTTAGAAAAATAAAAACAAATCTATCCCGCGGGAACCATACATTTTTCTGGCATAAAAAGTAGCCTATGTGTTATTCTGATGTGTGATTATTGTAAAGATTAATTAAAATCCATTCAGTAGTTTTGCGTGAAAGAGTAGCAAACATCCATACATGTATACATCCATACATCCTCACAAAATTTCGCATTTATAATATTAGTAGGATAATTTATCAAGATAATAAATTATTATTGTAACACAATATTTTTATACCAACTCTACTTTTAGAAATCGTACCAAAGGAATATTAAATTTAACAACCGATATCGAACATCCCACGCTTTTTTCACAACAACATTAATTTTCTCGTTAATCACTTTATATCCTACCTACAAAAATTGTTTTTTACTTTTTTGTTCGGTTTATCATTAAAGCGTGTTAGTTTTTTAAGTATAGCTTATTTTCCATTTTTTAGGTTGATCTGCAATAAACGCGCGATTTTTTTATTGTTTTTTTGTTAAATGTAGGTACAAAGTTCAAATATCCCGTTACATAGATAGATAGGTACCTACATGTGAAGCAAATATAATAGTATTAAAAATAACACGGAATAGAACCCTGCAATTTGTAAAAAAACAAGACAAATAGAAACAGGTAAAAAATATTCGTCGTTAATGAATTTTGATAGCAATATTGTCATGTCAGTCATAATGGACAAGTACAAATGATTTATAAAGAAAATCACCTTTTCCACATCGAAAGTGCACAATTCGAGCTTCCTATTGAGCTCGTTAACATTGTTGACGAGATTATCCTTAAGATGTAGGGCCTGGTCCAGCTTGTTCTTCAGCTCGCCTACATCAGCCTCGGCCTGCTGCCTCGTAGCGGAAAACAATTGGAGCAACTGGTTGTGATGCTCGCTGCCCACTTTCACTGGTTTTGTGAAACGTTAGGATTTAAATGGAAACTTACGGCATTAGTAAACGATTAAAGATCTGTGTTCACTTCACGTTCATGGTCACAGGACGCAAATATTTACATCTATACATATAATAAAATTCTAAGTTAAATCTGTACATTGAATATTTTTTTGGAAAACCTTATTCAATAGTCATTATTAACGATACAGAGGCTGAATCTATAGTTTTTGGAATTTTTGTCTGTCTGTCTGTCTATGACTGCATCACGAGAAAACCACTGAACAAATTTTGATGAAATTTGGTACGATGATAACTAACTGGTTATCCGGGTCAACTTATAGGAAACATTTTACTGCGCGAAAATATATCATCTCTGAGAAATCTATACTAATCGATAAAACGTAACAGTGAGTCCCTAGTAATTAATATACGTTTACATTGTCATGTTCTATTTTCGTATTATTTTTTATTTTATTTATTATTTAAGCGGTACTTTTGATATAGCTTACGGGATTATAATATGATGGAGGTAATTTTGTAGAATCAGTTCAGAATGTTTATTCAATTTGTGATTGAAGATAAATTACGTTCTAAATAAAATATTACAAGTGCAAAGCAAGAACATGAAATGATCTATTTTTAATAAAATACTCTAAAAATCGTCTATAAAACTTATTTTCTCACAAACTGTAAACCAAGAGATAAATATAGGTACCTATGCAAAACCGCGAATAAAATCCGAGATAAAAAATCTTGATCAAGACCACAACACAACAGAAACCTTTGTCCTGAAGACTATCCACAAGTAGCCGGTGCCGCTCGTCGGCCTGCAGCTGCCGCTGCGTGAGGTCGCGCACGCGCCGCCCCGACTCCCGGTAGGCGGCGCACAGCGCGGCCTGGTCCGCCTTGCAGCGGGACAGCGTCTCCTTGAGCCTCTCCCCATAGTCTTCCAGCACTTCGCAAATCTCCCGAGTGCTTGTTAATCTACGACATCATTTAAAATATGGTGTCGTAATATGTACGCCTGCAGATCCTGAGGTCCGAACGCTTTACGCGCTTTCCGAGACATTATTTTAAATTACTGGTTAATAATGGAACTCGAACCCACGACCTGCAGGATCTGCAGCCATACATGCTAGCAACTCAATCAGGCAGTTAACCTATGTACAATATACGGAAATCCATTTTTGGAACTGTACGACAGCATTATTATGTTGTAAAACGGGATATACCTATACCAACGATCAATTTTGAGAGCCGACTAATTATTGTTACATTTAAATAAGTACTTATATGTATATACTTTTGTAAACATTATACACAAATTGAATAGTGATAATAAGTGCATATTATTATAGACCACATTTTCCGCTTAAATCGCATGTCCTTATTAAATATAACATACATTTTGAACTAAGGCAACTAAATTTTAAGGGATATTACACTATTAGTATGTAATTTATTATAACTACAGACTTATTCAAAGTATCTGGACGGAGTCGCAGCTCGTCCTGATACTGGCCGGACATGGTTTCGTGTTGCATCTGCACTTCAACCATGTTCTGCTGCAGTCTCTCATGATTGCCCTCAACTTGTTGCAATTTTTCTTTTAGATCCCAATATGCTGTATCTTGAGCGACCTTAAAAAATCCACGTTTTCATGTAACAAATAATAATGGAGGTAGGATCTGTTCTTTGAATGTAGTTAGAATATATTCTTCACGGCCTTTATAAATAATAATTATAGGGACAGTATTAAAAGGAATTTGACATTCTTCTTACAATTAATTAAATCAAAAAATTATTGGTATATTATTAATATTAAAAAGTAAGCTTTTAAAATATTGAAATCTTTGAGATTCTACCTTCAGTTTTATGATTTTTGCTGTTTCTCTTGAAACCTTTTCCCTCAGTTTTTCTACTTCCACATTTATCCTTTTCCTATTGGCAACGTTGTTTATCTCTCCAATCTCCATCTTTACACTATCTATTAATTTACCAATATAATAATAACTTATAAGAATATGAAAATTATAGTTCGAAAATTTTCATGAATTTCAAAAGCATAATGGCGGGAAAGTTCAAAGAACAGACAATATTTTTATTTTTTAATAGATCATGCTGGAATTTAAAGTGGCCGAGATGATATCACTAAAAGGATAGAAATGTGTATTTGTTAAAATCTTATTCTCAATATTCATTTATAAAAAATATTTTTAAAATATTAAAACAATCAATACACAGTTATTATTTTATATTATTTATATATCTAATGTTATTTGTTCGTTACATACATAAATAATATAGACAAGGACTCCAATCTCTGTATGTAAAAGTTGTTCCAAATAATAGTCGGCGCGCAAAGAGCGGTGCGGTCGCTAAGTCCCAAGAGGGAGGCGGAAATGTCTAATATATTCAAATGAATAATAATAAATATGAAAAAAACTATATTATAAAAAATTATAAATATTCTTTATCATAGCAACAAGAAAGTTTTATTAAATATACACTGATTTGTTTATCACTAACTTCGCGCTTCAGACGTACTGCTAAATTGGCATGGTAACTACGTAAACGAGCGCGATGAGTGACAGTTTCTGGATCTGGAACTATAGCTTTAAAAAATTTTGCGGATGGATTTCTCATATGAAACCTTATGGAGATTGGACTCCTTGTCTATATTTTTCATGCTACATTAAAATATAAAAGATTAAGAGTAAGTATGGAGGGTAGAAAACAATGCTTGAAAAACAAAAAAAAAAAACAAATAGATGAATTTAAAACTTAGCCCCAAAAGCTAGAGTAAGATCGTGAATTAAACAAGAGAAAAAGATTTTTTGTGGCGTAGGTACTTTTTAAAATAGTTATAACATAAGTAAACACTGATATATAGAATATAATTACAAATTATTTTCAAGTATCTATTTAATATTAAGGTTAAGATCATTAAAAAAAATGATAAACTTCTAAAGAAATAGTCATTTTGTAAAGAATAAATTCCAAAAAACACTACACTCCGTTTAAGTTGCTAAATTCATATCACTTCTACTTGTTACGCTGGTACTATATCGGTGAGTTTCTGAATTACAATTTGCTGCTCACCACTGGACACTTTTCCAACTTGTTTCCGATAAGACGGTTCTCCTTACCTCTACCCTCCATTTAGTTAAGTACTAAATTGCTTACAGGGTTACCAGCTAACAAAATATCCGTTCCAATTATTTTATGTAATATTTCTTACAAATGTAATACTTAAAAGTAATTATAGTATTTAATATTTTTTCCTATATAACATATTTTAATTACATAAATTATAAATATTTTCTGTACATCCAGTAATTATCAAATGATTCATTCACTATTTGAAATAAAAAAAAAAACAAATGACTTGTCTATGGAATCACAGAACGGAATCTTGTAAAAGATTAGGCCATTTCATAAAACAAATGTATAGTAACTCGCAGAAAATATCTTCGGGACAGTTGTATTTATTTCAGCTTTGCATTTTAAATTAAATTGAATCGTGAACCGCATTGTAGGCCCATTCTAGAGGATTCATCTTCGTCTCTAGCGGAAGGGTTAGCAGTCTTGATTCTGCAATAGAAAAAGATTTGCGTTGAGAGGAGACGTAAGGTAAACATCGATTTATTTTCTAAAAAAATGGAATCGGTCGACGTTTTAATACAGTACAGTTTTCTTAATGTAATAAGTTGTGTCTCGAGTGTTTATAATTATTTTTAGTGCATCCTTGTACGAAATGAAAGTTTGACTTATGCCACATATTCTTTTGAATGGCAGCTGGCGGACGTACCTTAGCGTAATAGTAGGTATATAAATTGCTACGTAAATGGTGTACTAGTGTTCTTCATTGTTATTTTAATATTAACATCAGTGATTGAGAATTTGGATTATTTCCAGACTATCATAGAAATAGTGAATATTGAAATGTTTTTTCCACAGTAAAATGTCAAATTATGAACTTGTCAAAGCTAGGTTGAGTCATTGTTGCAATCACTTTATCTTTTCAAGTTATTGCTAAAAATCCATAATTATAAACATTGTTTACTACTACTACTCATCTGGTTTAAACTGTTTTTTATAATTATTCTTCTGAAAAAATAACAACATTGTCTTTTTTTATAAAGTTTACATTTTTTATGCATTTATGAAGAATTTCTATATGCCTTTATTGTTTAGAAATCTATTGTGATTCATCAGTAAACAAAGTATCCAATATAAAAACTTAGTTCTCAGAAGATTGAGAGACTGATTTCTATTACCTTCTTCTTTGAACATTCCTATGATATCTAAACCTTTATTAAGCAAAACAAGTAAGTAGCTTTCACTAAGTGAATTAAATATCTATCAAACAGGATTCATATGTGTATATTTTGAAAATCACTGATTCTCATAAATAGCATGTTGTAAAAAATAAATGAGTATTACATATTCTATTTTATTACCTCATATAGAAAAAAAAATCTATTTCCAAATAATAAATGGCTTCTAATAATTATGAATGGTAATTAAAGAGTGTATTACTTAATCTATATACAATTAAAGTTATAGTGACTATAAATTCATCAGTAATAAATGTTTAAGGAAATTAAGATTATGGTTTTAATAACCATCTAAAGTTTAAGTGTTTTAAATAAAATTTGATTACTTTTAGCATTATTCATTTACTGCTAAAATATTGAATATCTTAATTAAAATCAGTGGTCAATACATTTTTTTTTTTTTGCAAAATTTTTTGCACAGTGTTGAATTATGTATGCCAATAGCTAAATACAATTAAAGATACAAGTCTGTATATTGTATTTTTACACTATGGTATTACTCTTTTTTTTATAAGTATAGCCCAAAGGCTTGTCAAAACAAGTTTAACTAACTATACTAAGAGTGTGGTTTTTACGAGCAACAATTATTAGTCTTTAAAGGAATGTAATAAATTTGTTATTAATTTAAAAATTACAATTTTTTTTAATTACTAAAATAAAACTTAGTAAATCAGTGTGAAAAAAATATTCTTTACATATATTGGATAGACACAAACACAAACTAATATTTGTTGTTGATTGTTTGTTGAAGAAGTTGACCCCAAAGATGATGCCTTTCTAATGGTACTTGCATAACACTGTCAGAACTTCAAAGATTACATCCATTAAATAACATACTTTTGCTGTTAAAAATATTGATTTACAGACATTATTAGTATATAATATGAGAAGACTACAGCATTAATAATATAAATAATAATTGCAGCAGTAAATCTTTAATTTCATAATCTTTGACTGGATACTATACTATTTTGGTCATCAATACATTAGGTAGTAAAATTTTTGTTATAGTGTGAATGTTGAAAATTTAAGCTATTATATATAATTATGTTAATTTTATTTCAAAACACGCAGAGTATTAGAATGCTAGAAAGCTTTATCTACTTTTCCATGACATTTGTTTTTATTTTTCTCATAGGAAATATTTTATAGAGAAGAACAAATATATTTATCATTACTAGTGAAAAACAACAACTAATCTATCGCTCAGGACCTGTACATGTGTTATTCGAGACTATAATCTATCTCTGTGCCAAATTTCATACAGATCTGTTCAGCCGTTCTGGCATAACAGTAACAAACATCCATCCAAACTTTTGCATTTATATGGCATAGAATAATGAAAGAAAATTTCTGAATATATTCTGTTTTGCTTACAGGTTAAAAAGAGGCAGGGTATTTGTTTGTATTTACTGGGAAGTACAGAACAATTAGCTCTTAGGGCTAGGATGTCAGTGTTGAATCAGAGTGGAGAAGAGCAGGTAATTCACAACATGTATCACAAGTAATATTCTAATACAACTTATTTTTTATATTATATAAGTTAATTTTATCTGGTATAAATATTTCTCACACTATTATACTTTTATTTCTTGAGTACTACTACATACATAGTACAATAGTACATGTACCATCTTTATTAATAACATAATTGAATGTTTCTATTTATGATTTTTATACAGCATGGTCTTTTTTATTAGCAAGTTTAATAAATATTAATGCTCTATAAAATGGAAGTGGAAAAAATACATTTTGGGTTTAATCAATAATACAATTCTAATTTTAAAGAAATACTAAAGTAGTCTATATTGCTTATTGAAGCTTATGATTATTGAAAGGATTTTTGAGGAACCACAAGTTATTAATATCATTTTATTTTATACAAACTAATTTAATTCACTAATGTGCCTATATCAAATGATTATTGTATCAAATATGTTGGTATGTCCTATGATTATGCTTAATTGTTCAATTCATGCCATTTCATATTAGTTTTGCCTCGGCTTTGGTGGCAAACAAGACTTAAGATCTTAAAAGGCTTAGCCTTTACCCTTATGGATGTATGTCATGATGTTACACATTTTATACCCTTGTTCAGCTTGGGGTCTCAGACAAACAGACAGTAGTCAAACATTTTCTAACGGTTGTTTTGGGTTTTGGTATCTTGCCAATAAGTGTAAGAACTCAATATGAGATAAGTTTTTTGAAATGACACAAATACATATAATTTTATTTTAATATATCAATATCTATTATTAATGTGTTTTATCTCTACTTTTTATAGATTCTTTTTATAAAAAAATATATTGTAGGGCTTTTTAAAAATAGTAATATGAAAACAGAAAAGAGATAATTTATTTTATAATTGAATAAACATATTCTTACAACGATTCAAAATTACCTTATTTTAAATATTTTTATATCAAGAAATACTAATAGATTTATTGAAATATTTATTTATACACATAAAAAAAACAGTCTTTATTTATCATCCTATATATTTCATAATTACAATCTAAGATTTCATAAACATTGGATTTGGTTTACAGGTGGAATGTCCCCTGTGTATGGAACCCTTGGAGGTGGACGATCTCCACTTCTATCCGTGCACATGTGGTTATCAAGTAAGTTCTATTATATTACTCCCGACCCATTTGGCTCAGTTTGTAGTGATCCTACTTGCTATGCCAGCGGTCCCGGCTTTGAGCCCTGGTGGGTGCATTCATTTGTGTGATTAGCATGAATGTTTGCTTACCAGATAGTTAATACACTACACACATATATAATATATAACAATCAAAGTTTTTGTAATAAGTGATTATATTTTTAAGTTATTTTCATAATAATAACAAGTAATAATATATATATATTATATATATATATATATATATATATATATATATATATATATATACAGTGTAAACTCTTTATAACGTTATCCTTTATAACGATAAACTCCCTATAACGTTGGAGTGAGCCCAAGTTGGTTGGTTTGCGTTAAAACTCACATATTGAAACACTCTTTATAGCGATACGCCATTCTCTATTACGAAGAAATGTGTTCATATTTTTAGACAGTAAATATTTATTATCGGTATTATTGTTTATGTTATGTTATCAGGTAACAAAAGACTTTGAAGCTCCGAAACATCCGAGGTCGGTCTAGCTTTTGTTATCCTTAATTGCCTTGTACACGTGCAGTATGACGCAAGACATACATACAATTAAAAATTCTTGTTAATTTGGTTTTTTTTTGTTCACTCCATATAACGATAACTCTCTATAACGACAAAAAATGCTCAGTCCCTTGAGTTTCGTTATAAAGAGTTTACACTGTATATATATATATATATATATATATATATATAGCATAATGCTACCTGCATTATCTATTAGTACTTGTTGTTTAATTGCATATATTGAATACTATAAGGAAATAATTAAAAATATTTGCTTTCTTGCCAAATAAAGATAGTGACATGTGGATTGAATGTTATCAATTATCATAATGTGATATTTAGCATTTTTATTAGCATTGTTTTTGTTGACAAGTGTAATAAAATATTACATACTAGATATTTACACTAGCGTTAACCTCGCTTCGCTCGGGTGCGTTCCTAGGTAGGTTTTAATTTTTTTGAGCGAAACCATAATTCTTTTTCTAAAATTAAAATAGCTTAAGTCACTCCTTATATAACATTAGATATCTGCCAATGAAAGTTCCTTTTTTTTTGAAATCAGTCCAGCGTTTTCGGAGATTAACCGGAGTAAACAGACAGACAAACAAACAAAAACATAAAAAAAATGTGTTAAAAAGTACTGTAAATAAATTCATATGCATTTAGTAAAAAGCTGTTATTTTAACATTGCATACAAAGACTTCAATTTTATTTATCTGTACAGAGTATTAAGATAGCTATGAGTTAGTTGTGTTTGTCCAAAGGGGATTGAGAAATACTACATACTATTTCGAAGGTCGTAGGTTTGATTCTATTGCGAAGTAAATTTAATGTAATAAGAATTACGTGAAATATTACTTGTTCATTTGTGTACCATGCCTATGTTAGCTTAAATTAACATGTTAATTATGTTAATTGAAAGAAGAATTTTTATTCCAAGTGATAATAGTTAAAATTGTTTGAAGAATTGAATAGTTTTAATATATTGTAAAATTAATTATTACAATTTTGAACGTTTTAATTGATAATATTAATTTCATACACATTTTGATTATATTATGTGTGTTAATTTTACTCCTGCTAGTATTGAATCAATAAAACATAGCTATGAGAACATATTGCAGATGTACTATATGTTGGTTCATATGCTGTAACCTGCAGGCTAATTAATAAGAAAACATTTTTTACAGATATGCAGATTTTGTTGGAATCGTATTCGGGAGGGAGAGAACGGTTTGTGTCCAGCATGTCGGAAGGCCTACCCGGAGAACCCGGCAGACTTCACTCCTCTCAGTCAAGAGCAGGTATTGTAAATATAATTAATTTAGAAATCTAAATAGTTTGAATGATTTTCTTAACAGATATGTATATAGATAGATAGATTCAATTTTATTGTTAATGATTAGAAAATTGTATAGAATTGAATTTTCTGTGACATTTACATAATAATATAATGTAGTCAAAATATAATGATAATACTTAATTGCTTGTTTTGTTGATATGACTTCATTATAAATTGTTATAGTATAATAAAAAAAAACGCATAAATTAATCTACGTAATAGACATACTTTTTTATTTTTATTTGTTTAAAACGGCATAGTAAATAAAATTGAAAATAATATTTTCTTAGATTTACGCGACTGTTTGACATTATTAAATAAAACTATCTTTTCGGATTATTTCGCGGATTTATTTTGATTTTTGGTTCCCGACGTTCATACTGTGTAAATCAAAATGACAGCTTATCAGATTAATATTTTTCATTTGTAAAAGTATATATTAATATTGTATGGGGATATATATTTGTTTTTTTGGCAATAATATATATATATATGTGTATATATATGTGTATATATATATGTGTATATATATTAGGGTGTGCCAAAAAATGACGATATTTTTTATCGATACAGAGACCGAATCTATAGTTTTTAGAATTTTTGTCTCTCTATCTGTATCTATCTGTCTCTCTGTCTGGGAACGTATCCCGAGAAAACCACTGGACAGATTTTGATGAAATTTGGTATGATGGTAATTGATAGGTGGTTATCGGGTTCTACATATAGGATATTTTTATTGCGGAAAAGTATCTCACCTCTGAGAATTCTATACTAAACGTTAAAATGTAACTAATATACGTTTACATTGTCATGTATTACGCAGGTTATAGGTACTATTTTCGTATGGAACAAAGGCATATTGGAAATACATGCGTTTTTGTCACTACGGTCGCTGATTGATCCAAATGTTAATCATATATAACAAAAAAATAAAAACCGACTTCAAACAAAAGCACTAAAAAGTAAAAAATAACTGATTGGTAGTTTTCATTTACTATACATACCTAATCAAATATTTTCGAAGTCGGTGTGCTTTGCTTTGTATGGGCTGGCACCGATTTCGAAAATATTTGATTAGGTATGTATTTAATAGGTAGGCTTTAATTACTTAGCCAAAGCACACCGACTTCGAAAATATTTGATTAGGTATGTATAGTAAATGAAAACTACCAATCAGTTATTTTTTACTCTTTAGTGCTTTTGTTTGAAGTCGGTTTTTATTTTTTTGTTAAAAAGTTTTTATTTTTCCCTTTTTAGTGTAGACAGTAGTAGCAAAGTAAGAATTCTAACGTGTTAGGCTTGTCAAATCAAATAAAATAAGCCCAAACTCAAAGTATCTACTATTAGCCGTTGAAGAGTTCCACCTATCCACCTTCTGGCCTTACCATTAGAACAGGTCAACAATACCGAACCACTGTACCAACAACGGAAATAGAAACACTTGCAAAGTTTCAAGTCAATATGACAATTAGAAGTAGGTTAAATTCATCATTACTTATTTTTCCACCCTTAGGGGTGGTATTTTTTTTTGAAATTTAAATGGGACCAATCTGGAAGTATACACTTTCAAACAACACCAAAATTGTCCAAATCGGTTAATAAATGACGAAGTTCTGAGGTAACAAACATAAAAAAAAAACAAAAAAAAATACAGTCGAATTGAGAACCTCCTCCTTTTTGAAGTCGGTTGATAAGGCTAATATACAGACTGCTTATAACTTTAACTCTAAAAGTAAAGAAATGAATTTATACCTATAATATATAAATAATTTATAACATAAATTGCAAAAAAAGTATGACTTTGTATGCGTTTTTAATACACCAGAAAATCTATTTTATCCACAATCGTGAAGGACATTGATAGAGTTAGATTCGTGGAAAATTTAATGCGTAATGGAAATTTAATTGACACAAATAACTACAATGCTTTATATACCTTAATCCTGTAATATTTGCACTTTTTTCATTTTTTTTATAAATAGCCCGTTTTCTCTAAATACAATTACGAAAATGTAGTCACAACTTTTTATTGTTTTTTTTTATATGAGATTGTTATGATAATAATAATTATTGTATAAGTGCTAATTATATAATTGATGGCTTTACGCTAATTAGAGATTAATAGTTTATAACTTTAAATGGACTGAAACACAAATATTTAATTTCTTTTATTTTTTATTATACTAGCATTGCCCGCGGCTCCGCCCGCGTTCAGATGACCAAAAACAAAATTCTTAGGTTTTACATACATTGCAGTTTTTGTATTTTTTCCCAGAAATGAGACATTTTCCCGCGGTAAAAAGTATCCTATATTATGTTGACTCGGATAACCAGCCATCACCATACCGAATTTCATCAAAATCCCTCCAGTGGTTTTTCTATTATGCGGTAACAGACAGACAGACAAAAATTCTAAAAACTATAGATTCGGCCTTTGTATCGATAATAATGTTTATTTCAATTAGATTTTACAAAAAATATTTAATGTACAGATTCGGTTTAAGTAGTTACAATTTTATTATATGTATAGATTTAATTAATGAAAACTTAGTAAAACTCTGAATCTTTTATGGAAAATATTATTTATTATTATTAGTGTTTATGTTTCTTATATTAACTTTGTCCAGAGTAAAATGCTTATGTTTTAAACTTCTAGGTAAATAAAACGTACTATATATTTAAATTTATTACGTATAATACGATATAAATTCGTCTTTCACTCATCTTTGAAGAAGTGTTTTAAGTTTACGTATTTATGTATTTTGATTATGTAATTTAGCGTTATAGTTTCGTGGTCATTCTGTCCGTGAGCTGTGTATACTTATTTAGTAGACGTCATAGTGTATTGTTAGTTATTGTGCGTTTAGTTCGTGTAATAGAGTAAATACATTTCATTATACATTCTTAAATGTACAGCTATTATGAACGTTTCTACACAAATAATGTGTAGAATAATTTAGAAAAAAAGGAAAGGCGCTGAGGTATCTCTTAAAACTTGATAAATATGTACAAATAGTGTTGCTAGTAGGTTTAAAATTTGAAATTGTTTAATTTTATAGTTATATAATAATATAGTATATAACTTATGTCATGTCAGTAATATGTGTTATGTATGAAGCATTCGTACACCAAACATTAGGAAGTAAAAGTTAAAATAAAAACATGGAATAATAGTTTTATTTAACGCTTCGTTTAGACGCGGGATGAGTGATTTAGTAATTAATGCATAGAGGACGAATATAAAAAAAAATCGGGCCAGGAACCTTCCCGAACATACTCACCAAAGTTAAATATCAGAGTATGGTTTAACATTTAACTTAATTTAATAACATTTGTTTTTATTAATATACTGGTCAAATATTGACGTAAATCTAAAAAAGTACGCATTAAGGGATGTGAAGTCTTCAGAAGGGACGTATTTACGTATAGATATGACGTTAACACGTCCCTAGGGTAGATATGACTATGACACGCTTGCAGGTAGCGGCAATAAAGACGGAGAAGAAGGCGCGCGAACAGAAGCGGCGCAACAAGACGTTAGAGTCGCGGCGCGCGCTCGCCAACGTGCGCGTCGTGCAGAACAACCTGGTGTTCGTCGTCGGACTGCCCGTGCGCCTCGCCGACCCAGAGGTACATATACACATACATACATACATATACACATATACAGTGTCATTTTTAATTTACTGAAACTTTTTTTGGGAATATACTATTTACATCATAACAACAACATCTGTAACAAGAAAAAATAATATTTCTTAAATTTTTATTTTCATACAAAAAAAAACTTTTTTTGCACCTTCTAAACTTTAAAGTTCTAGCATCTGGCTATGTTTAAATGAGTAAGCGCGGCTTCCTACACCCCTCCACCCCTCCCCCTCCACCGGACACGCACTTTCTTTTGCTAATGCTGGACTATTACCATTTAGAAGGTGCAATAAAAATATTTTTATTTTTGTTAAATTTAAGATATTTTTGTTTTTTTACTTACAGATGTTGTTGTTATGTTGTAAATAGTGTATTTCCAAAAGGTTTTCAGTAAATTAAAAATGACCCTGTATACATACAACACACGGCGACGTGTCCAAAAAATATCTAAAAATAAAGATGTAAGACTGTAATCGAAATCTTAATTGTTACTAAAAAAATTTGGGTAAAAAGATGTTGAAGTATAATTTAATTTTTACACTTATATGACAATGGATTTTTTTTCGTACATTTACTGCAAACATTGTTTTAAGTAATAATTGGAATTTTTGGAATGTAAGTTTCATTAGATAAAATATTATACCCTTTATTATAATATTGTATTTTAATAATTCTATTTACAGATTCTCAAACGGCAAGAGTACTTTGGAAAGTATGGCAAAATTCACAAAGTAGTTATAAACCAAAGTACTGCATACGCAGGGTCACAGGTGAGGACTAAATTATAGAAAATTAAATACTGTAATTAGGTTTTTTTAAATCTTTCATTTTGGACTAAGATGAGGACTTGCGTTCATAGCGTACATATGCATATGCATGTACGCTATGAACGCATAAACATACCAAAATATGACCCGCTTATACCTGGTTGCGAAAAGGTTGCGGCCAAATGCGCAACGGCAGCTATCATTTTTCAAGATCTCTACGTATAGTTCTGTAAATTGGAGTATAATTCATTGTAGTAACAAATGCATCGTTTTTATTACAAAAAGTCAACTATTATTTAGTTAATTAAACATACTAGCGGGCATATTTTAATAGGCACCGCGGTCAAAACATATTGTCCCTTTTATTATTGTATATAAAAAATTGATTTCGATTAAATACGCAATGAATCTAGCAATCTTGCAGTGGGATCTCGATCCATTTTAAAATATAACTACAAGAAAATTAAATTATACAAAATCTAGCACTCAATATGAAACATAACTTAACGGTATTTTTAAAAACCCTTGTAAATGAAAATACTTTTATGTTCTTAGCGAAAAATTACGACGTGACAGTTCATATCTAAGCATTTTTTCTATGTATCTATTCTAGCACAAAAAAAATGTTATAAATGATTGTAATGGTAAACCTTAGTCTCTCCCGTGACCATGATTGCTGTAAAGCATTGGAAACGTCGGGAACCAAAATCAAAATAAATCCGCGAAATAATCCGCAAATTTAGTTTTATTTAAAATGTCAAATATTCGTGTAAATCTAAGAGAGTATTATAATTGTATTGGCATAATAATATTATGCTTTTTAAATAGTTAGGTTTTTTTAAATACCTAAATTTAAACGATTTCTTTACTAAACAAATCTAAAAATGTATTTTGGATTTTAAACCATCACCAATTATTTTATGTAATAAATAAATTCATTAAATAATTTAGCGTTGTTTATACACATAATTTGTGAGTAATAAATAAATACATATATATAATAACTAAACAACAGGGTCCGTCCGCGTCCGCGTACGTGACGTACGTGTCGCCGTCGGACGCGCTGCGCGCCATACAGGGCGTGAACAACGTGACGCTGGACGGCCGCGTGCTGAAGGGCTCGCTCGGCACCACCAAGTACTGCGCCAACTTCATGAAGAACCAGCCCTGTCCGAAGCCCGACTGCATGTACCTGCACGAGCTAGGTGGGTGTTGGAATTACTGCCTTAATATCCATTAATAAATACGTAAATGTAGCAGGTATATATTATACTAGCGGACCCGACAGACGTTGTCCTGTCTACACGTCTTTAATTTGAAAATTTCAAACTTTTTTTAATAATTTTTTTGATGAAAATTATTATTCAAATTGTGAATCTAAACCATTCCCAGATCCCCTTGAACACACACAAAAAATTTCATCAAAATCGGTCCAGTCGTTTGAGAGAAGTTCAGTGACATACACACTCACAGAAGAATTATATATATAAAGATATAGTACTTACGCTACTATAAAACTTACCAACCTGATTGTACTATCTTAATTTCTTAAAGATTCGTATAAATTATAAATATAAGCCTAAACTAACATAATTATAATAGTAGCTAATTCTACTAATACAGCCTAAAAATATATTTGTACTACTAACCTTAGAACATAACTGCCCTTATTGTCCCGAGGTGGGCGTAAATAGCTGCGTCACAGTTTATACTAATGCAGCTACTTACGATCTATTTTTAATATGTATGTTATTATGTTCAATAAAAAATTTTAAATCTTTAAAATTAATATACGAACACCATCTATATAGAGAGTGGATTGAGTGGCGCAAAGCCGCGACAGAGACAAAACGAATGTGCGGCCAGATGTCTTCTGTATTCATTGGAATACGATTAATGAAGATAGATATTTATAACCATTTTACATCCCATAATGATATTTTAATTTTTAATAAATTATGTCCATCTATATAATTGTTTAGTCTAAGAAATACATATAAGTAACCCGGCAGGTGATCCAAAGGCGTCGTTCACGAAAGAGGAGATGCACGCGGGCCTGCACCAGGTGTACGAGCGGCGGCTGCACACGCAGCTGCTGCAGCGCGACCGACCCGACCGCGGGGATGAGAAGCAAGATGGTAATCACTTACTATACAATAATATGTAATATGCGAAAATAGCTGTCTGTCTGTCTGTTACTGCTGCTGCTGCTGAACTCGATTAAGAGATAGTTTGAGACCCTGGAAAGGACATATGATAGTTTTTATCCCGGAAATCAACCTTTAAGGGGGTAGAAGTTTGTATGGGGAATCAATCATTGCTCAAGGGATATATTTTTTTATTTCTTAAAATGAACTAGTAGACTAGAGAAAAAAAACGAATCTACCTCATGGGAACTGTATATTTTTCCGGGATAAAAAGTAGCCTATGTTTTCTTCTGATGTATGAGTTAGATTATTGTAAAGTTTCATTAAAATCCATTCAGTAGTTTCTGTGAGAAAGAGTAACACACATCCATCCATACATCTATCATCCATCCAGCCATCCATACACCCTCACAAACTTCCACATTTATAATATTATAAGTATAGATTTAGACGCATATATAAATAGAAAACATTTTTTCGGCTTTATTGAAGTGAAATGTGCTGTATCAAAGCCTAAGTACATCACGAGAATATTGTCAGTGACCACGAAAACTTAGTCATAAAGGTAATTATACTAACCTATATCTATGAAGTATCTTTTTCCTGATTTATTCATCAACAACCATATTAACTGCTAGCCTCAAGTGCTTAAATTTTACATTCCAGAAAATATAAAGAGGATTTAGATTTTAAATAAAACTATCTTTTCGAGAGAGGGGTCTCTCCCGTGACCATGATTGCTGTAAAGCATTCGATATGTCGGGAACCAAAACCAAAATAAATCCGCGAAAAAATCCGAAAAGATAGTTTTATTTAAAATGTCAAATATTCTCGTAAATCTAAGATTATTTATTACAGTTATAGATCAGAATTTTTAACTTTACAGGCAGTTCTAGTACGAATGCAGAAAATGGCAGTAAAACTAAAGATGGTAAGGCAATTTTTTTCTTAAACGTTATGGAATACATATTCTTTTTTATTATTTAATATTAAATTATATTTTATTATTTTTTATAGGCAATCAATCTAACTTTATACCGACAACAGTGGTCACATCGTCTCAAATAAATGTAGTCAGCACGTCGAAGTAAGTGTTTTCTTATTTATTTTGTCATAGTTGGGACTGTGTCTATTTTTGATTATAATTTTGATAAGAAAAAAAAATTAGGGACAATATAAGTACTAACATGATAATTGCGATACAGAGTAATTTACGACACAAATACGTTTCCTTTCGACCTTCTAAAAAAGGTCATACTTAATTCGTTTGTGTAGGTATGTTGCGTAATTGTAAATCGACGAATCTGTGCCTCAAAGGTGATTATATAAATTTTAAGAAAATAAAACCCTTAATATTTAATAAAAAATATTTTGAAAGTAAATATGACCTTTATTTTTATAATTATATCGTAATTCCAGATCAAAGAAGGAAACAGTGAATGGTACAAGTAATAACCAAAACGGTAACAGTAACGGTAACACTAGCGGTAACGGTAATGGGAACAGTAATAGCAATAGCAACGGCAAAGAGGCGTGGCCGAGCCTGGCGTGCTCACCGCCCGCCGACAGCCCCAAGCGGCCTAGTCCTGAACCACATGCAGGTATATATATCAATAAAGTTTACTATATATAATTTCATATAAATGTATACTACATTTTACACGCATTTTATAGAAACACTCTTTTCAGTTTCGAATTCCCAAATTTTTCCTAGTTTTTTTTACCCTGAAAAATTATTCGGATAGTTGAGAATTAGTATAAAAAATAGCCAAATTGATTAAGTTGTTTTCAAGTATGTAATTGCATATGAATAATTTTTATTATAATATTATATACTATTGTAATTATCTAAATCTGTAATAATGGTTTAAAAATATTTTCAATGAAATGTAACATGTAAAATGACTCATGAAAATGAATCAAATTAGCCCAAATTCGGAGCTTCCACCTGGCTCTGATGAGTTAGCGATTTATTATCAAATTATTGTATTGCCATCTAATTTCACATGTAATACAAATTTCGCGTTGATTAATATCGACTTATTTTTATCTAGCTAAAACAATGAATACCTTATTTGCTCTTCCTATTAATTTAAATATCTAACTCCAAATATTACTCTTCCAGTTAACTCACAAGAAAACGGCACATCAGAATCTTCCAGTCCGACACTCCAAACACAACAATCTCAAACCAAACACAAAGAAAACCACACAGATACAAAGTCTAGCAGAAGTAACAAAGACAGCAATCACACAAACGGTATCAGCAAAAAGAGCAAAGAAGGCAAATCTAAACAGAAAAATAGCAACAGCATCACACAGGAACCCGAACCAGACCTTCCCGAGAGCAAACCAGAAGATAATAGCATTCAGAATTCAGTATTCGAGAACGACTCACAGAGCTATCTATCAAACGAATTGGACGAATTAGAATCGGACAGGCACAGTTTGCTGGAAAACCATGATTTGTTAGATAATAGCGATCACAGCCTCTTAGATGATGATACTCACAATTTATTGAATGACGCTAACAATGAAGTTATGATGATGCAGAGGCATAAAGAAATGTTAGCAGGGCTCGTTGATAACCACTTGATTCCTCAAATGAAACCAATCAACGGATACGGGTTGTTAGATAGGGATACTTATCTTACAAATGATAGGCCATTAAGTCATAATCCGGGTCTGATGGACCAGAAGGAACTGATGCGCAGCCGGAATCTGCTCATGAGACAAAACGAAATGCTCGCGAGGCAACACAATGTTATGGTGGAACCAAAGCACTATATGCCCACGCCAAGTATAGGACTTGAGTCTGCTAGTGAATTATTAGGTGAGCTTTTTTATTATTTAACTATCTAACGTTTAACGTAATAACGTATAGTATTGATTTTTCAGAGATGAGATATTTTCTCGCATTAAAAAGTATCCTATATGTAGAGCCAGATAACCAGCTATTATCATACCAAATTTCATCGAAATCTCCCAAATCATCCAGTGGTTTTCTCATGATACGGTCACAGACAGACAAAACTTCTAAAAACTATAGATGAGGCCTCTCGATATTAATTACTATTTCAATAAGATTTTCCAAAAAATATTTAATTTACAGGATCGACTCAGTTACAATTTTATTATATGTATAGATATAAAAAAGTATGAAGATTATTAGCTAATAGGCTTTTAGGATGTCGAGATTTGTATTGTATTCACTTTAATTCCACTTTCTTGTGGCTTAAAGTATACCAGTTGAGCTGCTATTATTTCGCCAATGTCACATAGAATGGAGAAGATATGAAGGAGATTGGGATTCATATTTTAATTAATATCATAAGTTATAAAAAAGAACTTAATAAATAAAAAGGCTTATTCATCAAGACATTTGAATGGATGGAAATGTTCAAATCATAAATAATCTATAAAGTACTTGCAGAATATCAAATATTATATATTATCAAATATTAATAAAACTTTCTGTTTCATTCCAGGTGCTAATTTTCATCCAAATCACAATATGCTTCCACCATTCGGTATGAGAGTAGATAATTCTATGGGTTCAAGCGCTTTAGGAAATATAATGACAAACACATTAACCGCAAATTCATTAAACAACCCCATTACAAACACACTGGCAAACTCTATGGGTACAAATAGCATGTCTGCAAATTCTATGGGGAATACCATGGGAAACACCATGGGAAATTCTTTGGCAAACTCAATGGGAAATTCAATGGGGGCGTTTATGCTTCGCAATCAACAGATGCAACAACAAATGCAAAATCAGATACCATTGCGAAACGATCTTCCAAACGGTTTCGATACGCCACAGGCTGTAAGTTGACTCAAATTTTATTTAATAATCTATTCATGGGTTTAAAACTGTATTCTCATGTCTAAAACTATGTTATAATATTAAAATCTAACAACACCTCGGTTGCGAAGCAGGAAAAATTTTGGACAATGATAAACAAAGTTCGATGTTACGAGCGCATATAGAAAACCTTTCTTCTCGGTAATACAGTTTTCCATTTGTGTCCTTTTGGTGTTATATTTTATTTGTCATGTTGTTGTTCTTTGAAGGTCGACCTTCAGGTTTGATTGATTCTGTATTTGAATAATGGTAATAATGTAAAAACGTTTATTTAAACTCTTGTGTACTTGGCAATTAATATTTGAAAAATGTTTTTGATTACTGGTAGACAAATTTGCAATGTCCAAAATTCTTCCTGTATAAGTGTGAAGCCTATATCGCTAGTTCATTACTGAAGAAGTGACTATTTCAACTCAGCAAAGTAAGAATATGAAGAAAAGAGATAAGAACATTCGTTTCATAGACATATAAGATGTATTAGAGTTGATTTTGATTATTGCATAAAATTAGATACCCTTAGAGACAAAAAAATATTTTATATATATAACTATGGGGAGAGAAAGAGGAGTAGAGAGGAGAGTCTCTCCCATAACCATGATTGCTGTAAAGCTTTCAAAACGTCAAGAACCAAAAATCAAAATAAATACGCGAAAAAATCCGAATACATAGTTTATTGAAATTTGTTTATGTTACATATGGTAGGTACGTATGGTACGTTTTGACGCTTAGTATGAAATAGATTACATAGGCTTTTACATAGGTATGATGTGTTTTATACCCCTTGAGAATTGATTGACTTCCCATAAAATCCTCCACCACCGTTTTTACCCCCTTAAGGATTTCCGGGATAAAAACTAATCTATATCCTTCCCAGGTTCTCAAACTTTCTCCATATCAAATTTTATCTAAATTCGGTTCAGTGGATTAAGCGTGAGAAGCTAATAGACAGAAAGAGCTACTTTCGCGTTTATAATATTAGTATGGATTCGCGTATATCTATGAAAGTAATACTTGCAAATATAATATAGCTTTGTTTAAATATTCCAGAGCGAAGGTCGCTACCAAGCGGAGACAATGGGCAAGTTCTTCACGGACTTCCACAAGGCGCAACAGATGCGGCTGCTGCTGGCGCGCGGCGAGGAGCGGCGCCACGACCGCCACGACCTGCCGCACAACATGCTCAGTGCTGAGCGCTTGGAGATGGAGCATAAACAGAGGTATTGGAAGACTTTATATATACATATAGTATAGTAATAATTATAATGTCCTAACGGCTTTGTATAGTGGTATTAGCCGTGCATACAAACTCTTGCATTTTTATATAACTAGAGCTTACTTAGCTTATAACTACCTTGCTTCCCAATACAAACTTTCATCTCCATTAAGGGATGATTACCGGGATAAAAAGTATCCTATGTCCCTCCCAGGATCTTATACTATCTTATAAATCGGTTCAGTAGATACAAAGATTACCCCCTACAACATCACAAACTTTACCTTTTTATAATATTAGTATAGATAGTAGTCAATATATATGATTTCTAATAAAATGTTATAATATCTTTCCAAATTTGGTCGTAGTTTTATTTTGAGATTTTGTTTATTGTGTGTGCTTACTTAGATGAACAAACCTCTTCCCTTTTGGAAGTCGGTTAATGAAATCGCGATAAAACCAGAAAGATTCGCCTAAATTAAATAATTAAATCTAAGGTTGTGTTAACATTTCCCAACAACGAATTCTAGAATGAACAACATGCGAGCAAACGAAGGTATGGGGGCGAGTGCGGGTGGTGCGGCGGGTGCGGGGCGCGCGGCCGGCGACGGAGACGACGATCTCGACTTCGACCCCTTCAAGGAGACGCAGAAGGCGCTAGCCGAGATGATGGAGACCGAAGTCATGCTCAACACCATTTCTAGCGGGTTTGCGTTTATTTTTTGTATATTTATTAACTAGCGACTCATGTTCGTCCCTACGTACCTACGTACTACGTACCTAATCGTACGTTTTGACGGTTAGTATGAAATACAAATCTTTGAATTTCTCGGCTTTTCTGTACTATAATATGTATGTATTATACATATAAACCTTTTTGAATCACTCTATCTATTAAAAAAAACGCATCAAAATCCGTTGCCTAGTTTTAAAGATCTAAGCATACATAGGGACAGACAGACAGCCAGCCAGCGGAAAGCTACTTTGTTTTATACTATGTAGTGATTGATACAACAACAATTTATTTATTAAATTACCTATATATGCATTTTTTAAAGAAACAAAATTAGAATAGAATTGGCAACTGAATTAAATCAATTTTGTGAAATCAGACATTAATTTACATATTTGTTTAAGTCACAACTAGTTATAGTACCCAATACTTTAAAATAGTTAATAAACTTCACTTTTATTTTGACCCTATCTATAATCTAAGCACTCATAGAATGTCTCATCAGAAACGAAGAAAAAATAGATCAAATAAATGTCAATAGATATCTAATTGTGATTGTTATTATTAATAAAACAGGAAAAAAAACTGAAATATTTACATTTTAATTTTAAAGTTCTTTTTATTTTTTATTTTTAGTTCCCGACATTTCGAATGCTTTACAGCAATCCGAGAGAGCATGATTCGAAAAGATAATATAGATATTCGCGTAAATCTAAGAAAGTATTAGGTTTAATAGTATTAACTATATATATAAAAGGCAAGAAGTGAAATGTATTAACGTACAGACCAAAACCTTAGGCTAGAAAATTGAAATTTCGCACACGTATTCCTCATATGACGCAGGCATCCACTAAAAAAGGATTTTTCAAAATTCAACCCCCAAGGGGGTGAAATCGGGGATAAAAGTTTTTATGAAACCTTTTATTCTTTGGACATATGTGTATGAAATTTCGTAAGATTTGAGTACGGCAAAAATAATGAGTTATATATTTCAACGTTTTCTAAAATTCAACCTTTAAGAGGGTAAAATAGGGGGATGAAAGTTTTTATGAAACCCACTATTTAGTTTTTTTGTAGTTTTAGCGCGAGCGAAGGCGCGGGTTCTGCTAGTTCCGTATAAAATAAAAGCAAATTAAAATTATGTATCTTACAACGTTAATTGTTTAATCCGCAGTGACAACATGGAGCGCGTGCGTCGGTCCCGACTGCCGCCGCCCGGTTTCTCGCACATGAACACTTTCGGCATTGGCGTGCCCCGCCACCAGGGACATCACCAAGGTAAATTGCAATACACTTTGTCTATAACACTTGAAAGAAGGCCTTAACTAATAATTTGGTCAAAAATGACTTAAATGCATCAGCAAAAAAATATGCTACTTCATACTCATAAAGCTCTAAGTCCTATGAATCCGGTGATACCATAACCATTTTCATCGTAACTACGTCAAAACTGGTAGTAATTTTGACGTAGTAGTAAGATAAAACTTCAAATATCTCGAAATCAACTTTGAGGAAGTTGCGGCCTTTTTTTTATGACGGCAGTATTGCTACTAATATATTACGCAGGGCTAAGATTTATCACCTGATAAATCTTCGAAAGTGTTATGTTCTGTTGTGTGTTTTAGGCACTAATGTACAAAGTATAATAAGTAATAAAACATCGGTGCCTAAAACCTAGTAATAAGTAACTAACATACTCTTAATGAATAACAAACTATGTGTCAAGTATTAGGGATGCCAGATTTGAAAAGTTATCGTTTACTAATTAATCGAACTTTAATTTTACGAAATCTTACAACTGTTATAATGAAAAAAGTTCAAACATAATACGATGTTGTATTTATTTAACATGGCCATTGAATTAATAACTCTGAATTATTCATACATGCATAATTCAGAGTTATTAATATTATGTACAAAGGAAAATACAACTAAAACATCACATATAAGAGCTATTCACATTTTTAGGTTACAATTCCAACAACGCGATGTTCTCAGATTGGACCCAAATGGACCCAGCCATCATGTCCACATCGGTGAACTTCGGCAAAGCTCCACAGAGCGGTCTCAGCCAGCAGCAGCAGGAACTGTTCGCCAGGTTCAACCATCTCCAAGTGCAGCCGAATGGGGTCAAACTGCCCCCCTGGCCCCAGCAAAAGCTCCCCTGGCCGCAGCACCCTGCCCCCTACAACGCCATCCCCCTGCCCCCGGGCTTCGCCCCCACCAAGAATAACCAACACCCAGCTGAATGCATCGACGCCAAGTAAACAAACAACAAACAAACCAACCACGGAATCTTTCTATCATTACTATTTCCGTTGGACGTGATCGATAAATCTTTGTATTAAGAGAGCATATTTTAACGAGAGAAATATGATGAGGAATTTGTAAATTAACCTATTTGTTTTATTTAAAAAAAAGTTTGATTTATATTTTATTACGATTTCGGATCCCCGCGTCTTATCATATTTCTTAGATTTCGTTCTGTTAGTTCTTTTCTCGACTGAAGATATATGTATATTCGTTATATATTATATACTTGCTAATAACCCTGTTACATCAGATTATTTTTTCTATATTAAAAATGAGATGCCAATTGATAGGTTCAGTTTTGTACCTTATTGAGCCATTTATCCATTGAAAAGATCATTAAAAATGAAGTATTATACAGACTCTTTTAATACATACCTACACCGTTATGATGTTAACATGGCTAGTTTCTATGTCGACGATACAAATGAGCAACGATTATATATAGATTATTTTAATATAAAAAAATATTTAGTGTAAATAAAAATAATGAAATTGAATGGAAATCTTTTGAATGATTTGTTTATTTTTATTGTGAAAATACATTCGATTGTTTTTTGTAATTATTAAATATATACACAAGTGATAGAAAATATTTAAGTATTACACTCATTACTGTTAAAATGTTCAATTAAAATACATAATATATTGCTACAGATATTATTTCATCATACATATCCGCAAATATATACTTTATCTAAAGAGATTACTTAAATATGTAATTAATAATTCCACATTTTCAAAAAAAAAACTTTTTACAATGCAAATTAATTATTAAAACTTTAACTTTTAATTATGTTGAATGTATATATATTTTATTTCAAATTTAATTAAAACACCCAAGCAATTTACATTTTTTCATCAATATATCCACGAGGGTCAGGACCATCCCAAGGCACCACTTGTCCGTTATGCCACACGTACATTCCTCCCGTTCCAGGATACAGTGCAGTCTGCAGAGGGGCTCCTGCAGCTTCCTCGGGACTCAAGGTACCAGCCCCACGGGTCATATCTGACATCACATAGCCGGGATGCACGCAGTTTACTTTTATACCTGGAATTACTTTTTAGTTATAAAAGTACATTAGACTTTAATGACGCTAAAAGTTATTACACAGAAGGGGTGATTTTTTTTTAATTTATATCGGTGTTCTATAATTTATTTATTTAAAATAGAATGATCAACATCAGTACAAAAGTAATGAAGATACTGCGTAACATAAACTCTCTTTTTAGTCGGTTAAGATTATTTAATTTTAATTCTGAAACTTTATCCTAACGTTTGTATGGAATCTGGTATTTTAGGAATAAACAATAGATATTTTTTTCTTTACTGACGAATTACCATCGCCTAGTGAAGGTCCCTAAGAGTAACAACCCTAATAGCCTAATGTTATCCTTGTCATAGTTTTTCTTTGATCAATTTCATTTAAATCTGTCCAGCCGTTTCAGCGTGAAGGAGTAACAAAAATATACAGATATATATATACATACTAGCAGAACTCGCGGCTTCGCTTGCGGTAAAACAACAAAAAAACTAAAAAGGTTTCATACAAAATTTCATCCCCTATATATTGAAAAATGCTAAAACACTTATTTATTTAATTTAATTGAAGAGCATTAATTTCAAGTTTCAAGTAATTCTGATTACAAATATTTTTTTGGTTTGTATTTTAACGCGTTTTCCCTTAGGAATAAGATAATTTCACGCGATAAAATGTAGCATATTATGTCACTCTAGCCTCTCTCCAATGGAGATAGTTGGAGCTACTATGTCCACAAAAAACCCGCCAATCTCTCACTCCGTTTCGTGAAAAACGTGAAAGCCGGACAAACAAACACACTTTCACATTTATATGGGCAGGGAGATGATGATATATGCAATTATAATGGTAGTAATGTGGTGAAAGCGAACTTTAAGGATCAAGACAAGATCGAGGTGGGTAAAAATCAACCTTTTTTTCGCCCAATAAAGTGATGAAACATGAACTAATTCGTTTATGTGATGAAAATTCAAATTTTTTAATTATTATTATATGTAGTTTAGGTGTTGACCTTTACATTTTTAGTGTAAATTAGTAAGAAAAAAAATAACAGTCATAACAAGGACATTTATACTTCAATATTCAGGGTATTTTTCGATTTTTTTTAATTGTTAAGCGGTGTATGCACTACGATATTTTTTAGTCCCTCAAATACTACAATAAGTAGGCTTCTAAATGTGAATTCATGATAATATGTGATTCGAAACAAAACAGCTTGTCCGCGACCTTGCGCGTGTCATATTGTAGGTAAAACAAATATTTCTTTTGTAGCCAATAGCCATTATTCTACGTAGTACCTATTGTATGGGTTTCTGTATTTTAATCAAAAAATAATGCCTGGAAATCAGCGCTTAGTTTAAGATATCTTCATTTTCAATTCTAAACAAATCCGTTGAGTATAGGTGTATGATTAGTGATTACATACCTCTATCTACCAATCTTCGATTCAATATAAACGTGTAAGCGTTTACGCCAACCTTTGACACCACATAGGGAGAGTCGCCCCACTGTTCATAATTTTTATTAAACTTCACCGTGTCAATATAATTTTGCATTAATTTTTTTAATTCTTTCACAGTCAAGTTTGAATTGCTTATATCTTTTCTTAATACTTCTGACGGAATCCTAGAAAGATGTCCTGAGGAACTCGAAATATTAACGATAGTGCCATTATTATTCATGTAGGATAGAATTTCTTCCGTAAACTCAACTAAGGCAAAGAAATTTACGAGTAAAGTAAATTCTGCTTGGTAAATTTTCGATTCTGTTGCGTCCTTTAAGAATAGAACACCAGCGTTATTTATCAATATTTGTATCTTCTTATTTTCCGTTTGTAGAAAAGAACAGAATTTCACTATACTTTCTTTATTAGTTATGTCAAGTTGATGGTATTTCGGTGCGTAACCTAGTTCTTGTAACTTCAAACAGGCTTCTTGCCCACGCTTTTCATCTCGCGACGTTAAATATACGGTACCCACAAATTTTTTACATAAACCTTTGACTATAGCAAAACCAAGACCTTTGTTAGCGCCCGTTACAACCGCGATTTTATCAATCATTGTTCCTTTAATCTAAAACTATACAAGATTTGTAGTAGGTATTTTGTTTCTGTTACTTGAAATATAAATTCTTCTTACTATATTGATAACTGATAACATTGAGACTTGTTTATATATTTTTATCTTAAAAGATTAGACTTTATATGTATACCTACCAGTTTATAACTAGGTATACTCTTTGATACCTACGTAGTGCAATTTTGATATTATCATTAAATCATAAATGATTAAATTAAAGACTTCATGTTTTAACAAGTCTATTGAAACCACGATGCTAAACGTGATTCTTAATAAGATAAACCGTCATAAATTTTTTGTAATTGGGTAGAAGATCCTCACTAAATATATATTTTTTTTCAGTACGAGTAAGGTGTATGATGTCATCATTACCAATTTTACTAAGACAAAACCTTGAAATTCGTTATATTTTTTAATTGAAGGAGTTTAACTGGAGGAAATGTTATTAAAAATTCAGTATTTAAAGCATGTTAATATAACAAAATGCGTGATAACAATATTATAGTAAAAATTGTGTAATAATAATAATAAGAAAGGATTTTGTATCAAATGATTAGGTTAATTGTATTTCTCTATGGATAGTCTAAACTCTAAAACTTAAAGGTGTTGCCAGATAAAAAATAAAAATGTCACTGTACTTGTAGTCACGAATAAGTTGACGCCACTACCTTATGTACATCTACATTCAAAGAAGCGTTCATTCATCATTGATCATTCACATTTCACTCATTCTTATAACAGCTGAGCGCGTTGTAACTCGTAGTATTGTTTATTTACTTTGTTTAATTGAACATTCTAGAAATTAACCATGTCGTTTTGGCCGGCAACAAAACCATCGTTCGGGGACGAAGTGGTGTTGCGTTCTATTGATTGGCTGGAAAACTTCCCCTGGAGAAACGATGCAACTGTGAAATGTGATAAGGGTAAATATCAAATTTTATTGCACGCTAAGGATTTTACACCAGAAGAGATTACAGTGAAGACTATAGATGGGTTTATTGTTGTGGAAGGCAAGCATGAAGAGAAAAAAGATGAAGATGGATACATTTCTCGGCATTTTGTGAGGAGATACATATTACCAGATGGTTGTCGACCTGAGTCAGTTGAATCTAAGTTATCTTCCGATGGAATCCTTACTATTACCGCCCCCAGGAAACCGACTGTGCGTAAAGATACAGTTATACCCGTTTCGCATGAAAGCATCAAGTCTAAATTATAATCTAAGTAAACAAGTATACAAAGCGAATTGAAAAAATAAGTTACAACGTACTTTGACCCCAAACTTCTAAGTTGTAACAGGCGTATGGAAATTTCATTTTTTTATTTTATAATGCATTCAAATATTATAAGTTTAATAAAAGGGAAATTTAATCAGGGTTGTGTATATTTTGTGTGAGGGATAATTTATAGGGTAATTCGAATAATTACTTAATTCATAATTGTATAAATGAAAAATGTAAATTTAATTATATGCCAAAGAATAAAAATGTCATTCCTAAACCTAACTTGTTTTATTAGGTAGTATACATTTAATTATCATTATAATACAATGAGGTTAGATTATAGATTAAAAAAATATTGATGGCTCATAATATTATATAATAAGTTAAAAAAAACAATGTTAATAGAAATTCAATGATACTATTAGAGGAAGAGCCCGTGGACGCCAGACCTTCGTCATTTTATAAAGGCTGAAAGTTTGTCAGCGCATGCTCCCAACACAGATAAGAACGATGGACCATTATGAAGTTCAGGCTATGGTGGCTTTGGCAGGTACACGGTACTAAAGGTGTGTAAAATACCGATCTAAATTCGTCAAATAATAAAGTGTGATTTTTTGGTATTACCTTCAGAATATTATTAAAAATCACGTTATTCAATGCCAGACACTTAACATCGTGGCAAACCCTTGCCAGACATCCTTTTCATGAAATCATAATTCTACTTACGTTATAGTATAAAAGCTGATTTTTATATATAATACTTGGGTAATAATTAGATGATTTATAAGACTGCTAGCATAGCATTTATTACACGTGGGAAGGCATCACGAGAAAACCACTGGACAGATTTCGATGAAATTTGGTATGATGATATTTGGTTATCCGGGTATATTATATAGGATACTTTTTACTGCGGGAAAATATCTCTTAGAATTCAATACTAAACGTTAAAACGCAACTAGGAACAAATCCGAGCGGAGCGAGAGTGAGTCACTAGTAAAATATAAAATAAAAACTGTAAAGAACACTAATAAAATGTTTGATCAATCATCATCATCTTTTGTTTTATTGGTCGTGTCTGAAAGTTAACGTTAGTTTTTAACGTTAGTAATAAATAGAGAATATTTTACGTGAATTCCAACTTTCATTATTTTTCACGATTCATCAAATTGCAAAGTTGGCATGTTTAAGGCGATATTGTATAAATAATAAGCGTCCAATTAAAAACTAAAGGGTACCATTTTTTTTTGTTTTTTTCCTGAATAATACATTAGTGTATACACTATACATGTATTGGACCGTACAATGTTTTTATATTTTCGAAAAGTAGAGTTCAAGACTAAAGGAATAAGGCCTATCTGAATTTTGGAAGAATGTTTTTTAAAATGTAAACGCCCACTTGAAGTTGGGGGTGATTTTCAGCCCCTGAGACCATAAAACATACTTTTCTCGGAAATGGCTAAAAATTGAATTTCATTTTTTTAAATTTATTATATGTATTTCGAAGATTACATTCCCTTAGTTTCATGAAAATGAAAAGATTATTCTAGAAATAATAAATAAAAAACCAAGAAACAGTTAAAAACCGAGTTTTTTGCAAATATCTCAAAAACTTTGAAGTTATTGTAAAAAGTGTAATTTTTAAAAGTTGTAGATTTTTACTAGACCTACAACTTTTGTAGAAAAGATTTTTCGATAGAACATCACAGTAAGCCGGAAATTGAAAAAAACTATTTTTCAACGCTTTGCGTCCCCCCATTTCTCGGGGGTAGCTGGGCATGTGGGGCATTTTACGAATTTTTATTCCTTATATACCTGCTAACATTTTAAAATCATAAAACTTCAGGTTATCAATATATTTTTTTCTCTTAAAAATAAACGTTGGATAAAATTGGTCTAAATTGTAAACCAATTTTTTATATTTTTTAATGAGTGTTTTAAGGTTCCATATTATAAATAAGAAAAATGATTGCATATTTATTGCATATTTTTTGGTATCTTTAAACTCGCTGTACCTTTTTACCAGACTGCGGCGAAGTCCAAAGGAGGCTTAGTGTTTGTCATGTATGCATGTCTATCTAGTGACTAGCATGTTCGGTTGCGGAGCCGGAGGTCCTGGGTTAGAGATCCAAGTCGTACCAAGTATAGTTATAAAGCTTTTCTGTCTAGAAGTTCTCAGTAACAGTCCAGAGGGAGGAAGTAGGCGGAACAGATAATGCACTTGTGTTTCCGCGTATGTTTGTTCCCTGACGACACGTTTGGCTCAGTTTGTAGTGACCCTACTTGCTGTGCCAGCGGTCGCGGGTTTCAGTCCCGCTGGAGACATTGTATGTATTTAAAGTTATATCAACTATCTGATATCCATAACACAAACCTCGTAGCTTACAATGGAACTATATAGTGCTTTGGTTAATGTCCCAGCATCTTTATATTATACTAGCAGAATCCGTGGCTTCGCTCGTGCTATAAATACAAAAAAATATCTAAAAAGGTAGTTTCAAATTTTCATCCCCCATAAAGGATGAATTTCGAAAAATGCTATAATAAATAAATATACCATGTTTCAAGTATTTGTGATCACAAATATTTTTTTGTATTATATTATAACGTGTATTCCCGTGGGAATTAGATGATCTCCCGCGGTAAAACGTAGCTTATGCCACTCTCTAGCCATCGAACTATCTCCACACAAAAAATCACGCCAATCAGTCACTCCGTTTCGACGTGAAAGGAGGATAAACAAACACACTTTCACATTTGTAATATTAATTGTGGAAAGTATGGATTATATTTATATATTATCCCAGTGCATATGATTATAATATCTTCAGTTGACAACGATGAGTTTATCTGTTATCACGTAACTGGCCGTGACCTCGACTTTGATTAGGTGGTCACTCTGTAGTTGGCCGCTTACTAAAGTCAACGTATTTCTTAATAAGGCGAGTTCTCAAATCTTTTATAGCTCCATAACAGTTAATTTAATATTTCATAGTAATAATATTTACGCTTTAAAAGAAAATATTGGAATTTACAGGATGATATACAGAATTATTTGATCTATGTGAATAATTGGAGAAAATTGTGTGTGATTCATAAAACTGTAGACTCATTTCTGTGGGACAGGATACTTTCAGTAAGTTTAAGTACGATAATTTTGATATTACATCTTCGTGAATAATTGTCAATATGGCCAACACAATTCTTTCTAACCTATACATATAATAAAATTGTAACGAAGCCGAATCTGTACATTAGAATTTTTTTGGAAAATAGATATAAATGAAATAGACATTATTATCGATACAGAGGCCAAATCTATAGTTTTTAGAATTTTTGTCTGTCTGTCTGTTACCGCATCACAGGAAAACCACTGGAGGGATTTTGATGAAATTTAGTATGGTTATAGCTGGTTATCCGGGTTAACATATAGGATACTTTTTACCGCGGGAAAATATATCATTTTTGAGAAAAAATACAAAAACTGCAATGTAAGAGTATATTATTATGTAAAACCTAAGAATTTGGTTTTCGGTCATCTGAAGGAGCCGCGGGCAATGCTAATAAAATATATATTTGACTGTTTGTGTATGTATGTGTGACAGTCTCACCCACAGACAAATGCTGTATTTTAATCAATACTATATATATTAAGGGTAGCTTGATGCCGGAAAATGCCAGGGTACTCCTTAGAAAGGAAAATTAGTTTTATGAATGTTTTTGAAATTTTCCGTTACGATTTATTACAGGTTATTGAAAGGATTTTTTCTGTTTCAAACTATATCACTGATAACATATCCAGGTAACATATCCGGGTTAACATATCCATGTTAACATATCTGTGTCAACATTCCCGGGCTACCATATCCGGGCCGACATTTTCGTGATAACATATCCGAGCTAACACATCCGGGATAACATATATTTTTTATGTTGGGAAATGCATTTACGCATACCACCTGCTGTTTGGTTCCTGAAATTTTCCTTACTGCAGTTACAAATTTGCCATAAAATTCACACAAATAACCATAACGCAAATTCCATTTTCAAATTTAGAAAAATATATAAGTTTCTAGGATATGCCTTTAATAAATATATGAATTGCATAAGATATTAAATATATTTTAAAGTTAGGCTTCATATCATATCTGATAAATATTATCTTAGAAGGTATCAATTAATGATTTATGAATTTTAAGTGATCAGTAACAATATTTTTTATTATTTTATACACCAAAGCCTGCGAAAGACACCCAGTTGTAAGTTGCATAATCCGATTTTTCAGACAATCTGCTCAGTGTTAAGTCGCTCTATTAAATTTAGGTGTTATTTCCAGGGTGCATTGGACGTATGTAGTAGAACATCTTAGTTCAAGGCAACGGATTCACCATGACTGTAGTTAAACCAGAGAATTTTATAGAATACCTGCTAATCAACTACAGATGGCTTTTCGCTATCACTCTGTTGCCGATCTCTTTCCTGTGGAAAATCTGGTCAGCAATCAGAAACTACGTAGTCTTTAAGCTAAATAGTGCATCAAAGGCCCATGAGAGGAAAGTAAGGGATGTTCAGAAACAGGTACGGTAGCACTGTTATACTTTAATTAGAATGTATTAAATGAGTAAAGAACAAAAAAATGTATTCCCCTCAAAAAAAATGGTAGAATTCTTTTGGAGGAGGTAATCTAAATGATAAATAAATATCTTCTTTCTCCACTTTTGTGCTGGCTTGCTTGCTTTTTATAAAGTAAATCCTCTATGTCAAAGACATCTCAAGATTAATTTTATTGAAGAGCATTCATAGCAAGTTTCAAGTAATTCTGATCATAAATATTTTTTTGGATTGTATTATGACGTGTTTTCCCGTAGGCATGAGATTATCTCCCGCAAAAATAATTATAAAAAATAGCCTATGTCACTCTTCAGCTCTCCAACTAACTCCACACAAAAAATCACGCGAATCCGTCACTCCGTCTCGACGTGAAAGAAGGACAAACAAACACACTTTCACATGTATAATAGTAGTATGGATATGGATTTTATTTACTAAATCCAGTATATAAAGACAAAAAATCTAGTATTTCAAGGCTAACTATTAGTTAATCTTGAAACAGTTCAATCTCAGCTCGGTGCTAATAATTTGAACTTATAGATCTACTTCTTTTTTTTATTATTGTTGATGTAACACAAGTTTTATATAAAAATATTTTGAGGGAATTTAATGTATGGAAATTAGTTTGCGACTCACCCTCGCTCTGATCGGGTTCGTCCCTAGTTACGTTGTACGGTTTAGCATAGATTTCTTAAAGATGAGATATTTTTCCGCAGTAAGAAGTATCCTATATGTTGACCCGGATAACCAACTATAATTATACCAAATTTTATAGACAGGCAGACAGACAAAAATTCTAAAAACTATAGAATCGGCTGCTGTATCGATAATAATGATTATTTCAATAAGATTTTCCAAAAAATATTTAATGTACAGATTTGACTCGGTTGGAATTTTATTATATGCATAGATTAGTAGATGTTATTATATTTAAAAAAAACAATGCAGGTAAAAGAATGGCTATCCGGTGACCGTAAAACGAAGCTCTGCACTGCCCGTCCTACCTGGCAAACTATGTCTTTTCGCCATGGCCTCTACAAGAAGACCTTCACTAACATACGTGTGCACTTGGTGGACGTGCTTGAAGTCGATACTAAGAATATGGTAAGATAAATACACTTGATTATATATTATATTTATTTAATAACTCCATGGTGCAACGTGTTCTTATTAATTGCTTTTTTATAAATTTAAATAAGATATTCTTCATTAAAATGCAACTGAATTAAACTTAAATTTTGTATCTTAAGTATTTAATAAGCTGTTTTTATGTTTTAGAAAAAATATTAAACAACCATAATCTCGTATACCTACTTCTAATGTAACAAATTTAAGTTACTTGAAGTTCTTACTACGCTAATTATTATTTTTTAGACCGTCCGCTGCGAGCCTTTAGTAACCATGGGCCAGTTATCTAAGACCTTAGAGCGACTTGGTTTAGCATTAGCGGTGGTTCCCGAGTTAGATGGTCTGACGGTGGGCGGTTTGGTAATGGGAACAGGGGTAGAGACATCTTCTCATATATACGGCCTGTTCCAACATATTTGCTTAGAATACGAGCTTGTGTTAGCTGATGGGTCTGTAGTGACATGCAGCGAGGTTTGTTTAAATTCCTTTTCTTATTATTATTATTTTTTTTCTAAATGATTTTTCCATTTGTAAGTTTCCATTTTAATACTTTATTTGTAGGATTTATTGTACTGTTATTTTTCTACCTTAATATTAATTTAAGTGACATCTAGCTGTTAGCTTTTTATCCGTGACCATAGAACTGCAATGGTTTTCATAGTAAAGTACCCTTATTACTTTCTTTACATCAACGTCATGCATTGTCTAACTGTGCAAATATTGAATCTAGTGTATTGATGTAATGCATTTCCTTTTCAGCAACAAAATCCTGATCTTTTCTATGCAGTGCCTTGGTCATATGGAACATTGGGCTTTCTTACTTCAGTGGTTATTAAAGTCGTACCTGCGAAAAAGTAAATACATTTTTTGTATTAAAAATATTATTTCTATAGATATTGTGAGATGTCTACTATTTTTATTATATTATTTGCATTTCCCCTTGAAGCTTAGAGTAATTTACGGATAATTGTCTACTTTTTCTGATTTCATTAAATTACTTTATAGATACATCCGTCTACAATATCACCCATATACAAATTTATCGGATTTAGCTAAAAGGTTTCAAGAAGAATCTACAAAAGACAATCCTCATCAGTTCGTCGAAGCATTACTGTTTGCAAAGGATAGTGGAGTTGTGATGGTTGGTGATATGGTAGACTCAGTGGGCAGAGATGGCAAGGTGAGCGACAACTATACATACAACTTACGTATATTATTTAGGTTTATAGAAGTATATTATTTAATTATTATCAATGGAAAAAATCGGTTTGTCCCTTTATTTCATTCTGCTGTTAAATATTTAAATGAATATTTTATGAAACATGATTAAATTCTTAAAAAAAATTAAAGGTTTTTACCACCGCAAATCATTTCATTTTCAATTTTAAATACTCTTATTTAGTAGTAATATCCCTATAATGTATATTATATTAATTTTGTTTTTTTTAAGAACTCTATAACCTATATTATTATTATAATTTAGTTTTTTTCTCTTCTTAATTTCAGCTTAATCCTATTGGCGCGTGGCATTCGGAGTGGTTTTTCAAGCAAGTCGAAAAAAATTTGAAAAAATGTCTTCAAGGAAACAGCAAAAAGACTATAGAATATATTCCATTAAGAGATTATTATCACAGACACACTCGCAGCATCTTTTGGGAACTTCAGGTATTTTTATATAAACTTTACACGCCATAAACCGTTCAATGTTCATTTAGAAACTCTAAATACGGTGGGTAGAACTATATTACCAATAGAAATTACTGTGATCCAGCGAAACATTCTACGTTGATTTAAATTTTAGCAAATTCTTTAATTAACTCGTAATTGTCATGAGTACCGTTTGCATTCAAAATTATATTAATTGTATAAAAGTATGATATAGAAATGTTTGAGTGACTACAAACGTGAAAATGATTTACCAGTAGTAGTAGCAGTAGGTACGAGTACATTAAGGAATTTATTGCATTGGTGCAAAAATGAATTATCAGATTTACTTTTACATCGCCATTATCAAGGTCACACAATTAAATTTTTTCCAAGAAGGTCACACGATTAAAAAAGTTCGATTCTAAAAAACATAATCGTATATCGTTACAATCTTAGTTTATTTAGTAGCAATAATCCTTTAGGATATAAAAAATAGTGTAATTAATAAATATTAAGATAATAAAAGGTATTAGAGGATCAGAAGTATCCTCTTATTCCTTCTGTGAAACTCCAGCAAAGAGAGGAAAGCTGAAACAGGATTTGGTATTGACATTGTTGGGGACAGTGCCCTGTACACTTCGTGATAAGGAAAACTGACTACCCTATAGAGACTAAATTAAGGAGTGGACTGTACTAAATTGGTTTATTACTACACACAGTGGTAACCCGATTATATATTATGCGATTCATAACGTGAGTTAAGTCGTTCTGCCGGTCGTCCAGTGATCCGCAGCTTTTATCTCGCCGTACCGCACCCCCTGCTCCTAAGACTACGCGATGAAATCTTCACGAATCAGGCGCAGCCTTGTCTTTACCAGATATAAATGAATAAAAAAATATAATATATCTTGACATGCATATTTTGCTAATATATAATCTTACTAGTGACTCGCTAGCTTCGTCGCTAGGTAGGTTCCCCATACAAACTTTCATCCCCATTTTCATCTCCTTAAGGGATGATTTTTGGGATAAAAAGTATCCCATGTCCTCTCCTGGGTTTCAAAGTATCTTCTTACCAAATTTCATTTAAATCGGTTCAGTAAATCTAGAGATTACCTCCTACAACGTCACAAACTCAAAAACCAACAAACTCACAAACTTTATCTCTTTTTAGTAGGTATTAGTATAGATAATACGTTCTGAGATTTACGTGAATTTTGACATTTTAAATAAAACCATTTTTTCGGACTTTTTTCACGGATTTATTTAGGTGGATTAAAGGAAAAAAGTCGTTTATATTCAAGCAGCTTCTTCTTAAGAATATTTTTAACTGAATTACGTTTAATTATTAGTAGTATATAAGTAGGTACTATACAAACACAAAACATTAGTATAAACAGCTACAAAATAGGTATGATACGTAGCAAATATTGAATCTCCACACGACAATTCAAAGATTAGGGTTGGTTATGATCTGTAAATTTACCATGTTTATTCCAGGATATTATACCATTCGGAAATAATGTGATTTTCCGTTACTTATTCGGCTGGATGATGCCTCCAGAGGTGTCTCTATTAAAGCTAACTCAAACTGAGGCGGTCGCTAAATTGTACAACAAAGCTCATGTCATTCAGGACATGTTGGTGCCAGTTAATACCTTGGAGGAGGCTATAGAAGTGTTTCATCAAGAATTTGAGGTATGATTATTGTTTTTTCATAGCTACCGAAAAACATTAATTTAAAATTGTTTTGAGAAATAGAATCGATTATTATTTAGGAACTAATCAGTACTAAATAAGAAAAAAATACCTATTCGTGTATAGATATTTAATTTATATTTTATAATTTTAATTAACAACAAATTTAATTTTATGGCAACAAGTTAGCAACGAACTCGCTTATTTTTTTGATTAGTTCTAATTTTCCGCTGCTTCCTTGATTGTTGTTAATAGCTTATATATTATGTTAGTTTTATTGCTTGCTTAGCGCAAAGTTTGATTCTCGTATTAAACGATTATTTATTTTATTATTTATTTAAGCATAGCTCACATAAATATATACATTACAGGTATATCCCATATGGCTGTGCCCATTCAAAATCTTCAGTAAACCTGGACAGTTGCGAATCGATTCCAGCGAGTGGCAAATGTTCGTTGACATTGGGGTCTATGGAGTCCCTAAGGCTAAAGATTTTGTTACTGTGAGTCCTTTTACCTATACATATTATAGAGTAACGATTCTTTGATTTGTTGGATACATGTTGTTACGATATAAATTCTCAATGTAGTTTTTCTGATTCAACAATATAAAATACAAAATATAACTAGGTATATAAATAGTACACAGCTATATCTGTCCGTAATCTATCATCAAGTTATGTAATTTATGAGAGTTTGTAATGGGGTAAAATGGATTAAAATGAAAATATTATTATTTTACAATTTCTTGTAAAATAGACAAGAAACGCACTAACGCAGACAGAACGTCAGCGTCCGTGCCTACTAATCTAAAATAACTGTGTGCATTTTAGTAGGTTATTTTTTATGTTAAGCTTCTTTTTCTATTATAATCGATTGGGGAATTTAAAGATTCTAGTTAAAATATATATATACAAATCTTTCTGTATAAGTAAAGCCTCAGTAACAGCCCGGAGTTGGGAAGTTGGCGGTGTTTCACCCCCGTGCCTCGGAGAGCACGTAAAGCCGTCGGTCCTGCGCCTTAACTCTCACTGGTCGTGTCGAGCAGTCGTCCCACCGGAATATGAGAGTGACAGGAATAGAGAGTGCACTTGTGTCTGCGCGTACACTTGTGCACTATAATATCTCCTGCGCAGTTGGCTAGTCTCAATGAGATTGGCCGCCGTGGCCGGAATCGGTCGGGAGACATCATATATATATATATATATATATATATATATAATATAAAGTTTAGTTTCTATACCCCATAGGTACAATATGAACTAAAAAAAATTATTTTGTTAAATAAGAAGGTACCAGCGAATATCAATATAACCCAATAATTTCAGGAACCATCGACTAGAAAAATTGAAAATTTCGTAACTCAAAAGCATGGATTTCAAATGCTATACGCGGACACTTATACAACACTTGAAGAGTTCCGACGGATGTTCGACCACACTCTCTATGATAAACTCCGTAATTCTCTACCGTATTGTAAAGAAGCCTTCCCTGACATATATGGAAAAGTTAATAAGAACGTTAGAAAATAATATTTAGTGTTATTTGATATTTTTATTATAACAGAGTTTTAAATAAATACCTTAATCGATTATGAAACACACATAACCTGGTCGTTGAAGATAAGACGTAGGGGACTCACCTCCAGAGATACGAGTATAACATTAGTGGCGTTACCCTGTTGGTTACATTTGTTATCAGTAGTTGATTTGCCAAGGGTCATGGGGCAGCCTGACAAAATTACATCAACAGCCTTTACTACCTTATACAAAACTCTTTTATTTCTGCGGCTCCAATCGCAAGGTAAGCGGGGTGAGAATATAATGTAGCTTATATCTCCATGTTGCAAATTATGCCCTTGCCAAATACAGTGGCTTGAGCGTGACAAAGCAACAGACAGTCAGCATGGATAGTATCTAAGTAATTATTTTTTATTTATAATGTTCACTATGTATCGGTTCACAATTAAAATATCGCTTACAAACACAATCAACACCTTCATTTTTTTTAACGTTGGGAAATGCATTTACGCACGAGGTGTGGGACTCACCGGCAAAGCCAGTACTACCCACTAAAACCCAACAAAGCCTTCCCCCGTCTTAATGGGGCGTCGCAGGATCGCTTACGCATTCAACTACGACGCCCCGACGGCAGGTCTGCCGAAGCAGACCACAACAACCACGGGGTTGCTCCAAGGTCCACTCTGCTATCAGAGAAGTACCAGGAGCAACCCGCATGGTACACTGCTCTCCGAAGAGGGCCACTTCCCACCGCCCACCGAAGTGGGCCATCTCCCTGTGCGTTTCTTGGCTTCGCGCCCGGTTGGGTTGCCGGGCACTACTGAGCCCCCCCCACCACGACAAGGTGAACGCACGTTGGGGGGGAGGGCAAACACAAACAACACCTACCAGAATGAGAAAAATCTTCTTTTTTTGAACCCAGCGAAAGAGGTTTATAATACTATAGGTATATATTACTGTGTGTTTTATACTTTAATAAAAACGGTAATTTAAATAAGCTGTTTGTTTTATTTTCCAGAAAAGTTTTTGTCCGCACTTTTTTTAATATATTAAAGAAAAATTTTGAGTGCTGCCATCAATTAAGCATTTAGAAAAAACAACACTCTTATTTAATTTTTAGCACATATTTATTTATTCAGAAAATTTAGAAATATCTGCTTAAGTTAATTTACTAAAGAGTAATGAATTTTACAAATATTGCTATGAATTGTATTTATTACTCACTTTCGCTTTGATTAGAAATTCCTAAGAATTCTTTATTTTTAAATAATATGTGAATATAATAATAATTGTTTAAAAAAGATCTATCATTTAACATTTTAATTTCTACTGAAAAAAGGTATAATATATACGAAATTAGTTTTTTTTTAAATGGGCCATCACCGCAGGCTGGTGACATACAGAATAATAGGTACTAAAGGAAGATTCGGAATACTTCAGATAAGTAAGTTTAAGCTAAAAATTCTGCCTTTTTACCAACGTATCGATTTCAGAGCTTATTCGATTAGAGTAAAACAAAGCTTTTTATATAAACAATTTGTATAATAGAAATAAAACAAATAATATAAGACAGTACGGGTTATTCTGTTTAGGTATCTTGTGAGAGGATTATACTACATGACTACGTAATCTAGGTTCATGGAGAGATCCTGGTTTTTTCCCATAGGTATATGCAGTAGACCGTCCTTGCTTAACATCTACCGACTTCGAAAATATCTATCTATTCTAAATGAAAACTCCCGTTTAGTTATTTTTTACATTTTAGTGCCTGGAAGTGGTTATTTTTTAGTTGTTATTTTTCCATTTTTACTGTAGACGTAACAAGCAGGTAATTGTTGTAAGGTATTCGATTAAACAATTTATTTAAACAAAACTATTTATTGTTGGTTTTTTAAAAAACCGCTCGACCGATTTCGATAACAACAAACTTTGAAACAAAAAAAATCCAATTCGGTTCAAATGTCTTCGAGTAATCGGTGAACATACATAAAAAAATCCGACGAATTGAGAACCTCCTCCTTTTTGGAAGTCGGTTAATTACACGAGATCAGCTTTATATTACACTGCTAGTATACGGTTACTATACTTGGTTAAGTCCTAAGTACATAGTCGAGACATACAATGTTATGTACAGTTAACCGATACGGAACCGCTTACACGGAAACCATGAATGTATGAAAAGGAAAAGGTTATTAGCCTTTACAAGGGCAACTTTATCTTTGATTAATATTTCTTTTTTTAAACTTTAGATATTTTACATTAATGCCTATTGTTTTCGTAATCATTATATGTAGATAATAATAGATGACATTAAGACTTGTTTATATATATTTTTATCTTACATGATTATACTTTGTAAGTAACGTGATTTTGTATTTAATAATTATTATTCTACTAATAATATATAATTTCTTTTCGTTACGATTTCTCCACTGTCATGCTATCACATAAAACTACTGAGCGTATGGGAAAATAAATAAAAAAATGTTGAAGAGTCTATGGAAAAAAATAATTGCTGTTTTTTTATTGAACCAAAATATTTAATTTAGAAGCGAATAACTAACATTTTTTTAAGATCTTTGAAGGGCAAAAGAAACATTTACGAACGCCCAACAAAGTGGGAGGTTGACAGCTAGTGTCTTTATAATGTCTAATGTCCTGAAAGCACATAAGCATCTTAATGTAAACTTTACTATAAATGTATGGATGAAACATATAGAGAAGATGCTCTCTCGCATGTTCTTTCGATCTTCATTTTGTTTACTTCATAGTTCAAACGTTATCTTCCTATCACGTATTTCTTTTGCCATTTTAATAAAAAATACTGTAATTTTGGCATTGAATTTAAATTATTTAGCTATCACATGAATGATAAGTGACCGTGACCTCAAGTAATAATCATTTCACTTGGTGGTGGGCCGCTCACTGAAAACGACGTGTTTCATATGTGGTGAGTAACTGAGTCCTTTTCATTCTTGGGTTTGTAATAGACAAGATCTTCTTGACTTTAAAATAAACATTACAAGACATAGGATGCACCAAAACCTACGGGTTTAAAGGATGGTTAAGTATTTAGAACTACTATTCTAAATAATTGGGATCGTTGTGAATAATTTGAGATTTTTAATGTAATTATAAAAAACAAATTTATCAAATTATAAATTAACTGCGGTATTGTATATAGATGTCCTGTTAGCAGGTAAGTAGGGTATGAAAAGATCAAATATCTTAATTTTAGGATCATTTCTTTACGAAAATTGTCTCTACTATTCATATTGAATTTATTTTGACATTTGTATTGATTAATAAAACAATCCGGTCTATAAACATGCAACAAAATTTTGTTGCGAGGATCGCGCATTTTTTCTCCCAAGCCAAAATCCTGGATTCGTTACTGGTTATGGTCATGGTTTTAAGACTAAAGTTCTCGCAGCCAGGGAACTTCGATTTTACACTAATTCATTTAAATATTAGTTTTCATAAAATATCTAGAAGTAAAATGAAGCATTCTAATTTACAACTCCCTATTGCGCGTTACACGCGCTTTGAGCGGATGGGAGCTGGACCGAAAAAGTGTAATAAGACTTTTTTCCGACACTTCTTGGTATAGTCACAGCCGTGTCCCAAAAATGCCTAGGCTCTAGGGATATCCAAGAGTAATATCTGTTTTTCAAATAAAGTAAATTCCACTCAACCACACTTAGAACCAAACCAAACATAGCGCGATTCAGATGGACCGTAGCACCATCTGTTGCGCCTCGATGTAAACTCATAACAGCCGTGTATGACATCGCCGTACACGGCTCTCTCGCGCGCCGAAAGCTCTTCTCTTCGGCTTGTTTAAACTTTTATTTATATTTTTATAGTAAATAATTAAAATTAAAAAAGTATTATTAAATAAGATTTATACAATCTCAAATTTTTATTTGTTATTAACTTAATTATCCCAGATTAGTCAGTTTGTTTCTAAACTTTTATTGATTTCTAAAATCACACTATTACTTACATGTAGAAATATTTACAAAAACAGCTGCCAATAACAATAATTAACCTGATTATACATAGTAAACATACACTAATTTGATCTAAATTTTCTATTTTATGTTTGTCCAGGGTAAAAACATCATCATGACGGCAGTTAAACCAGAGACTTTTCTAGAATATCTCATAATAGAATATAGATGGCTTATAGCTATCACTATTTTGATGCCGGCTTCCTTCCTGTGGAAGATTTGGTTGACAGTTAGGAACTATATCGTGTTTAAACTGAACAGTGCAGCAAAACACCACGATAGAAAAGTTAAAGGAGTTCAGAGACAGGTAAGGTACTATTAACATACCTATATTTATTAACGTATACTATATATTTTTATTTTATTTATACTTTTAATGCAGGGTGTATAATATAGGTGAACGTAATCCAAGGATATACATTACTTTGAATGATAAGCCAATGAGATTATAGATAAAGATAACTTTTGTGACCTAGGCCACAGTATACATCTGCAGTATATATTAGCAGCATTGCTTCTTTGCTTTCGCAAATACAACAAATACATTCTCAGTATTGAAAGCTGTACTAATCAGACGGTTACTCAACGCTGTGACAAGCATATAAAATCACAATGATCTGTGGTGGCTTCTTTAATAGTATGACAATCTTTTGTTTTCAGTTTATATCCGCTTCTCACTACATATTTAATCTTTTGCGTAATTAATTTCAAATACGAAGAATTTAGGATTTGGGAGAATATTTATGATGATTAGATTAATGTCTGTTTTGTTAAAAATGGTACATACAGATTAAGGAATGGCTGGCCGGTGACCGTAAAACAAAGCTATGCACTGCCCGCCCCACCTGGCAAACCATGTCGATTCGCCATGGCCTCTACAAGAAGACCTTTACTAACATTCGCGTGAACTTGGTGGACATACTTGAAGTCGATACTAAAAATATGGTAAGAAATACACGTATTAATGGCTATATTTATTAAAAGACAGCATATTATTTCTTCTGTACATAAAAAAATATTTTATATAAGAAAATTAAAAAATATATATAAAAAAACATGTTTTTGACCAATAGCAGTAGCTATATCATGGGATTCGTTAAAACAAATCAAATGAAGCCAAACTTGGGGGGCTTAATAGAAGTCATAACAGAGTTAAACTATTAACCTCATGGTTCCACCATCAGAATAGTTCGATGGAACCAAAATTATTGTAGCTTATATCGTTACAGGTGAGGCTAATTAATAAAAAGCGTGTTAATAATTCGCATTATATTACCGGGTAATGATAAAACAGATAGTTTAAATATTCTCAGTCTTTAAATAAAATACATGTAAGTTTAAAATAATTACTTTAATAGAAGTCTCTTTAGTAGTAGTAGTTTAAGAAAAAAGAAACAAAAGTATTGGTCATATATAAAATGTAAAAATTTAACAGCATATCATTCTAATTATTTCATAGACAGTCCGTTGCGAACCATTAGTAACAATGGGCCAGTTATCCAGAACCCTGGAACCTCTCGGTTTAATGATACCTGTGGTCCCTGAGATGGACCAGCTTACCGTGGGCGGCTTGATCAACGCAACAGGAGTAGAGACGTCTTCTCATATATACGGCCTTTTCCAACATATTTGCGTAGAATACGAGCTTGTGTTAGCTGATGGATCTGTAGTGACATGCAATGAGGTATGTTATAAGTTATTTTTAATTTTCTGTTGCTACTAATGTGTTACGAATTTTATTTTCTCAGTTTTCATATAAAAAATAGCATCAAACTAACTTGTACAGCTTAAGCGAATATTTTATTAAAATAGTTTCTTCTTACTTTGCGACTAACCCTGACTTCAATTACTTAATTAAAAAATCGACTTCAAAAAAACACTAAAAGTAACAAATAACTGGTGCCAAGCGATACAAATCAAAGCATACCGACTTCGAAAATAGCTGATTAGGCTATATATATAGTAAATGAAAACTACCAATCAGTTATTTTTTACTTTTTAGTGTTTTAACATTGAAAATGTTTTTTTTGTCGCTTCAGTATAGGCCCGATTTTCAGCGAAAGTGCGAAATCACCCTGGTTGATTGGGATGTTAAAAGATGTGTCTAAATGAGGGCTACAATATGCAAAAAATGTTTAAAAACACACAAAGGTTTTTTTTAAATCGAAAAAATGTGAAAAATGCGGTCGCTTTTCGCTCGGTTTCGGTCTGAAAAATCGAAAAAAAAAACTCTAGACTACATTTAAAAAAATATTGGAGGTTCATATCACTGATGGGTAATTCAGAAGTTGTACCATTGTGACGCTGAGCTTACGCGAGGAGAGTGCGTGAGCGCGATAATGACGGCGAATGATTTGGAGCATGATTTTGTTTTTGAACTGAAATAATTTTTTATGAATAAATAAATATGTATTTAAACTAATAATTAACTAATATTTACACATATAATAAAACAGTAACTAAGTGAAATTTATTTATATTTTTTCAAAACAATGACTGTAACGTATTGTGTTCTACAGACCCTAAAACAATGATTATGAAAAATTTTGTCTGTTTGTATGTTTGTTTCTTGTATGTCTGTTTGTTTGGGTGTGCGCGTTTCACGAAAAAAGTACTGAACCGATTTTAACTAAATTTTGTGTACTGATAAGTTATTCCTCGGGTTAGGATATTTAAGATATCTTTTACTGCAGGAAAATAAAAGAAAAGGGAGAGGAGAGGAGCGGAGCGGAGGTGAGCGAGAAGAGTGGAGCCTGTTGTTGATATAATTGAACTGTCAGTTAGTGTAACCTCCAGTTAGATTAACTGTCAATTTGTTTAACTATCAGTAATTTTAACTGTTAGTTTGATTTACTGTCAGTAACGTTAACTTCCAGTTAGATTAAAGGCTAGTAAGATTAACTGTCAGTAAGTTTAACTGTCAGATTAACTGTAAGTTAGATTAACGGCTAGTTAATTTAACTGTTAGTTAGTTTAACTGATCGTTTCCTTAACTGTCAGTTATATTACCTGTCAGTTGTATTAACTGACAGTTAGCTTAACTGTCAGTTAGTTTAACTGTTAGTTAGTTTAACTGTCAGTAATTTTAACTGTCAGTTTATTTAACTACACTAAGTTTAACTGTTAGTTTGATTTTCTGTCAGTAACGTTAACTGTTAGTTAGATTAACTGTCAGTTTGATTAACGGCTAGTAAGATATACTGTCAGTTAGATTAACAGTAAGTTAGATTAACGGCTAGTTAGTTTAACTGTCAGTTAGATTAACTGTTAGTTAGTTTAACTGTCAGTAAGTTTAACTGTCAGTTTGTTTAACTGTCAGTAAGACTAATTGTCAGTTTTATAAATGAGATGCGAGAGCTGAAAATATTTTAATTCAAATTAAATTATTAAAATGGGTTTTCTTTTCAGAAACAAAATTCTGATCTCTTCTACTCAGTACCGTGGTCATTCGGAACACTGGGTTTCTTGACATCCGCCACTTTAAAAGTCATACCTACGAAAAAGTAAGTGATATACATTAAAAGTTTTCCAAAATCGTTTTTTTTAACAATTTCATTTTTCTATCACATGTTAAATATTCGATTACATGTTATATGGAATACAATATCGTGCAAACGACTACCACTGTTCAATTTCTGATGATTAGAGTCCATACCATATAAATCAGGCTTGACATTGATAGTACTGATTATGTTAACTTATAGGGCATCTACTGACTGTCCCTTTGTTTACATTTATTAAAATAGTGACAGGTGCCTAAGGTTAGTTTCCATGGAAAAATATTCAAGCCCCTTTAAAGGAACATTCTTTAAAAAATAATACTTTCTTACGATTCCTTTACGAATTTTTGAAAATTTTTGGATGTTTTATCACTTTTTTGAATTAAAATAATTATTTGACAGGTACATCCGTCTAGAGTATCACTCATACACTAACTTACCGGATTTATCAAAGAAGTTTCGTGATGAATGCGTAAAGAAAAATCCTCATGAATTCGTTGAAGCATTGATGTATACAAAGGACACTGGTGTTGTGATGGTTGGAGATATGGTGGACGAAGTGGGTACTGATGGCAAGGTAAGTGATAATCATAATATGAAATATATTAATGTGAAAGTCTGTTTGTCTCTCTTTTTGAGTCTACAGTAAAATTGCTGAATTAATTTTCGTGAAGATTTAGATATTTAGAAGTGCACGTAGTATGTACTAGATAAGAAATCATTATCTAAAAAATTGTTTTTTTGTCATATTTTTAAAAACTTTAACTTTTTTTTTAAAAGCTTTATATTAATAGTGTTGTTTTTTAATTTCAGTTTAATGATTTTGGTAAATGGCATGCGCAGTGGTTTTTCAAGCAAGTGGAAAATTACTTGAATAAGTATCGTCAAGGTCATGGTCAAAAGGCCGTAGAATATATTCCTTTAAGGAGTTATATATACAGACACACTCGCAGCTTTTTCTGGGAACTTCAGGTATTTTTACATACTATTTAAACTAAACTTCGAAGGTTATAAATCAAATAAATTATTATTATTTTAAATTATTTCCTGCTAAATTATTTCAATGTAATTTTATTGTTTTATTTTATTTGAAGAAGAGTTGTAAATCTTAATTTACATACTATTAGCGTTAACACCTCTCGATAAATTTCTTAGAAATTAATTAAATTTCTAAGAAATCTATTGTTAACTGTAACACCGGCGTGTCCGCGGTCGTGGAGGGATTGTCTAATGACCAAGTACTTTCAATTAACTTTTTGCGGATGACTCATATTAAACGGGATCCACTCGAATTCTCAAACTGGGACAAAAATTAAAATATATCCGATGCCGCGAGAAAAAAAACAGCAAACAAGCTTTCGCATAATGCTATTATTTTATAATTTTTATTTCAGGATATTATACCATTCGGTAACAATGTGATATTCCGTTATTTATTCGGCTGGATGATGCCCCCAGAGGTGTCTCTATTAAAACTGACTCAACCTGAGGCGGTCACTAAGTTGTATAATAAAGGTCACGTCATTCAGGACATGTTGGTACCTATCGATGACTTGGAAGAGGCTGTAGAAGTGTTCCATAAGGAATTTGAGGTATATAATTAATACCCAACATATACACATATCCATACAAAGACCCATTACCAATAATAACATAATCACCATCTGTCGATGATGTGCTTAAAAAATTAACATTGAAGGCCTGTTTCGATATAAGCGATATTTGCAACCGCTGTGGGTGAAATCAAATGACAAATGGTATGTGGTAATCCTACTGTTCAAGTCTAAGCGAATGTCGCTGCCAATTACAATTTGCTACCGATTTTTATGCTGGGTTACAACTTTGTTTTATTTTTGCCAATTTACGCAATTTAGTGTCGCTCCTACTCCAATCAAATCCTGAGAAGAAAATGATAACACCTACCTGGGTTACCAAAATAGTGGTTTTGCTTTAGCAGCGAAACTTTATAAGAAATACGGCTTGATATTTTCATTACCCTCAAAAAAGCTAATGTGGTTTACATCTGAACAAGCCGTACAACTTTTTATTTTAATTATTATTACTTTTCATTGGCTCAATCTGAAATCTAAATTGGACTGGTATATTAAATTTTATTTCTAGTCACGTTAACTTAAAAAAAAAACTACATTTAAACAATCATATTCTAGGTTTATCCCTTATGGCTGTGCCCGTTCGTACTGTTTAACAACCCTGGACTGTTGAGGATCGACTCCGGCGAGTCAAAAATGTTTGTGGATCTCGGAGTTTACGGGAATCCTAAAGCTGAAGGATTTGTTGCTGTAAGTTATTTTTACTGAGTTTGCTTTTTTATACAGGGTTTTATTACCATTTTTTAATTTTACTCTTTTTTGTCTATATAAATTCTTGAAAAGGTAACAATATATGTAGTGCTTTATCTAAATACTATAAAATAAAAAAATATCCCTTATCTATATAAGCAATTTACTTAATTAGGTGTTTGAATTGAAACGTCTAAAACAAAATAGAGAGGTAAAAATTAAAAGAAATTACATTTATTTTAATTTTTGCCTATCTTTTTTTGTGTCGTGTTCTTCTGGCGTTTCAAGAATAATTTTATACGGCGTGTGATATATTATTCGTCCGACTATTGTTGGTGTATGATATATTGCGACTGCGACTATTATTACTGACTGAGATCTTATTACACGTTTTTTTAGAAAATAGGCGGTACAATTTAGTATTAACATTAGTCCTAAATTTCAGGAAGCATCTACCAGAAAAATAGAACATTTTGTAAGTCAAAAGCGTGGGTTCCAAATGCTCTACGGAGACACATACGTCACGTTTGAAGAGTTCCGTCGTATGTTCGACCACACTGTCTACGACAAACTGAGAAACTCCCTACCATATTGTAAAGAAGCGTTCCCGGAAATATATGGGAAAGTTAATAAGAGTGTTAGAGTTTAGTGTATATATATTTGCTTTCGCGCTGAAAAGCTGATCTATATATATTACAAAAATGTAGAGGCGTCCAGTTAGTCATTGAATATTTTTTGAGCATAATTTGAATGTAGAAGAAGCGAATTTTTATCTGTTACTTTAGGTACACAACACAAAACACAAATATAACGCGGACGTAAGACTAGTTATGGATTTTAGAATCACAGTCAAGTGTCGTAATCAATACATATACAGTATATTTAAGTGATAAGCGGTTCCGTCATCAAAAGAATATTATTTTGGTTGCTATTAATTGATATAGTTATTAAGTTATGCCAAGTGGCGTTCGGCGTAAACACCATAATATGGTTCTACAATAAACGAAATGATATTTTTTTAAATATATGTTAGAAGTCTCTCTTACATATTTTAAATAATATTTTTTTTTTATATTTGTTTTATTATAATAACCTTAATAAAAAGAATAAGAATTTATGTATTTTGAATGGCGTCATCTAATTAAGCTTTCAGGAAACAACATGTGATGGCGCTACGATCGTATGCCAACGACGTACAATGTACACAGCGCCATCTTTTAATAATTATCGAAAACTGCACAAGTAACTGAGCTGAGCACTTAAAGCTTTCTGGAACTTTAAAAAGATGGACAGAGAAATAAATCTGGTGGAAAATGACCTATGATAAGTAGATGATTAGATTTAAGATGTTATTCGTGTAGAAAGCAAGAATTTTATGTTTGGTTGGGCTCAAAATTTGCTTAAATCGCTGCTATAATATTCTGTATTGGTATAAATAATCGTATCGAAAGGTTTTTTTATATAATTCGTCCAATATAATGTGTTTAATAAAACAAAAGTATTGCTAACCGATTTAAAAAAAAGTTATGTTCAATTATTTTTTATATATTATAGTGTATCTTATAATATATAATTACATTAGGAAATCTGCTGATATTGGATGGATTTAATTGAATTTCACTAAATTATTTATTTATTATCAGTAGGAAAACAAACTTGATTATTCTTTTTTTAAAGTACTGTTATAATTCTCATCAGCCAATAAAGTTTCCACTTATTAGTAAACATGGAATGAATAAAAATATAAACTATACATAAAATCCTCTAAACATAATATTTGTGTACAGAGAAGATTGCAAAATACATATTATTATCAAGGACGATCGAGTTTATGCTTAATGCTTTGAGAAAATCTATTGATATTACTATCAAATATGTCAATTTGTTATAATATGTACTAACGACTCACCATCGCTTCGCTCGGGTTCGTCCCTACTTACGTTTTAACGTTTAGTATAGATTTCTCAGAGATAAGATATTATTATTTATAAAAAGTATCCTATATGTTGACCCGGATAAACAGTTATCATTATACCAAATTACATCAAAATCCCTCCGGTGATTTTTCCGTCATGCGGTAACAGACAGACAAAAATTGTAAAAACTATATATTCGGCCTCTGTATCGATAATAATGTCTATTTCAATAAGGTTTTCCAAAAAAATATTTAATGTACAGATTCGGCTTAGTTACAATTTTATTGTATACATATAGATTATGTGATTTACAAGCTCTAATTACAAAATAGTTCTTGGCATAATTTGTTCTACACATAGGAACACAAAAAGTATCTTTAGAACGGGTGCTAAAAGTTGGGCATCTGAAATTAATATATTACTTAGGAGATAATTGGAATCAATTAAATTATGTAAGATTATATAAAGAAAAATTTGGTCTCTGTGTTCTCTATATTAGTTGGTTGGATGGTCGGGCAGCTGCACCTGGGAACTTACTGCTGCACTTATAGAATCAGCAGGTTGTAGTGGAAGGGGGATGGCCATATCTGACAACCGTTTGAATCGGTAGAGACCACGTCTGGGGAAACGCCTTCTCCGTGGGGCTGGTGAGGACTGGATGCGAAGAGCTCAAGATTGTTCTCAATGCCTTGCCCTGGGAGAGGCCAATAGTACATAGATAGACTGAAATAGGATGATGACACATTTAATTAGAATAATTTGATCCTGATGGCCTCTATCTTCTCGTAGCTATCTCGTAGCTTGCGAAAAATTGGCAATACATTCATAGTTGATGGTGCTTAGAGAAGATGTCATTCTAAAATTCTTGAAGAATAGCAATTTAAAAGATTGTATTCAAATGAAAAATTCATTCATTATTCCATATAATCATAATATTTTTTAATACATATCCTTTCTTCAACGATTGTAGAATGACAATAGTTTATCTTATATGCCCAGGTTTGAAATTTAATAATTAGAGCAACACAAGATTACTTCCACTATTTATAAAAACTTAAAAAAAAACCGACTTCCAGGCACTAAAATGTAAAAAATAACTAAACAGGGGTTTTCATTTAGAATAGATACCTAATCAGATATTTTCGAAGTCAGTACCAGCCGATGCAAAGCAAATCTAATATATTTCGATACGTAAAACACATATTATTTACATATTAGATATTCATATCTTAAAATATTGTCGACTGACACCGACTTCGAAAATATCTGATTCAGAAAATACATGTAGGATGTAGTATGTAATATGATATGTTGCTATATTAATCAACTGAAAATATTTATTCAACCAAAAATGTAATAAGTAACATTAAGAATTGTAAGGTAAAGTTTATACGAAGAAGTTTTATAGACATATATTATCTTACTTTTACGTACTTTTGAATGGTACGAAGTTACGTATGCTAGAATACTACGTGACTGGTTCTTGACAAAAAATTTACTACAGTGACACATTTTGAAATATTTCACAATGATATTAAAATGGAGTTCGTTATATATGCGATAAGCAAGATGGTCAAATTTACTTATTCGCTAGCGTGAGTCGACCTCCATTTTCTTAGTAGCGAATCCTAAGTTTTTATGTTGATTGTCGTAAGTTCTCGTGTGTAAGTAAGTAGTCGTGTGTAAATAAACATTTTACATTTTGAAGTTATATTTTATTACTCATGCTAAGAGGTTGGTTGAAAAATTTAAGACATTCAACAAGAAGTTCAGTGAAAAGATACTAAAATAATATTATTATCGTAAATTTGACACATTAGACATACACTTATCTACTCGACTGAGTGAAATGTAACTTAGCCAATTTTTGGGACCGTAAATATGCCTAGTAAAGAAGTTTCTTTCGATTATCTCGAATAATCATTCTCGATTTAGGAATTTAAATCAAAAATTACTAATAATGATTCAGCAAATATATTTTTCTGTCAATTTCTTAACTTGACTTTTCAGATACAAGTTGCTACTCGCATTGGAAAATTATTCGACAATTTTAATGTAATAAAATATGTACTCGACCTAAATATCACATATTTAATCGAACTGTTTATCTCAATCTGATTTATAATGTTACTAGCGGACCCGACAGACGTTATATATATAAAGATTAATTGGGAAAATTAAATTCGTTTTAAAGAATTTGTTTTATAAATGCCGTAGAAATTAACATTAAAAAACAGTTTGAACATTGAAAATGTGCACAGCATTACTAGTCGTTTATACTTAACAGCTATTATAAAGGAAATTTTATTTTATAGGTCATATGGTGCACTTAAGAAAAGATTTTATTTTTTAATCTTCTTTTCACCTTTGTGATTAGATACTTTATTTAACTCTCTGCATGCATTAATTTCTTACTCTACCGGTTTTTAGTAAATAAAAACGTTTAAGGAAAGATATTTTTTTTATGTCTAACAAAATTTGTTATAAGCGCAGAATAAAAAAATGCGGTTCTTTTTTTCCGGTGAATATCCAAAGAATTCTGTTACATCACTACTAATCCGTTGTAGTACATAGTAAGAACAAATATTTTTTTACGCGTGGCATTGAATTGTTGCGATAAATGAATACCTGTCTTTCTGCACATTAAGCATATATTGAGCAAACGGACAGACATACACTGACATAAGTATAAAATTATTATTAATTTAACGTACTATTTAAATCCATCATACTTCTCATCATCATACAAGAAAGTGGAACTCTAAAAAGCTAACAAAATATCCAAAACCCTGGCTTAGAATATTATTCACCGATGTGTATGTTAAAAAAATATTTGTAACTACCGATCCTACCGCATCTATACAAAGGCACAAAGCCGCAGCGACGGTACAGCATTCGCACGGCTTCCACCCGCCACCCCCTTGAGCTTAGCTTAGCACCGAAACGTACACGTGGCAATGTGTGTAGGTTTCGTAATAAACGTCATTGGTTTTCTAGGATAAAAATATGTAGAGTCGATTTTGTTTATTAAAGTAATTATAGTTGTAGTTTTATTTCTGCCTCTTCCTTCTTCCTTATAGGACAGTTTAATCAAGCTTTTGTATTTGTATGATTAATAAAAATTTCAATGCATCTCATACGGAATTAGATGAAAAGTAAAGGGCTAAATTATTATCATGTATAGTAGATGTATCACAATCTGTTTTCTAAAAAAATATATTTTTGAAGTTATACTTCTTTTGGTACGTTTGGAAAAAAATATGACAGATGCCAAAAAGTGACATGATGAAGTTATCTGAAACCGACATAATGAAGTTAGCGGATAATTGTCTCTCCGGTTGCCTTGAAAATTTGAAGTATTTTCTCAAATATTCATAAATCTATAACACGTATTTTATATCAGTGAAGATAAAAAACATATTTCTTTGTATTAATTTATTATTCCTTTGACGAACAGGGAGTGATGACATACGGGATGAAGTCTTTAGCCATTTTTGTTCTGTTACGCCAAAGAAGTATAACTTCTTACGTGCGTACATTAGTACACACAAATGTTTTTTTAGTCATAACGTCTTATTGACTTTTTCCAAATTAATAAGTTGTAAATTTCAAAAGATTCATTCAAATCTAACTGGTATATGCAAAGCGTGTTCAAACAACAAAAAAATAAAGCAAAATAAGGAAAAAAGGTCGATTTATAATATTACAATCGAATAATAAAATAAAAGTGATACTTTTATTTTATTTACATTTTAGTACAAGGGAGTTTCCATTATAATTAACCTACATCATAGAAAGTGTAAAGAAATAAATATTATATTTTTCTTAAAGAATTTGCCTCAAAAAATATTCGTACACTCCACATATTTCGTTATTCCAATAGTGACAGTCGATCCTCTGTATCGCTTCAGTACAATCGACCACGTGACAATAGTTGCTGCCTTCGACGCGATTTTTCATTTATCGAAAAGCATTTACAAAACATGGAAATACATTTTTAAGGGTGAGTTTTATTTAATTACAGAATTAAGTTCTTATTACACTAATTATATTAAGCGGTTTGTGGTGGTTAAAATTAAAGGATCAGAATATTTTGATCTGACTTTTGGTTTAAAAATTCTGAAGAAGACAGTATCTGTTTCTTTTTTGTAATTACATATTTCTTTTTTTATGTGCGTTTATAAAAGTTATAACATTTTTCTTTCTTCTTTTTTGGCTAACACATATTTACTAGATTTAAGTAATTAATACCTGTTTAATATACATTTTTGAATCACATGATTTTATTTAGTATTTAATATGATAAAACTAATCAATAAAAGGAGAAAACGCTAAAATGATTTGTGTGAGTCAACATAAAAAATATGCACTTCTTTTACGAAATAAATTAACAATATAATAATGTCACAAATCAATTTTTTCCTCTTATAATTTTCCGCGGCAAAAATTCCAAACAAATTGAAAACAGGAAACTGCCATTTCATAAACCAATTTTCTTTTAGTTATTGTTGTCAAAATGACAGATGTCATCGTTTTGGCGCGAAAAAGAAACATGGCGCGATCGCGAACGCGGCAACCAAACTGTCTCATAAGTTGTAAAGGGAAACACAAATTATCCTCATTTAGTAGTAATTTAATAAACTTAACTAAATTATAGACATTTAATTCAATTTAAGCGTAGTCGCCGCTCGCCGTGCAATGACGGTCAATCACCTTCCGCGTTCACTTCAAAACAAACGATCATTTAAAAAAAAAGTTAAATGGAGCTTTTATAATGAATCGTATCATTTTTTTCATTAATATTTTCAATTAACTTTCGAGTTAGCATCATACCATCGTCATTAAAATTATTTAATGATATTTGTTTTAAATACAATAAATATATATAATAAAATTTCATGAAGTGATATCTAAGCTAATTCTAACGGAAAACCAATTTTCTTTAAGTAATTTCGCTTATCTTTTTCGGACTTTTGTATATTTTCCTAACGTAATTCATTAACTAATTATTTCAATTCAAATATTTTTTTATTTAAATATGTTTTACATACAATTTCAATTGGATCAAAGAAATAGTTACTTCAATTAGTAATTTATTGCGAAGTTATGATAGGATGTTTATAGGATGGAATACAAAAGCGCTAAGGGTTTCTATAATTCTTTTCTAAAGGTATTGGATATTGTGGTCAAGCACAAGTATCCTACTAGTATGGAATTAAATGATTTAAAATAACAATATACACTTAGCCATTATTAACAAAGGATATTGAATTATATTATTTATGTTTTTACATTTCTACTGTTTTGAAAATACATATATTTGGTTACTTAAAATAACACACTTTGGGTATCTGCTGGTGTGAACAAAATTTGTAAAATTTTAATTTTATATATAAAAAGGTATAAAGATTTATTATTATTTTAATTATTTCTGGTAAACAATGCGTGTATTTCTGAAAATATATTGAATGAATAACTTTGTTTTTACAACATATTTGTGTAACTGAGCTCCCAAGCTTTTTACATCATAAGATGTAGACAATATTTAAATCAAAACGTAAATTATTAGAATGTTGCTATTAAACAAATGGGGTTTTGTCAGAATTTAATTTCATTTACTCGTAATAATCTGATTTCTGATCATTTCCGACATGATTACCACTTGTCTTATGATGAAACCTGCATGTCTGAAAGAAACTAGCAAATTTTTAAAAGACAATTTTTACAATTTTTAAAATTCAGCCAACCCGCACTTGGCCAGCGTTGTGGACTATAGTCTGATCCTCCTCGCATTGAGAGGAGATTCAGAGAAAAGTCCCAGCTGTGGGACGTTAAAAAAAAAAGGCTGAATAAATATATATATAATCTGATTTATAACTCAGACAGCTATGAATATTTACATTATAAAAACAAACAGTTCGTTCATTCAATTACCGACTAAACATCGGAGCTCGAAAGCTTTGAACTACTTTTAACTTTATGTTATAAGTAAAAGAAGTTAACTGAGAACGTACTTATTTGGTGACATGGCCGAATTAAGGGGTTTAAATGTTTTAGTAAAATATGAAATTCCTATGTTTTTGCGACTACAGATATAATGATGAGTTATTTTGGTCACACGCAAATAAACTACGCGGGCGGAACCGCGGAAACTTAGGTCACATTTAGGTTCACCTTAAAATTATTTTGCTATAATTTTACATACATTTAATTTAAATATTAATTATAAATAAAATGACGGCAAGCGGAACCATAAGCAAAAGGTCTAACTTGTTATAATATATTGAACAAAAGTATAACTATGTATGTACCTATATACTCGTACCTAGGTTTAAATGTTCGCCCAACGCCAGTAACTCTACGGTAATATGCACTCGCCCGCCAGCTATTCTAATCTTCTTCTATTTACCGCTAATGTTCATAACTTTTAAAGTATTTTTAAATTATGTTAAAAAGATTAAATTTCTCTTATCTTTTACGACGCTTTAAGATGTTATCTAGTGTTATATTATATTTTTCCATTTCTAGTAGAAAATTTCTTATCATCTTTATTATTATTTTAACCGAATAAATGTTTATATTTTTTTGCTAATATTTGGAAATAAAGTCATAATAGTTTACATACATTGTTACAATATTTTTGTAATATTTTCTGAGAGAAAAAATTGTAGGTTATAGGCTTAAAATATTAACGTAATCATCACAATATTGTGTTAACTTAGGAACTTTGGAGGCATAGGAAATTAAAGATCTTTTAGAAATATAAAACAAGAGACATGAGACGTTTTATCTCTACGTGTTCAATACTGCGGGCAATAGTTTGTTATTTAAAAATAATTAAGAGGCGAATGTGAATTGCATTTTCTACATCAACAAGTACTTGAATGAAAACACGAATGAAGACATCTTTCAGCGGCAACGTACATAACGATAAGCATTTCGACATCGAAGATGTCGACACAATTCGCATCGTCCAAGCAATAGAAAGTTGCAAAATGAAGGGCAAATTCGCTTCGACTACACGATAACAGACTGTATAGGGTCTGAGGCAAATATAAGGTTTAAGATCATTTATTTCGCAGAAAAATATTACAATTCACTTACATGAGAAATAACAATAACCAAAGAAATTAAATTAACTTATATGAGAAATTAGAAAAGCCAAAGCTTAACTAAAACTTAAATATTCGGTGATCACAATAGAGTGGTCGAAGAAATACTCTATCCGCTTAAATATAAATACATTATTACTCGTAAATTTGGTCGATGAAAAGGAACTGAAAGTAATATGCGTGGTGAGGGACAAAGTAGTACGCTGCCGCCAATATAGCTGATGATTAAATATATCGCTAGGTAATGTTTAAATATATGTAGAACATGCGTCGACATCTAAATCAAAATATTGAAGATAGATGTCGTAGTGAGGAGGTAAAACATTTAGATTTTAATTGTATTTTCAGTTGCAATCAAAAGATTCAGGTTATATATTTTTTTCATATGTTTGAATTGTTTATTGAAATGTAACATCAAGAAGTTCCAAGACAGTTTATAGGAACTAAATCGTATTTTTACTTTCTAGTGTAGTATATTTTCATGATATTTTAAAAATTTATTATAAATGTATTATTTACTTCACTACTTGCTCTGGCTTTACATTAACAGTTTGTATCACTATCTCGATAACGTGCTTGTAATGAGCCTGAGTAATAAAATATTGATTATCCACTTTTGTTCCGGTATGATTAAGACCAATTTTCTTATTATTTGCAGAGCTAAAAAGATTTAATTCCTTAGTACACCATTTATTTAAATTATATATGCATAAATCAATAATATGCAAAAAAAAATTGCATATAATGGTTTTCGCTTTTGATTAGTTTCTTATTCACTAATTTTACTAAGGGAACAAGCTATATACTTACTAGCTACACAAACGTCATACTTATTTTTATGTACCTAATTGTTGCGTGATAAATAAAAAACAGACTAAATGTTAAGCACGCGACAAGGTTTTTTTAATTAAAAATATTTGCAGTAAACATATAGCGTGTATGAAATTTATTTTTTAGTGAAATGCTTTTTGAAGTTCTGCTAAAATCTATAATATAATTTTATAAAAAGGAGTGTTTATACTCTGTGGGATGTAGGTTCGATTTCATTTGGGGACTAATAAGCAAAGTTTAGCCATGACCTTTAAATATAAAACTATGAATTCCAGAAAAGAATATATTTGAAAGATAAACCACCCTTAATATAATTTTGGTAATATATAATTAGGTTATGTATTTTTAATTTCGGATATAGGTACACTTAAAGTATAATAAAAAGAGTATGTTAAGTTGATGAATATCAAGGAATATCAAGATCTTTTGCCTTAACTAATTATCTTGTAACAGGACCGTGGTGCTATGAAATAAGCAATCTCACGGTTTCTCAAGGCAACGGGGTACCTTTGAGGTTTAGTGGGTATCATCAGCTCTTCTAAAGGACAGGTGATAAGTCTGAATTTCCTAAAGTATCTAATATTTTAGTTTCAAAAAACACTTGTTATTACAAATTACTCTATATTCAATATATTTTGCTTAAGATTATTTATTTATTTATATTGTTATAGATGGAGGAATCACTAGATGGACGTGAAGCAAGCGCTAGTGCATCCGGCTTTGACTCGGCAGCTATTCTAAATGATGACGTATCGCCGACTACTAGCTTCTGTTATAATATTCCCAATTTATTTAATGGGTAAGAAAGTTACCCTTACTAATATTATACCTTTAATAATAATAATGTCCTACGGACCAATTGCGGTGACAGTGGTCAATCTTACTAAGCCTAGATGCACAGATCTCATAATATATTAATATGTACATACTAGCGGCTCACCCTTGCTTCGTTCGGGTACGCCCCTAGAAATACAAGCACAAAATATCTATCCCACGGGAATCGTAATTTTTTCCGGGATAAAAAGTAGCCTATAAACTATTCCAGACTATTATCTATCCCTGTGCTCAGTGCCTAAATCCGTTCAGTCGTTCTGGCGTGAAAGAGTAACAAACATCCATACTCACAAACTTTCACATTTATAATATTTATACAGATACTACATAGTCGATGTTGTTTCAATATTTTTAGTTTATTTTCTAAGCAGTCTAGTTTATTTCTTTTTGTACTTAATTTTTTTAGTAATTCTATAAAATAAGTTACAACTTCAAACATTATTACGATAATAAATGCTTTTCATATTGTATGTAGAAAATTAAATCAAATAAATTGTATATAGTATTATGTTTTTTCGTGTTTATAACATGTTTTATATCTAAAGGTTAAAAGTACAAATATTAAGTTAAAGTCAAATATTAAGTTCAAATATAAATTTTCTAGTTAACAAAATCATATCCATTTGACCAATGCTAGTTTTATACTCGTATTGCATTTTATATTAAAGTACAGTCTAGACTTTACGTCTTTTTGTTTCATTTCATGAAGAGCAAAAATACAATTTTACTGTCTAAATAGGAAAATGGTTATGTTTATATTGTCACTTTAGGTTAACACTTTAGTGCAATGCAATGTATTTTTATCTATTTTAGTTGTATTACATCTATGGAGATTAGAGTAGTAACTAAAATGAGTTTGTACTTTAAATATTATTCAAGAATTTTAAGCAAGCAAGCTAAAAAACTATTCAGTTAGAATTGAATAACACAAACGGTTCTATACCACCACATAATATGTTTTTAAGGTTTTCAACCGACTTCAAAAAGGAGGAGGTTCTCAATTCGACTGTATGTTTTTTTTTTATGTTTGTTACCTCAGAACTCCGTCATTTATTAACCGATTTGGACAATTTTTGTTTTGTTTGAAAGGGTTTACTTCCAGATTAGTCCCATTTAAATTTCAAAAAAAAAATACCACCCCTAAGGGTGGAAAAACAACTAATGATGAATTTAACCTACTTCTAATTGTCATATTGACTTGAAACTTTGCAAGTATTTCTATTTCCGCTGATAGTACAGTGGTTCGGTGTTGTTGACCTGATCTGATGGCAAGGCCAGAAGGTGGATAGGTGGAACTCTTCAACGGCTAATAGTAGTTACTTTGAGTTTGGGCTTATTTTGTTTGATTTGACAAGCCTAACACGTTAGAATCCTTACTTTGCTACTACTGTCTACACTAAAAAGGGAAAAATAAAAACTTTTTAACAAAAAAATAAAAACCGACTTCAAACAAAAGCACTAAAAAGTAAAAAATAACTGATTGGTAGTTTTCATTTACTATACATACCTAATCAAATATTTTCGAAATAGGTGTCAGCCCATACAAAGCAAAGCACACCGACTTCGAAAATATTTGATTAGGTATGTATAGTAAATGAAAACTACCAATCAGTTATTTTTTACTTTTTAGTGCTTTTTACTAACAAATTTTGTATTAAAGAATATTAAAGAATTTTGAAGTTTTCTCGTATGAGTTCGACTAATTTTTGTTATTTTGTTAGTTTACGAATTATTTGTTATTTTACCTACGAAGGTAAATATACCTTGCGTAGGTGTATATTTACCGTAAAAATACTCAATATAATACATTAAAAATAAATAAAATCAAAATTTCATACCGGAAGTGTATGTATTTTTTTATAGTTTAGTTTTTGATTTTGATCAAATAAATATTTGCGATTTAAAGCCAGTAGCCATTTTATCAGGCATACTGCTACGCTTGAGTGGTAGATACATAAATAAAAAATAACCGGTGTTCTCTTAGAAAGAAGCTTATTAGCCAATTAAAGTAGTAAAAAGCATACTTTCTGACAAATTTTCGCACTTATATTATTAATGAGATTAGAGTGTCCGCTATAGTAAAACTTCTTCTGTAAAAGTCTCAACAGGCTTTTTATTACAGATAAAAATTATACTTTTAAATAACATTACAACTAAGGGTTGCCTGGAAAAGATCGCTGCGAGAAAAGATTTAGCGATAAGACCGCCTCTTATACATTATCTATCTTTTCTGTATTTATTTATTTTTATTTTCCTTGGCGTACAATAAACAGTTTATTATTATTATTGTTATTATTATTTGTATTTCTCTGAATTTCATTAACACACAGCACCAGCTAATTTCATGGTAAGCTACGAGGCTTGTGTTATGAATAATACCAGATAGTAGATACACTACACATATATTACTTTAAATACATAGGTACATATTATAAATATTAACACCCAAGACTGGAGTACAAAAATTCACACATATGAATACCCCCAGCGGCACTCAAACCCGCGACCGCTGGCACAGGAAGTAGGGTCACTACAAACTGAGCCAAACGTGTCGTCTTGATAATTACTTTGGAAAACTTGCGTGAACACAAGTCCAACATGTAGAGGCCCCTTAAGAGTTTCAAGTTTGTTTAATATTATTAACACTCTGCAGTCTTGGACCCGGTTCAGTGCTTTGTGAGCGACCTGATGCGGAAGTAAATGAGACTTACACTTCGAACCCGGAACCCTCTGAAGAAACCGGAGACAATCAGCAATATGAAGAAGATGAGGAATATTCACCTAATAGTAAGATAACCGAATTTTTTAAGGCTATAACGTTATGTCCTTTTTGCGAGATTTCTTAATGTATAAGCTTGACCCTGTATTATTTACTTGACTAGAGATTTCACTTTTTTTACATGTGTGTGCTAAATTTCATCCAGATTCATCCAGTCGTTTCAGCCATACAAATACACAAACATTTTTTTTATAATAGCTCGATGGGTCACAATCTTAAAGAGATAAAGATGATTTGATATTTTCACTTAAATTATGAGTTATATTATTCCAAAAATTACAAAAGAATAACTTTCAAGAAACCTAATGTACTTCACCTCTTTTAAAAAATTTTGTAGATTTTTTTCGCCATCGTGGATAGTAATTAAAATTTTAGTAACAAGGATTTAATCAGTAATTACAAAGATTAAAAGAAGGAATTTTTCGTTTGAAATCATAAACCAAAGAAGTCTTATAATATTCAAAATAAAACTTGGCTGTACGCTTTAAAATCTAAGTCTATTTAATAAAGTTGAATTTAATGAGCCAATAGCTTGGGATTTATAAAAAGGCTCTTGCGAGAAGGGCCCAATTAAGCAATTTCTTGTTTTTTTTTGTTATACCTAAAACACTTTTTAACTTCTAATTTCCTGCCACTTTTAGTTGCAGTCAGCATTATTAGCAATGAATTTGTATATGATTTTTTTAAAATTATATTTCAGGTTCAAAAAGTGACATTCCCAAACGAAAACAACGAAGATATAGGTAAATATTTTAACATTTTTGTAAAAAAGCATAATATATATAATAACAGTAATCTAATACCTAACATAGGCAGTGGTAGCCCAGTGGTAACGCGCTCGCTTGGAAAACCGAGTGAAGCGAGTTCAAATCCCGGGTCTCGCACCTCTGATATTTTCATGTACGAATCATTTCCAACATTACCACTTGTCTTAACGGTGAAGGAAAACATCGTGAGGAAACCTGCATGTCTGAGAGAACCTAGCAAGTTTTCAAAAGACATGTGAAGTCCGCCAATCCGCACTTGGCCAGCGTGGTGGACTATGGCCTGATTCCCCTCGTACTGAAGGGAGGCCCGTGCCCAGCAGTGGGACGTTAAAAAGGGCTTAATACATACATACAATACCTAATCTGCACTAAAATTATGAAGTGTATGTAAAAAGTTAACTTATTATCTACTGATCACATTTTAAAACTTTGTTTAGTAATAAAATATATTCTTTTCTATTCTTCTAGTCTTAGGACATGGCGATAATTTAATAAAAGCAAAATTATTCCCCCTCTTTATTTATATTTCATCATTTCATTGCAGAATTATGTACCAGTTTATATGAGACACTGATAAAATTTGGGCTTTATATGTTGCTCTAGTACTCTGTGAGTAAAAGTAGTATGACATATGGACCAACCATTATGACGAAAATATTAGGGTTCCTTTTTTGTCTAAAAAGAAATGCTAAATTATTAATCTAGAAAGATTACATGTTCTGTAAATATAACATTAATTAAAATTGTTAAGTATTAGGAAGGCAAACGTTATTCTTATATTGGTAAAAAAAGAAAAAATAAATATTCAAAAATAGTATATAAGGTTGGATACTTTTTCTATTCGATGATTATTACTTTGCCTGTCACTAATGTTTAAATTATATGTAACAATAAATACGTATTGAAGTTTTATTTCCACTTAAATATTAACAAAAATATTATCAAAACAAAAAAAGTCTTGGTTATCCGATATAATTAAAATTATGTTTTCTTTCAGAACAACATTTTCAAACGTCCAATTGGAGCAATTGGAGGCTGCATTCCACAAAACTCACTACCCAGATGTGTTTTTTAGAGAAGAACTGGCGATGAGAATAGACTTAACTGAAGCTAGAGTTCAGGTGGGTTCAGCTTCAATTTAAAATAATCTTAAATTATCTTAAAATAAATAAAATAATCTTAAATTAAATAAAATGTATATAAAATTAGTTTAATTTCAATAAGTAACTATTTGATACAAATGCTTTCGTAGGTATGGTTTCAAAATCGTCGCGCAAAATGGAGGAAGCAACAAAAGGCTGGATGTGAGCCATACACACGCTCCAGGTCTCCAGACCCACGGTCCCCATCCGCTCTCGCTTTAGAAATGAGAGATTTTATTACGATACCAGGTTTGATATAATTGTAAATCATACTATTTTTCAAAATGACTGTGGACGAATAAAAAATTGATTACATTATTTTCATCTCTTTTCTTCACCGAAATGTCATTTTTACTTTTGTTACGCTATTATATATATTTGTTATTGTTTTCAGTATCATCATCACAAATTATAAGTTTAGCCGAACCATCGAACCAGAACACCTATGTGTCAAAAACCAAACAAACGACACCCGCCATTCACATATCAGCGTTACCTACGAGACAAAACGCTCAAATGGATTTACCATCTTTTTCAATACCGCTTCAATATAATTTAGGTTCCTTCAAGAAAATAGAAGATTCACAGTTAGACTTAGAACCTTCTTCATCAGAGAATCAAAATCAAAACAACTGGGATACACGGATGATGCCAAATTTCAATTTGATGAACATAAAACCTCTTTTAGAAAATAGAGAAAATTTAGATATGTCTGAAGTTAAATATGAAGTTAAAAATGAAAACAGACCGTATAGTGAAATGGGTACAAGTATCCAAGCGATTGAACCTGAAGATATTCTAGGTAAGGAAACTGTGACAGAAGGACAGACCATCTCACCAGACTTCGACATAGAGAGATATCAAAATTATCATAATGAAAATGAAAAAAGATATAGAGAGTCTAGTTTTGATGACTCAATGATTGAAGATCGGAATGATTTTGTTTGTGATAATGATTTTCTTTGTAAGAATAATTTTGAAAAAGTCGACGAGAAACGTACCGACTTTGAAGAATGTCATTTATTGGACACAGATACCAATGCTATTAGTAACTTCGAAACTAATCTATAGTATTAAGCATTAGTTCCTAGAATTTGCGACGAATTTCGCGAGTTCAATTAATTTTTATTATTAAAAGGATTGTGACTTAGGGGAAAGAAAAAAAATATACATACTTACTGCTGATGATATTTTGTATTCTTCTCCTAATGGTAAACCCTACCCGGTAACGCTAATAGACTGTTACTTTTTGTAATACATTTGTTTTAATTGTTAAAACGATACACTTGCAATATTTTTTAATTTAAGATGTTTTTTGTTAAGTTAAAATTCAAATAAACGATTCTAGTCAAGACGTCTTTCCGTTTCAATCATTAGGTTCTCTCAAATTAAACTTCAATGAGTAGAAAACTTTACCCCGCTCCGAACTTTCGCGAAGGTAATCGCGTAATGATTGTTAGAGTTCGTTAAAGACAGAAATTCTTTGGTGTAATATCTTAATTTGAAATTTAGACATCTTAATATAGTAGAGTTATCTGAGGAGTTTAACCGTGAAATATTTTGATATATTTTATTTCGAGGACTGTGATTCCAAAGTAGCAATTATATATTTAACTTAAATTATGTATTATTCCCATAGTACCAAAATTAATTAAATAATATAATATAAAATTACCAAAATAATTTGTCCTTTAGAAATTGTGAAAAATTGTTTGTTTTTCTACTAATTTTAGCCCACCACTTAGTCCAGTCAAATACGGTCTGAAATCAAAATGTTGGCACTCAACTTTACATTTTTGATATAATGTAGTTTTAATGATACAAAAACAATGTGTAAAGGTTTTAGTGTCCGCAACCCCCGTCAAGGGTTCAAAAAAAATAGTCAAAAGTATTTTTTCGCAATTACTTGAAAACGGTAAAAGTTAGACAAAAGTTTTAATAAAAATATGTAGAGCTTAAAATTTTGCATCAAAAAGGTCTTATGACTTTTTTTCCTCCGGTCAAAATTAACCAAGTTAGGGAGGTTTTAGTTTAAGGGATGAACGTTAATTTTAAAAAATCTTAGGTATTAGAAAAAGAAGCCAATTTTCATTTTATTTTTTAAAATTCTTAAAAATATCTAATCTTTCATTTTAGAGATACAATTTTTTTATTGTAAAAAAATATATAACAATTAGAAATTTTCAAATTGAAATTTCAATACCTAAAAATCTATCTTCTATAGTTCTATCTATATCTATACATATAATAAAATTGTAACTAAGCAGAATCTGTACATTAAATATTTTTTTGGAAAATCTTATTGAAATAGATATTATTATCGATACAGAGGCCGAATCTATAGTTTTTAAAATTATTGTCTGTCTGTCTGTTACCGCATCACAGAAAAACTACTGGAAGGATTTTGATGAAATTTGGTATGGTGAAAGCTGGTTATCCGGGTCAACATATACTTTGTACCCTAGGAAAATATCTCATTTCTGAGAAAAAATACAAAAACTGCAATGTAAGAGTAATATGTAAAACCTAAGAATTTGGTTTTTGGTCATTTTAACACGGGTGGAGCTGCGGGCAATGCTAGTACTATAATAAAACTGTAGGATCGAATTTCTGTATATAAAATATTTGTGATTTAGTTCATAATTCATTATGTCAATCAAAAATCAATCAAAGAATCTAAATATGGCAAAAAATTATTCATTAATTTTTAAAAACCTTCCTAACTTGGTTAATTTTGACGGGAGGAAAAAAGTTATAAAACATTTTTGATGTAAAATTTTAAGCTCTATATATTTTTATTAAAACTTTTTTGTCTAACTTTTACCGTTTATGAGTATTGTGAAAAAATACTTTTGACTATTTTTTTGAATCCTTGATGGGGGTTGCGGACACTAAAACCTTTACACATTGTTTTTGTATCAATAAAACTACATTATATCAAAAATGCAAAGTTGAGTGCCAACATTTTGATTTCAGACCTTATTTGACTGGACTAATTAATCAGTGAAGCATGTAAACCGGTAAGTGAAACTTCTATTAGAATAATTAAAATTTCGTAGGTTTATCAAGAATTTGGCTAGTAAAGTATGCAGTATCCATTGATGGGTTTTATCAACCATCTCAAAACTAAACTATAACAACTAATATAACTAAACTATAATTGATAGTTATCGGGCCAGCTCGATGATACCAACTTATTTTATGGGCATCTAAATTTCACACACTTCTTATAAATTTTAAAAATAAAAATTGATTTGAAATCTAAAAAGACATTTAAAGTACAAAAAGAAGTAACAAATTGTGTTATTTAAGAAAAATAAACAGACGTTCTGCGCGTCCGTATTTAAGAACTTTTCTCTTAATCCGAACACTGCAACAGATTTCGGCTTATTCGACGTTATTTAGGGGTCTTGTTAAATATTAACGCTGACTGTTACCTTCATAAGAAATTAATTAGTTTTTACCCACATACATATTAACCTGCTTCTCCGAACTATTTAAAATTAACGCAAGCTGTACCAACAATTACTCCTTATGCTGAATAATAAAACATGATTCTAAGAATAATTAAGTTCTCAACAGATAAAGAGGAATACAATTAAGTATTTAAAGTTAAAAATTATTGCCAGTTGATAAAAAAATTTTTTTGCAAATAAAAATACTTGAAAATATTTTTTATAACGCTTTATTGTCAGACAATTGAAATTATCAGGTTTTATTATCTATAATTGGCGTAGGTTTTAAAATAGGTTCATAAGTTTATAAAAAACGCAAGTATTTCAATATAACAATTAAATTATTGAGGTTAATTTTAATGTTTGTTTCTAGAAAATTGTGACAATAGCAATTATAGTCCTAAGAAAGCTTTAGTATAGTAGTATGAAAAAAAATCAACGTTGGTATACTTAATATCTCTTCTGTACTTGCGTAGTTCAGTCTAAAATATGGTTTTCTGGAACTACAATCAAATACTTAAAATCACTGAATACACGAGGAAATCTATAGATATAGGTCCAAGAAACTATCCCCTGGCGCCAATGATTCACCACTATTGATACCACCTGTTTAGTGTATATAGACTCTATCTATCTGGAATAATGTAAAATCCCAAATTAAAACTAAAAGAAATATATATATATATATATATATATATATATTTCTTTCTTTTAGTTAAAGAAATATATATTATATATATATATATATAAGACTCATACCTAAAAGCATGTATTTACAATATGGCAATCTTATCGCTAATCGTACACTTTAACTTATAAACAAACATACGTACTTGACAGAAAAAGTCATTGTGATAAATTCTGTAGGTTACCAACCAAATTAGATTTCAGGCCAAACTAGTTCATCCAAAGTGTGTTATATCCTATAACGTAATGTTTAAAATTATTTAGTAACAGCAGAGTTTTAGAAAAGTGACTGAATGTTTACCGCCCATAATATAGAGAAGAGGCTAAAAATGAGTTGGATTAATATTTAGTACGGTGCGAGTTCTTTTAGCGTTATCAACTTAACGTATTTATTAAAGTTACTAGAGACTCACCCTCACTTTGCTCGAATTCGTCCCTTGCTCTTGCTTCCCAATATAAACTTTCATCCCCATTTTCACCCACTTAAGGGATGTTTTCCGGGATTAAGTTTTCTTAAATTTTCTAAGTTTATTTTTATTTCTTAAATTTTCTAAGTTTATGTTTATTAGAAAACATTTAAAAAAAGATGAATGAAATCGGTAAAGCTGTTCTCAAGTTATAGCGTGACCAGGAGGAATAGGGGTTCATTTGTATATATACAGATTACCAGGGTTTTTTAATAAAATTAGTATAGAGAATTTTAAAGTACGTAGATTTGGTGAAAATAAACAAATAAACTAGTTAAAGCTTAAGTGGAAATCTGAGTTATGGACAGGCTTTCGTAGACTAAAAAGGAAACTAATAGCAACATTTTGAAAGTGCTCAAACTTATTTAAATATTTTCGCTTAAATTAGATAGTTCACAGTAGAGTATATAATATATAGATTATGCCAGTATAATTTTAGGTGAATTTGGAAGTTCAGAGGCCCATCATCGTATATTAATTACCAAGATAGTTTCGAAGTAAATGCCTACATTTTTAACAGTATGAGCTTATGGTATTACGTCATTATGTAAAGTAATAACTAATAGTAGTAAGATTATTTTGCTCAATCCTGGAGATCAAGCCCGAGTTTCTAATAAGAATCGCAGAAACATAATTGGATTAAACTGAAACTTATATCAATATCACTTTAAAACTAAAGTCTCGTGCAGAGCCGGGGCGCGTGACTAGTTATCAAACAATAAGCGCAACTTTTCCAATTAATTTAATTGTAGTACTCTTTGCTATTTAGAATCGTTCTGCCGGCAATTCTCATAAGATCGTTTATTGCTTGTTGTCCTTCCAAAGCAATGTCAGGATTTTAATAAGGCTGTTTTCTGTCTGCAACCACGCTGAGTTCTAGCGACCACAAAGAACAAGTGGTTAAAGGCATTTGTCGATTAAAGTGGCTTGGATAAAATTATTTATAGTCACCAAATTTTAAGTGCACGGGGTCGCAAATAACGGCACGACCTAAGTTTGTTCCAACTCAAGATTATTTTATTACTACAAAAAAACGACTATAAAATCGATTTAAAGTATAAAACATTGAAAAAAAATTAATAAGTATAAAAGTTCAATAACGCACATTTAAAGCATAAACTCGATACTACTACTATTTTTTAGAGTTCCGTGCTTTAAAACTAAAAAAGGAAACCTTACAGGATTACTTCGTTGTCCGTCAGTCCGTTTGTCTGTCTGTCAAGACACTTTATCAGAAACGCGTGGAGATGTCAAGTTAAATTAATATCATATACTCAGGTTTGATCTCATAATCCTTTGGAGCTATGAAAAAATCAAACTTTGTGAAAAAAACTCAAAGCAATCAAAAGGTACTTTAGGTTTAGGTTTATGCCACATATTTTGATATTTGCAAGTGGATCAAAACCTATAGAGAACTTCCCGTTGACTTAGAATCGTGAATTTTGGCAAGAAGCAATAT